CAGCTGGTTCTGCTTCCCCGCCTGGTTCTGGAGTGCCTCCAAATGCCGTCTATTTGTTGCCGTCTGCTGGCTGTGTATTGCCGTGATCTGCCCCAGCATCTCTCCCAGCAGTGTGATCAGCTGTGATGGCTGCTCCGTAGGCGGCTGCGGGACCGGCTGCGGAGGCGGCTGCTGTGGAGGCTGCTGCATGGGCGGTTGTGGATCGGACATTTCCGTGTGCTGCCCCACGTTGGGCGCCAGTGTAGCAAGCCGTGCTACAGACGGGGTTCCCCAGCACACAAAACTCCCGGACCAGACTGTCGGTTCACGCAACTCTTTATTTGAGGCACAAAATGCAGCTGTACCGCTGCGGCAGCTTCCGCCCAGAGGCCTGTCTTTCGGCGTGTGTCTCCCCCGGATCCAGCACACTACTGCCAAGATAAAAGGTAGAGTCATCAGACAATCATTGGCAGGTGAGGTAATCAACTCACCTGGTGCCACTCTCCCAGGCCTTCCCCACACCTCTCCCTCCTGCAGCTGAGCGCAAACCACGCCCACCTCCACAATTACCTAGTCTGAATTTAAATCAGTAACCCAGAATAATCTACATATGTAAACACTAGAAGTATGTGTACATGCAATGTGCCTGTCCTGGCCACAATTTGAATGAAAATAAATGCAATAATGATGAGATGTCTGAACTCAGATGGTATCTCAGATATTAACCTAACACCGGCCAAAGACGGCCTAAACTTCAGAGGACGACTCCTCCGCCACTCTATAGAAACTCTATGCATCTTTAACAAGCAAATGTTTAAACCCCTTCCTGTTTGCCACTTGTGTACCTCCCCTTCCCGCTTGTGTTGATAACTTAGTTTAGACCAAACAATCTCGAGATGAAGGTTACTGTGGATGAGCCGGCATTCTAGATTAGAAAGGGATAAATAAATAATGGACTCAGAATGAGGCAACAAACTATGCTCGTCTCACCAATTCAAATCAATGGTGTCCAATCTATATCTGTGTCCTTGGAATGGTGTGGTTTAAAGAGCTGGCGGGGGGGGCATGATGGTGCTCAACAACTTGCTGACTGTCTTATGTGGTGTGCCGCTGGTCTTTAATAGCGTGGTCAAGGTCCCACACATGAACAGAAAGCCAATACAGGGACACAGGGGTCAGGAGATCGCCAAGCATTAGCCCTCTCTCGCTAATGCACTTTCTTTCTTGCTATGTTAAACGCTCAGGTATGCAATCTTGCCATTTTCATTAGTTACATTTTTCTCACTCATTTCCTTCCACCTTGTTCCTCTTTTGCTTACACCTACCCATTCCTGTACCCGCTCCCTCGCTAGTGAAATAAGGCAGCCCATTGGATGGCGGTACGCAGAGGTCGGCTCGGCCTCGCTTCTCATTCCACCTCTGGAGTGGATTACTAAATGGAAATGACCGCAGGGCTTGCAGGTCCACCCTGATCAGCTCACAGCTCCTTCCCTCTCTCTCTCTCTCTCTCTCTCTGTCTGGCTGTTTCAAACGCTCTCTTTCTAAGAGTGCTGAACCCTCACCACAGTCCCAAAGACCCTCATATTCAGCCTTGCAATCCTCTGGTTGTTGGAATCCACCAGCTGTGGTTGTATCAATATTAGAATCATTCTCCTCCACTGCAGTGCACAGTGTTCACAGTGGAGAGACAGCGTGTCTATGTGCAGAGATTAAAACCTCAGGATTTATTTTTCATCTTTAAGGGGGTACTCCAGAGATTTATTATTGCACCTCTAGAAAGTTGGGGGGACTTGAAAGAGATTTAAAAAAGAATGGTCACAAGCGATGGAGCACAGGCAAAGATATTCTAACTTTTAGTCACTATACTGAGTCAAGCTCCAAAAAGACTGGATTCTACATTCCCCAGGATGCAACGTGATTGAACCCTTCCTGCTTTACAAACGCCCACATATTTCAAACTCCAAGTCAACACCTTGTAATACGTCTTTATGTTCAAGATTTTAAGTTTTATGTTAATCCTGATGACATCACAAGGCACATTTTCAAAGACTTTTCCTCCAGAGCCACATAATGTATTATACAACTGTTTTCACAGGCTTTCCGTAGATTCAAATAGGTCGTGTCACTGAAAAAAAAAAAAAAAAACATGCCAGAGCCAGAAAAAAAAATCTGCACAATAATGGCAAACAAAGTCAACTTGGAGGAATGACAGATCTCAGGAAGTACTACTGCATATGTGGGGGAAAAAAAGATGTATAAAGCCTTTTGTGTCACGGAAGGGAGCTGCACGAAATCTGATAAGTTGCCTCAAGCGATGTCACCAGAGTCAACTTCCTCAAGTGATGTCACTAGAGTCAGGGTCAGCTGGGGTAGGAGACTACAGACTACACGTTTGCTTGGAGCTAGCGTTTCAAGGCTGCATTAGCTGCTACTAACATATCACCCCTGAATCTCTTACCGAACTGTCCTAGGCTGATTGTGATGCATTGTGGGTAATGTAGGTACCAAGTTTTGCCAAGGAAGAATAAGTCGAAACTATGCCTACAATCAAAAGCAAAATGATTAGAGAGGAATATGCTTCAGTTACAGGACAGGGAGGTTACCACCCAAACAAATACAGAGTTATCACTGAGGTGGCGTCCTCCATCTGGCAACATTCCTACAATTCCAATGATGCAAAAATATGAAAATGATCTACAGCCTAATACTCCCGCAATGTTTAATTGGAATGTTTAACATTCCCTTCTTTATTAGCTCTGTGGCGTCTCGCTCCCTCCCTCAACTGGGTGGGGGGAGTGAAACTGATTGAGGTTTTAAAGACTCAATCCCAGTTGAATTGCAATTGCAGAGGCTTTTAATTAGATAAAGCTTGGCTGGTTTGAACATATACTTTACAGCCGTGTCAGGCTAAAAGGGTCCATGTGTCGTAAATATCACCCGAGACATTAATAGAATTGAGATTAGAGGGCAGAATGTGTGGATCAGCGTAAAGCAGCAGCCAGCAGTGGGACAACTTCATGCAGTGCGCTATTTATAGCTGCTAAAATGGACGGCTCCATTAATATAAGGCTTACCCTTTCTGGAAATGTAAATCACTGGGGCCATGGCTCGACGTGCATGTTATACAGCTGCAGTATGTCAGAGTTAACAGACTCTGATTTACAGTGGTCTGGGATAAAGCAAAGAAGATTACTTCATTTTTGTGTGCTATCCTCACAGACATCTTGTGTGTTTTAAGTCATATGGTATCTTAGCCATTTTCTTTTCTCTATACCTCAAAAAATGACTTATCATCTAAGGTAAGACATATGGCTGCAAAGGATATACATTTTAATTGCATGCCTGCTTCTGAAAGCTAGTGCTTCTCAGCAGACTGGAATATAGTCTACAGTGGCATTACAGCCATGTTGAGACCCGTCACTCATCTGCTCTCTTTCATTCCTGCTCTTGATGTTTATATTATTCACAGATGGAGACAAAGCAAGCCAACACCAAAGACGAAGGCAGACAGGGAAAGATCAGATCGCGGCCTCAGTGGACACTTCCACAAGGCCAAGGGCTGATCAATAACCTCTGCATTTCAAAACCGAGTCGGATTAAATCCAACATGTCTTGTTTTTAAAAACCACAGGCTCCAGGTTTAATTGAGAAGCATCTCACGTTGAATCAGAGGGCTCATGTCTGTTCTTTTGAAATAACTTGTCATTTTCTCCCTCTTTCTCAAGCATATCAGCTCACTCTCTTTCTGTCTAGTCTCTCTCTCTCTCTCTCTCTCTCATCACTGTCTGTGTGAACACTGCATACAGCTCAGGTACCCTGCCACTGTACACCTCTGCATGCATGTACTCTATGACTCAGAGCACACAGCTAACCAGTGGGGGAAGAAGCTATCAGATCTTTTACTTACTGTGAGCCGAAGTAGCAATACCACAACACAAGAACAACTCCTTTACAAGTAAATTAAAATAAAGTAAATGTACAAGGTTTAGCTCCTTCACTACAAATCCTTTATATTTCTGTTGACCATTTTCAAATACATGCTGCGCAGTCTCTTTCTGCTCTTCAGGAATCTGTTGGTTTCCATTTATTTCTGTACAATGTGCAGATCAAGTAGCTGCCTCTTAACTGCTCACTCCATCCCAGTGAGGTCAGGTCTACACTGAATTTGGTTAAAATTTAAATTATTGCTGCCTTTTTTATAAATTGGCACTGCAGTTTAAATGAATGGAAGCCAACGGCTGCTTGAATAAAATACACCCACATTTTTAAACCACAGTAGCATGGTTTGCAAAGTTGTTAACTGTGATGCAAAGAAGAAGTGAATTGAAAACATGCAAAACCTATGGTCTGGTTAAGTATAAAAAAATACTGATATTAATTCATCAAAATGGCCATTTTCTGAGAGTTACATATTATTGTATTATTACTGTACAGTAACATGTTAGCAACATTTTATTATTGCAGCTGCCACTTTATATACTATTAGTTTGTTTAATCTTCAACAATGCATATTTAATATGCTGATCATATCCTCAGTAGCCACATTAAGTACCTGAACAGTGCAATCTACCTTTATGAAGTTTTTTTTTTTTTTTACACAAAAATGTACTGTATTGCAGAGATGTTGTATTGGACTGCATAAATTTGTACAGGTGAACTTAATGAAGCAGCCAATCAGTGCAGTGGAAGACGTGCCATCACAATATAGTTATCTGGACTTCTCTTTATTTCTAAAGAGTAAAATGTACTTAAAAAAATGTCCAAAAAAGTACTTGTTCTGCGGGGGAAAGGCGGATGTAATGTATATATGTGACATTACAGGATTGTTAACACTGATGTATCAGTGTATATGTAGCATTCAACTGCTCAGATCGGTTAAGGTGGAACTGGTTTTAAGGTGATGTGTCAGCCCTGTGATGAACTGGCGTCCTGTCCTTGGTGTAAACCTTGCCTCTTGCCCAATGTCAGCTGGGATGGGCTCCAGCCCCCCCTCGTGACCCTGCAAAGGATAAGCATAAGGATACTACTACATGCATTTCTTTTAATTTTACTGGACCTTTCTCAAACATTTGCTTACTTTCATTACATTATTTGACCTCTGACCTTTGAACAGTTATTGAAATGAAACCATGTGAAAAGTTTAGAGGGGAAACTCATAAACGTATGAAATGAAAAGGGGGCCACAAGCCAAAAAGGTTTGAGACCTCTGGTTTGATTTTTGAAAGTGAAATGTATTGTATTTAAAGCAATTGTATATTTTTAATGTACAATAATCTGAAAAGTAACTTGTAACTTTACCTGTCAAATTAAGGTAGTGGAGTAAAAAAGTATGTTAAACAAGTAATGTGTGTACAATCAAGTACAAGTACAAGAAGTAAAAAGTACCCCAGAATTGTACTTAAGTGCACTACTTGAGGAAGGGAACTTTTCCTCCACTGCAGCCACACAAGCTGTTACCTCAACAGAGAGATATGGTCAATGTCGACACATATAATGACTTTGCAGAGCTTTTTTCACTGAACTCTATTCCACCATACGGTGACCTTCGTACCCTATAGGCCTCAGAGGGACAGCAAAAATGCTGGGTTGTACAGACACAGAGGACAACAGAGGTAAATGCACATACAGATGACAGTCCAAGGAAAGGATGCAGAGGATCTAGAGATGGCATCAGTACAAGTTCATACAGGAGACATGACATGATAGTTTGGTGCAGAATTTTAAAGGGATTATTATCTTCACGACTCTCAAGTGAGTAATAATGGGATTTTAAAAAGAAATAGCAATATAATACTGTACAATATACACACAGTATATTATCACACATCAGAATAAAAAGATTATATTGTACAGAAAAGCAGATTGGAATGAAAATGACTCTCAACAGACCAGTTAAGTAGGAACGTATTCATTTTTAGTGAAATGAATACAGTAATATAACTAATATGGGCGAGGGAAGCAAACACACATTTGCACAGTGCAAATAAAGCCCTAATAAGAAATGCTTCGGACCACGAATGCACAAATGTGGTAGCTCTATGATTAGAATATAAGGACATGAAACAAAGGACAAGCAGCTGGTGCATGAGGCATAATGAAAATAAAATGTTAATATGAATTTTTCATGGAGGAACCTGTGTGACAATTGCCTACGTGTGCATTTTCAGACTGCTATACATTATTCAACACGAGCGTGTGACTTGAGACGGGGAGTTTATTCTTACACTTCACTTGAGAAAAAGCAGAATTTGATGAAATCTATGAATAAAATGATGATATAATTATCCATAAATAAGCCAAAGATGAAAGATCTTCATGTTGAAATCCACAACTGGGCTTAAGTTGCTCTACGTGCTTAAAGGAACTCATCTATTAAATCTTGCAGATATGTTCACAGAACACAACAGAGTGAGATCTATCTAATGGAATATAAAATCTCTATATTCACTGAGCAGATTTACCAAATGACTGCATTATGTAAACCTGCAGAGACCAGCTGCAATATTAAAATAGGAATAAAACACAGATAAAGACCTCTTTGCAATTGGACAGGAAAAAAAGAATCCAATCATGATGCATATTAAACCTGAAAGCAATGAAGGTAATTATCATTAAACAACAACACCGATGTTTATCACTTTTTGGTTTACCACATTTCTGTCACCACATAAGGTTTCGTTCATCCTCGTATTATTCTAATGGCTCTACTTCATGCAGTATTTTATTTTTTTACCGAACTGTAATTATCTGATGGATTTGCGTGTATTTGTAGCTTCATTGCTATAAAAAGTATAAAACGGACAATTTCTCCCAAAACAATTTTCCTGAGCGTAGCTCACTGTCTGTGACACACACTGACACCTCCACCGTCTCCATTGTTCCCACCATCTGCATTTCTGCAGAAACACATTAAAGGTCATTTTTAGCCAGAGCTTTCTACAAAAATAGAAATGTTTCATTTGCGACAGTGCGCAGTATTTCTCCTCAGTTTCTGAATGTATAAGTCAATTATAAATACCCCACATACAAGCATGTGTTTTCACTAAGTATTAAAAGAGACAATTACATGCAAAAATATCTGTTCAGGACTGTTAATTTTATACCTGAACTTCAACAGAAAAGCTAAAATTATGTTTCTGTTCAGGTTGAAGCCAGTTAAATTATATCTCAATGCCTGCTTCTGATTAAGTGTGACATTACTAAATCTGATGGTGTTTCTGTGGAGTGGAGTCTTAATGACATATTTCATCTAATTTATCTAGTTAAACCCAGTTTGTGCTGAACTACATTCAAAGTGGGTATCTTAATCTTCTTAAGCTGCTATTTCTGTAGATCTGGTGACACCTGTGCTAACTCGTAGTCCATTTCAATTCAGTGTATGCTTCAGATTTTTAATTAAAACAGAACATGAACTAGATATTTATTCATATATTTATACTGTATATTAAAATGAGATTTGGTGGCAGCCAGTGCAAAGTTTAAAGTGGTGCACCACAGAATTATAGACTTAAAAAAACTGCTAGTTAGCTATACAGTTAATGTTTACAGTGAAAAATGGGTGGATAACTTTAGAAACAAATATTTATATATTAAAAATAATTATAAATAAATAATTACACATGAGATTTCCCACTACCACCAGCTAATATTGCAGCTCATGTCTACAAAAAAGTGAGTCTATTAGCCTCTGTTAATGGTTAGTGGGCCCTAAGTCTTTTCTTTTGCACTTGGGTATTTTAATGGCGGACCCCGCCACTAATAATTCAAATTATAGGGAATGTTTAATTACAGATTAACTTGACTGTATAAGGATTAAATTAATCACAATACTTTCCAGACTAAGTCTAAAAAGCCTTTTCAAAGTAACTGGAAACTTTAAAGCGTGAAGCAAGCATTTCTGGAAACTTCTGAGGTTTGACAGCTGAACATATTTTTGTAACATGCTCTGGGTTTAGAAGAGCGGCATATAAATCATGTTTTGTAGTGCTTGGGTCAGCGCCATGTCCAGCTGAGGTCTGCATGACCTCCAGTGTCTCCTGCACCTGTTTTCCACATCCCCTTGTGCAACGGCATCCCTTTATATATCCAAGTTCAAAAGCAGGCTTCAGGCTATGATCCCCCCCCCCCCGAAAGCAACTGACTTTGGCTCCATCTGCATTTTGTGTTTTTTCTCTGTCAGTCTCCACAGTCTTATTTCTCTACTCAGCTCTGTAATGTTTGCCTTACAGTTCAAACTGACCGTTCAAGGTACCTCTCTTTCACCTTCTGTCAGTCATTGTTCTTGGCAGTGCGACCAGTCTTGCTCAGCACTGAGTTCAGTTCATTCAGCAGATTAGGCGGCATAATACCCTCCCCACCCAGAGCAGGTCTCTTGCTGATGGTCTTACAGCCACTCTGAGGAGGAAGGGGCAAAGGCATGGGCTTCAAGTGTCTGGATGGGGCCTGTGATGGGAGGTGTTGAGGCTGGAAAACATCCACAGAGGGTTTTCGGAACGGAAGTTCTGGGGCCTTGAGCATGTCGGTGTGCTTTGGGGAATTGGCTGTGGTGTTTGTCTTGGGGTTGGGCATCCGTGGTGGAGCATCCTTGGTGGGCCTTGGTTTGCCATCATCAAGAGAAATCCTCCTCCTGTCTGTCGGCTGTGGGCAAGTATGGCAGATTAAGATGAATTGCATTAGACTGAATACAAGTAACTACAAACTACAGGGCACTGTTACCATATTTTCCATTTAAGGAGGGCTCCTTGTACTCACATTTGCACATTACTGAGAAACAGAGAGTAATGTGAGAAGTCATTTAGCTTTACTGTTCAGGAATTAGTGAAAGAATGTTTTTGTTTTTTTAAAAAATGTTTAATTGATTAAATTTTCCAAGTAATGCACCCAACCCTGTTTGTAAATTAATACAACCTCCTTTATAAAACTACTTCAACCTGAGTTGTTACCATCATGATAACTGAAATCACAATATCATGTCCTACTTTGCTGTGTTGGTGCAAACTTATTCATTACAGTTACACAGAAAACTGAAACTCCCCCCAACTGCTGGCCCTTATCAGACTTAAAATGGTGATAGCAACTAATAAAACTGAAATCATTTTGGAGTCTACAGCCATACTAGCAGCTTTGTTGAGACTCGACTTAGGTACAGCAGTTCTTTGAGCTAAATGCTAACATGACAATGGTAACATTCTGATGTTTAGCAGGTATAAAGTTTGCGTTTTCGCATATGTAATAGCATGCTAATAATTGCTAGTTAGTAAAGCTGAGGGTGACGGGAATGTTTGAATGTTTGGCCATAAACCAAAGTGCTGGAATGAGCGTCAGTGCTAAATTTCATGGTAATCCATTCAGTAGTTGCTGAAATATTTTTCAGTGTGGACCAAACTGGTGGTCCAACTGACACTGCAAACCAATGAGACGTGCCGTTAGCTGAAACTCTTCACATCAACATCACAATGGTGATAGAAGATGTCATCGAACTGAAATAGTTTTAGATTTGTTTGAGCTGAGGCATTCTGCTTTTTCCAATGTAACTTGAATGCAGCAGAAAAACTGACGGCAAACAAAAGAAAAGGGAAACGGTTTGAGCAAATGTTCAGTCAAGTGTAGTGGGACAGTATAGTAAATATACACAGCATTATATCTGAATAGAATGCAGTCTAAAGCAGCTTTTTAACATTTTAAAGCCAAACATGATGGCATTTATATTTATGTAGCCTGTGTATCATGTGTCATTGGTGTCTCACCTGATTGCTGGAATTGTGGTTTTGTGTTTGACTCTTCCGGCCTTCAGCCTCAGCTCGCCCTCCAGGGGATTTGTGATCTGCAGCTTCTTTTGAGTTAACGCTCTTTGAACAGAGGTCAGAACCGTACTGAAGACACACAGCAGAAATTGTTAGTAAGGTAAAAACAAGGCAGAAACCTATTTGTGGTGGTTATTCAATGTGGACAATGTAGACAGTTCATGATGACTCACCCAAAAACATACATAACTAAAAAAAGAAAATGCCTTAATTTAGCTATATATGTTTTGGGTCAGTACTGTTTGTGCTTTCTTCAACAGTCGAAGTGAAGGATAATACACATAAACACACAAATCTCTGCACTTTTATAGACGTGTATCCATGACTATTTCTTTCTTCTTTATTCACAGTTTCCATGTGGTTTCCTTCACCATAAAATAACTAGTATAGAGTAAAGAAGAAACGGGACGGGATGTATAGGTATAAATTGCTGCTCTTTAAAACTGAGGGAAAGCCAGAGGGTGACGATCCTCTGTCCGACTGTGTTCTGATCTCTGGCTAAACTTTCTCTTTAACAATGTCTCCTTTTATATGACTGTGACCCCGAGACCTATAGAACAGTCTCTCTTTAACAAATCCTTATTTCATCACTGCCAGGACCTGTCCTTGGACCTTTACACTCACCCCCAACCCTCAAACACTCACCACCATCCAATCCACCTTGCTTCAAAATTAGGTCCTCCATCCGTAGTTGCTATGGAAACTGTCGGAGCACAATACTCGCTAACAGGTAAGAGAAAGGAAATCAAGAACACTGAAGTGCTCTGTCTACTTTCTCATCTACACTTTCTCTTTGCCCTTCCCACAAGTCCAGTGTCCTTCCCACAAGCCCCCCGTGTTGGAAGCTGACAATCCTGATATTTAGCGGATTTGGGAGGAGAATCCTAATATCTTTAGCCGGCTCCAGTCTGCTATAGATTTAGTTGTTGCAGAGCTAAGAGCTTCTGCAAAGAGCAGAGAAAAGTCACTGAGCCCACTGAAATAAACACCTTGAAACAACAGACAAAAATTGGCTTCCCCTTTAGATCAATCTCTCCCTGACAGTGTTGCCCTTTTTACTTGCTAACCCAAACTAAGGCACTAAAAGGCTTTTACAGTAAGCGCCTGTGATAAACAACACTGTGCCGCAGACGGGTTCCCATAAAGGAAGCCGAGCAGAGGGCTAATACTGATTAAATGTGCTGAGCATACAATAACAGAGCTGTGAAATCTCTCGATACGGTTAGATATTCCAGTTGAGGATGAGTGTTATACTCGAGTTATTGTCATTTACTTGGAAACGAGCAGGAAATAGACACATGTATTTAGTCTAATGAGGAAACACAACGGTTATTTCACTAAGCAGTTAGGAATGAATGCCAAAGTGAAAAATAATGCAAAAATATGACACATCCGTAGCTGTTCTCCCTGTGTTTGCTTTGCCTTGCATTATTTATGTCATATGTGCTGTGTCAGCGACTGACAGCGACAACACTTAGCTGTATCTTGGGGCTAAGTACCACAATGTGATTGTTATGGTCGCCTTGACCTTATTCTTACAGCTTTTCCACATAAAATGATTTATGTTATTGCTGAGTGACCTCGAAAACTTTACAGTTCTTTCCCTGTTTATGTATTTCATCTGCCTAACAGCACAATGGAAATGGATGATTGGGGGAAATATGATTTATCATATCTCCTTGTTGTGAGATATGGATTGTAAAAGATGATTTATTCCGGGTCTGTAATCGAGTGTATTTTTCATCCAAATAAGGAAGGGGGGAAAGGAGGATGTGTCCGCAATGTGTATGTCACATTCACTGATATTTTTGGGTTGCAACACAACAGCAACATACTTCTACTGCACGCCTATAGTCACTGCATGCCCCGCTCATTACACTGCTTCATCCAGCTTTTGCATGAGTGCATTCCTCACTCTAACATCACGTCACTGCACGTCATCTTACCTTCATCCTGATGATGTCCTTCACCCAGCTGACCTGCGCCTCCCTCTTCTCGCAGCAGAAATGCCTGAGGAGGGAAAGCTCGGTCACATCGGTCACTGAATTCTACCTCGTTATTTTCACACTAATTTTAACCAGGTGACTGGAGTTGGTGAGTCACAGCAGTGGACACGGTGTCTTCTGAGGTAGGAGTTCATCTATCACTATAAATAGACTTGACCATACGTGGGCTGGCTGCCATTGCCTATGATTACATGAATTTGCATGGGTATATATCCCTTGGCAGCAGTGATTAGTGCTCTAAGTAACAATCTTGAATGACGGCTTAAATAATACCTGTCATTTATTCCCGTTTGTACAGTATTCTGTTGAGCTAATGTAGTCATGTACGGTACTGAGCTATACTGTATGTTATGGATGATATTTTTAAAGAACTTCAAAGCAATTTGGTGATTTGTGAATATATAAATACAATGCAATAAACTGATAATAATAGCGAGGGCTTTTTTTCTTTAGCACACACTGTAGCACTTAAAGACACATGGGAAACAATAAATAGTCGTTTTTTAAATAACATTGTTCTCTTCTTCACATCCAGATGACATACATTTTACAAAGTAGCTCTGCAGACACCTGTGTCACATGGTAAACAGGAAACAGGAAAATATAGGTCAAGAAATGGCTGCATTCAAGCTAGCAAGACTTTCTACAGCCATGCTAACAGCTAGGCTCTTAGTTGCAGCATTATGCTTTGAGCTTGAACATCAGCATACTAACTCACAGTGACAACATGTGGATGTTTACCATGGTCAGTATCTGAGTTTAGTATGTTAGCTTTAAATAAACTAGATATTTATATTCTTATCAACAAAGCCATCCCCAGAGCTGCATTGCTTGTATGGGTAAAAAATAAAGCCTAACATCCTCACGTGGAATATTTCCATCCTAGTCAGACACGTTTTATTTACATAAATCCAAAAATGTATTAGAATAAGCTTATCTTGATATCTGAAATGCTATGAGTGTAGCTGGTTTTTGTCAAGGAACTGCATTTGTCAACGTGGAAGGCAGCTTTTTAAGTGTGCAATCAGATAATGGTTTTGAAGGAAGCTACTTACTAGATATTAATTAAAAAAGGGGGGAAATCAGTGTATATTTAATTTCCTATGAGTGGACCAGACAGCAGCCGCTCCCCATGTGACCATCAGTAATATATTTTAACTGCAAATGGCCCCACTACTAACCCACTTGGATCATTACAAAGTGCTTTAACTTCAACTTTTTAACTCGGTGCCACTTCATTCTTTCTGTTTCAGAGATATTTTAAGTGGAGTTAGGGTAAAAGTCACACTCATCATTTATTGAACTGGAGAACTTCTGCACGGCACTCACCATTGTTGTTTATCAGTGTAGACTGTGAAGCCCCAGCTGTTGAACAAGAAGGACACAGGTCAGATTTGGAGATTCTGGTTCTGCAAACTTGAAACTTACAATGTCCTGCACACCAACTTCACTTGAAGGCAGAGATTAAAAACAGGTTTTTTTGCGAAACGACACGCAGAGTTTTTAAGTATCCAACTCCAGTAGAAATAAAAAATAAAAATAAAAAATGTTTGAAGAAAGAAAGAAAGAAAGAAAGAAAGAAAGAAAATTGTTGAGAAGGCATTGTTAAAGATAGCAACAGGTCAAAACCTTTTCATTAAAATGTGAAGAGGAAAAAATGAGTCCACTACAAATGCAAGGTGCTAAACAGTGGAATTAATTAGATTAATCAGTGCAGTTTCAGCCCACATGTTTATGCATGGGCAGACCTCAGTATGCTCTGGACCAAAATGTACAATGCACAAAGCACAGGTGGCTCGCCTTAAAGTACATTTTGCTGGGAGAGATGCGAGAACGAATCTCTAAATTGTAGCATTTCCGTATTAAATAATGAACATTCTGCTGTACATTAAATGATCACATATGAATATGGTTAATTGTATGATGCTGCTTGCAAAATACAGAGCCCCTCTTCTCGCACTGTGGGCTTTTTCTATGCTTAAAGAAAGCGTACATATACATGTATACATGCGTGAATTAACCTGCACAGAGGCAGCAGAAGGTGAAAAGACCACCTTCCTGGAGAATATACCTTCCCTGAAACCCTTCACAGCTGTTGCTGAACCGGAGCAGAGAAGTGGGGGAAGAACAAAGCAAAAGAGGGGGCAGAGATAGAGAGCCCGCAGCCTGGAGCACCACTCCTGTGAGTTAAGGCAGCCGATCCAACCCCGCAGTAGGCCGCTCACAGATACAACTCCGCCTAATGAGGTACTGGAGCGCTGCCTCTCCTAACCCTCTCACTATGACTCTCTCCGTTCTCCTCAGCACTCCGTCTTTATTTCTTTATTCACCGTATCACTTCTCCCACAGCCCACTCAACAGTATATCTATGATACCACGCTGTATTATTCTTTCCTTCTGTCCCCCCCCCCCTCTTCATCTCCCACTCCCCTCTCTCTTATCCATTTTTTCTCCCCTAAAGGACGGCGTAATGCAGACAATCGCTTTGCCGGACTCATTTTTCACGCTTCCCTAGACTCGAAATTCCGACATGGGGAAAATTATGAGGAATTATAATCGGGTAATGTGAAATATAGGGTTTGGCTTCTCAAAAATATCCTCTTTGTTTGACCAACAAGAGCTGCTGAGAGGTTTGGCATGTGTCATAAATTATAATAATAGGAAGATCATTAAAATAAAACTAGCAGCAGTGTTTTCTACTCACGGAAGCAGAGTTTGATAATTTGTATTTGTTAAAATGCAATTACATTTAATCAATTCCATTACAGTGAAAAATAAGATGGGGTCAGGAGCAGCTTGGGTATCTCCCGGTGACGCAAAACTTTAAGTGGAGAGAAAGGGCAATATATATTTCCGACAAACGCACAAAACTACTGCGCGCATGCACACAATTAAGGACAAGTGCACTCAAAAAGGCAACAGCAATGCTAAATAATCACTAGTTCATCTTAATAACACAGAGGAGTGAATTTTCGGAGATTGTGCAGCAGTTGTTTTGGCACTAATGAGTCATGTTTGACCACACTTTAATTATGCAGCGACGTCAAATTCTTGCACTGGAAAAATAGTTTGGCTTTATGCATTATTTATCGCAAGAAGAAATGTGCAAGGAGGGAATGGAAATTTGTACAAATGACCACTAAAAGTGGCTCATAATAGTTGATTGACCGCTGTGGCGGAGGCAGTTGTGTCTGTGATTTAACGTCTTGGAGAAGCAGGTGTAAAATTTGTAGCCCTGTTGTTTTATTGGTGGAGGGAGAGAGGAGGGAGAGAGATATCTGACAACTTCTTATCATCCACATTCAAGTAATATCTATGATAATGAAAGCCACTCCACCGATGGAAACAAAGAACACTGCAGCAAATGATTAAATGCATATAAATTGCACTTTACAGAAGCTTGAAATAAAATAAAAAAACCACAAGTTATAAGACTGAATTCATATTGTTCCAGGTATTTTGCAGCTTATACCGGATACAGCCTTCTATTTTGGCTGAAGCAGCCAATCATATGCTTATTTCGGATTGTTTTTTATCCATTAACAGCAGTAATGCTGTCAAAGGACAAACACAAACATGTGTATCACTTAAGCTAACAGGATGTGTCTTTCAAAACACTGCTTTCATGCATATATTTTATGCAGAACATGTAAAGATGAGACAAAAATCTCCCTGATGGATTTTTAATACTTAAGGAGACCTTTTTAATTTAGTGGCTGGCCTTCGTGTTTAGCTGACAGCATATTATTTAGCACATTTTCTTGCTTTCTTGTTGTGGTAAGTCACTGATTTCTTCTTTTTTGCACTTCATTAAATGACCCAGCATCAGGTCTTTATGGTCAGCAGTGCATTCAAATGAAGTGTATTCATTTATAGCGACAGTAGGAGTGAAAACTTATGCAAAACATCTGACTAAAAATGGTTTACCTTGTTGGAGGTTTGAGCTTTTTCTTCAGGCCCAGGTAACATTTCAAAGAGCTGAGCTGGATCACTTTCTCTGCTTTGGTGCCCTGCAAAAGAAAACAAAACAACAATTTTTTACATGAATCTATTAATGAAGGGGAAAAAAATCAAAGTTAGACGCACATTAATAACTCAGCTTAAGTACATAATTCAAAATAAAATAAAATGCCAACAAACTATCTGTGCGGCATCTCAACGCGACGATCCATTTGAATCGTTACCAGCAAAACCTCTTCTTCCACACAACAAAGAACAAAGAACAAAGTAGAAGAGAACAAAGCGAACAAAATCAAAGTTATAGCTTGCCTTTGACACCTACACATCACAGCCCACCATCCATTCCCAGTTCCATCCAACATAATTTGCGCTAAATACAGACCTGGCAATAATTGTAGAGGCCAAAGAATATCAATTAAATTTCACTAACACTTCTAATTTTCTTTGCATTTATGCAGTAATTAGCCACATTCTTGTGCAACCTGATATTTAAGAAAGCTATCAGTGAGAGCACCCTCACACACACCCCTCACCATTTTCCCTCCCTGCTACACTCCTACCCCTACTGCCAGAGTTACTGCACCTCCATCAATTATTAACACTTCTCCACACTCCTTTACGAATCCCATGTTTCAAACTGCAGAAATGTGCTGGGAAGAAAAGCCCTCCAGGGAACTCGGGCCTGCTGGTCCTCTCAGAAGCACACCGTATTCTTCCTTTTTTTTTTTTGAGAGAGAGAGAGAGAGAGTGGGAAGTCCGCCGCCATCAGTGTGTTTTATTTTCCTCCCTAATTCGAAGATTTGGATGCCAGAGACGGACATGTCGCCAGGGAGATGAAGCAGAAAGAGTTTGGGTGGAGTTCGGTCTGTTTGGTTGAAGTTATGTAGGCGCCATCCTAACACGTTTTTGGTTCTCCTTAAGCGGTTCTATAACCTCGTCAATTCCCTCGTGATACGAGGCACTCTCTGTCCGCCCGATACTTTGTGTTTGCATGCGAAAACCCACGGTGGCAAGTGTTTACAGTAGATGTGGCAGCAGATTAAGCTGAAAATAAAAGTGTACTTACTTTGATATCTCTGTAGAGCAGAAGCTGCTCCGCACGTAGCACAACGTATCTGTCCTGGAATTTGTGCCCCGACAGCAGTTTGGAGGACCCGTCGTTGAACTTCAGATAATCGCCTTTTATAAACTGCTTGTGGTCCGCTGCGAAACACAAAGAAGCTGATTAAAGGGGAACATTTTCATCAGCCCAAAGTGGATTCACAAGTCTATCAACTGATGCTGAAACAATTAGTCGCTTTAAGCAACGTCAAATTACATTTCAACTGTTTATCCATTACTTTTATCTAACTAGCTACTATATCTGCAGCTAGCCAGATACTCCAGGTGCAGAGGTACCTCGTGTGGTATATGCTGGATATTACTGATAGAGACTTAACAATTCATTTTTTAAGTAATCAATATATTAACAAATAATCACAAAAAATAGTTGCAATCAATGACACGTAACCAGCACACTCCTTTAATGGTTTTGTACCATCGTTTGCACACTCTACCTTTCCCATCAGCCACTCTTTTGGCCCCTGAAAACTTCTTTATAACAAGAAAAGCAGAGCTAGGGTAGTCCAATGTGCTCCACTCCAGCACCTGCTCAAGAATCTTCTCGCTGTGGTGCAACGGCCGCTCTGTAAAAGACATCAGGTCAGAGGGAGAGGCATGTTTAACAGGTGAATCTGCTCCTCCTGGTGTCCCCCTTGGGGCCTTATTTCAGAAAAAAACTTACACATACAGTAGTCAACTGCGAGAGAGAAATAACCTTTGATCTCGTTTGAATTGTGCTTTGAATTACAGTCATGATATTTGTGAATTTATATCACCACGTTAAAAAATTAAAGTATAAAAGGTAACATTTCCACTCAGTGAACTACATCTCTCATAAACGTCACCAACACTAACATGGCCGACTTTGAGGACAATGGAAAAAGTATAAAAAGGGGTGAAAATCATTGCAAGTTTGGCCATGTTGAGAGCTGTAGCCGCAAGAAAAGAGAGTTAGTCGGTTCCGTAACAGCTAGAATGACTTCACTTCTCTATGGCCAGAGAAAATGGCCCAAAAAAGTCAACCACCAACAACACCATTCAATCTTCTGATCTTGAATGAATTAAAAATGCTTAAAAAAACATTACTACCTCACATAAAATCCATGACTGATTCTAGTTAACCAAATAACAGAATTATGTTGTTGTTCTCCCCATTTTCATCACAGAGTAGTTTAAATTATCTCCAGCATATCAGGACCCGATTATAAAAACACACTCATGTGCAAAATAGACCTATTATCTCTTTCTAATTGGTGAACAGGGTACATGCTATCAGCCAAAAAACAGTAGATAATTTGTGTACCACCACCCCTGCTCTGATGCCTCCGTCTCTACACTCCCCTGTTTTTCATAACCGAAAGAGGTAAAAAGAGCCACAATGGCATAACTTATTCATAGCAGTGGGCTTATCTTCTCTCTGGAATCTCTGCAGACCCAGGCCATGGAATTAGTTCCTCATTTCCCAACAAATATTAGCTCCCCTTTTCTGCCTATTGTCCTCGATAACAGTGTTTATCTGTAGCTATCCTCCAAAATGGCTAATTAACGCACTTTCCCTCCCTTCTTTGTGGTTTTATGAGCAAAACCTGTCACGCTACCGCCTTCAAAATAGCTTGACTGTTTACTCTTCCACAGACATATTGTCTTGCCATGGAATTTATGCTGAACCGTCAGCAAATATATTCAGTATTCAACACACCTTCATTTTTAGAAGAGGACGGCGTGTCCTCTGTAACTTTGTGTGGAGAAAAACAAACATAAGAGCGCGGTGTAAACTCTCAGTGAACTGATGAAAAGTGCACGGGGACCGCCAACTAAGCAACTTGACGACAAAGCTCAACTTTGACTTCCCCTTGCTCGCCGTTTCCCGTGCCACTGGTGCATATTAATGGAAGATGAGGTGGGTCAGCTCCCTAGGTCAATCATGCAAGGAAGATGAAGGTAATTCCTGACATATGATGGTAAAAATGATTAATTAATGTGCATATCATCAAATTGACGATGCTTGGCTAATTTCTCAGTGTGCTTCCATGTTCACGGACACTGCTTCATTAGAGAGATAACCCTCACCAGGTCCTTGGGTGTGAAAAAGTGTGATCTTTGTATATGCCCTGAATGAGAATAGCCATTTAAATGGTGATGTGGCGCATCAATCACTAATCGGATGTACTGTAGATGACGGGAGAAGGTTGAGCGCCAAGACTTGACAAGAGAGTAACCTTTATTGTAATTTATGAAAAACAGTTTATATTTTACTCCAAAATCCTTTGAAAGGGTCTCCAGAAAACAGCTTCATTCAGTTTTAATCATACAACAGGTGCCTGTCATCTAATACAAATAATTTTTTTCTGTCCAAGTCCTGCAGGAGTTCACATGCAATAGTAATTTTTCTTTTCGTTTTCCATAATCCCTTGGAATGAAAGCCACAGCTAGTAGGAGTGGATATAAGCTATATATATATATATATATAGTTAATTTAAAACAAAGAGACAATCATTTTCAGAGATTGCTGTAGAGAAACATTATCACATTTGTCAGGCCTTTGTGAGTCGAGCACTTCAATTAAAGAATCAATGATTTCATGACCCCTCTATCTAACAAACAGGAGGGATGTAGTATTTGTTACCAAAGACGCTTTTCCAGTTGATTAAAATGAAATGTTAGTTTAATTTCTTCAAACTGATTCGTAGAAGTAGTAATTAGTAAACAGGCCTTTTGTGTAAGCTTCAACAGCGTGGCGTAAAGAAAAACATGTTTCAGTGTTTGTATTGATGATTAAACTGCAGCACAGTGCAGGGAAGTTCCCACGGTTGAAGTAAACTGAGGAGGCACCTGTGCAGGGTCAAAGGTCAAAGCTCTGGATGGACTGTAACTCTACTAAAGCAAGACTTAAACATAATGTAACTGTGTTTCAATTCGCAAAATTCTTTAGGTTCTTTCAAATTGCAACAAGCATTTCCGTTTCTTAACCCCCACCAGGCCCAGACGCCCCTCTGAATGAACATTTTGCAGACACTATGAGTTCAATTTGAACACTTCTGTGTGATATGACGATATATAGAGTGTCATCAAAGTAGCTGCATGTTTACCCAAAAACAAATTGTGCTAATGCAAAATAATCACATATGAATATAATTTTTAAAGAGTTTTCCCTTGCTCACTGAAAGTGACTTCAGGAGCGTACCACATTACTGCCACGGGTTGATTCTTGGCACGGGGACCCTACCTCCCCCTACATTTCCTGTCTGCATCTACTCTATAATTATCGAATTAAGGCAAAAATGGCCAAAAAAGAAAAGGAAAAAAAAAGTTGGCAGCAGTATTGGAAGCAGGCAGTAAATTCATTCATACTCCCGGCCATGTTAATTATACTTGTTAATTATATATCTCTATGACTCTGTTCAACACCTTGACCTGACTGTGACCAGGACTCTCTGGTGGAGATAATCACTGTGGGAAACGCAGTGTTTTCGTACCTAACTCTCCATTCTCGATGACTTCAAAGGTGGTCCAGAGGTCGTCGGCGCTAAAGGTGACGTTCCTCATGCTCAGCGCCGTTTCTGCGAGCTCCGCGGACCGCATGCTGGGAGAGACCTATGGCAAAAAAGCAGATAAAAAGATACCGAGGCCAACGAGAAAACAGATAAGAAAAGAGGCAAACAATCGAACAGAGTGAGCACATCATCATAAGCTCTTTGGATCAATATTACTGCCTTTAACAATCTTAGTCTATGTAGAGCAGTTCAATACTTAACATGTAACACTAACTGCACTGCTATCTGGCTCGCAGCAACGAACACAGTGCACTGATTAAATACTGGCTTCTTTGTCAAGTTATTAGGTTTACCCGAACAAAGCAAATGTGCTACTGTACTCCGCAGAGAGAAAGCGTAGAGCATTAAAGTGAAACCGCGGTGCTGAGCTCTCCTCTTTAACCCCATCCCTATTCTGCCGCTGCCGGCGACCTGTGAGAGGAGTCCGTAACCTACAGCGGCCTGCTTGCCTCGTGAAATGCAATTACTCACACAATTAAGTCAGACGTTTCTTTGATTAGTTCGCTTTTGATTTATTTCAGCGGCGGTAATCCCATCAGGTTAAACCACGAACGTCTCAGCCCTATTCTATCAACCTCTGCACCTCTCATTCTACCCACCCTCAGCCCTCATTCCTTCCTCACCTGCCTTCATCCCACACTACCATCTCTCCCCCTCCCTTCTTCACCTTACCACGGGGGACCTATCGGAAAGCAGCCGTACACACACACACATACCCAACTTCCCTGCTGAAAGTACAGATTACTATTAAAACACACACACACACACACACACACACACACACACACACACACACACACACTCCTATACCTTGATTAAACAGCAGTTCTCCGGCTCTCTCTTTTCCAGGTACACCTCGAAGATCAAGTCCCCAGCTGGAGAGAACTGGGGAGAGAGAGAGAGAGAGAGAGAGAGAGAGAGAGAGAGAGAGAGAGAGAGAGAGAGAGAGAGAGAGAGAGAGAGAGAGAGAGAGATCAGTTGAATTACAAAACAATGCAGCTTGATTAATTGGCTTTTCTTCTAAATTTGTGCTCCAGTGTGGCATGAATCTAAATGGAGAGACGGTTAGGAGGATTTGTGGAAACCAAAGGTCGTTTTCGGAGCTGGAGGCAAACTAAATCCTGGTAGCGTTAAAACCCGGCTAAATAAAGAGAACATGATGCGAGACGAACCTGTAAAGGTGGAATCGTAGGGCGCGTGTTTCACCTACGCTGGAAGTGAAATGCTCTCCTCAGGTGTCAACTTAAAGTGTGCTGTCAGTTTAAAAAATGTTTTGAAGACATTCACCTCGAAAAATATTCTGGGGTTATTATGGGAATGGAAAAAAAAAATAAACCAATTGCCAGAATGAACCAAGCAGAGATGCCAAGAGAAGGATGGCCTCACTGTGAAAAAAAAAAATTCTCAGTGTTTTATTAATATAAGACATTCCACACTGTAAAATTGTTTTTACCCAATGTTAAAACCATTTCCAAATTGATGCTTCAGTAAATCTAAGATCAAAGTGTCTAAGCCTTTGTGGCAACCCTTAAAGTTAAACCTAGGTAGAGGATTAGCATAGCCTAGCATTAAGACTAGCATTAGAGGTTTTGAGCTAGGCATGTGTTTGAACTTTGAACAGAGCAAGCCGTTTGCCCTGCCTCCGGTCTTTACACTACAAGACCGGAGGATCTACTGCTGTTTGAATTTTTCACTTGCACATCAATAGATAGAAGAGGAACTAGAGTTCTCCTTTTAACTAAATGTAACCTATGTGAAATTAAACTTTTAAGTGGCCTTTCAGCCCGACATTCAAGAGGTCAAATTCCAAGTAATATTCCTCTTTGTCAGTGCAAATCATCACACCTTTCTCCATGTGTTGGAGCAGTAATCCTCTCTGCATTCAATTAAAAAACTTGGTGGTAAAAACCAGAAAAATTAGAAAGGGTCATAGTCAAAGCACCAAATCTGGATTTCTGGCCAAGCTGGAGTGGTAATCCATCTCCAGAAAACAACTAAGTGGGCACGAAAAGGTTTCTCCTCCCTTGGCCATCTGGAAATTACAGTTACATTTTCTTTGTCATCTTAATGTGCAGGTGAACTCAGATCCATTATTGGCTTGAGTCGGGAGAACTATCGCTTGATAAGAGGGAGGAACCCACTTCTGACTCCCGTGGCCTTAAAATGACATGGAAAGAATTACAGTCATTCGAAGCAATGGAGCCAAGCTGTAATTGTCAAAATGTCACACACAGATATAGGGCCATCTTGGCACGCTAAGTACACTTTTCCCTCCTCCTCCTACATTGTTATGTGATGGGAGGAAGACCAGGCACACTTAACAAACAGAATTTGTCAAGCGAAAACGGATAGTCAGGAAATAAAGTTGTGTTGACAACGTGCCGTTGCTGTAAGCGAACAAAGTGCAACGAAAAGAAGTGTTAAATGATTACACAGCAGATGGGCAGAGTTCTCAGCAACAAGTAAGAAAAACAATAATGTTCTATTCCAAATGAAGGCATTTCCAATCTTTACCAAAGTCATACCCTCACTGCACTCACCCTGGCTGTAAATGCAAGTATTGATTTTAAAGTGCCACTTCTAACTTACAAGGCATGACATTGCCTTACACCTCATTATATCAGTGATTTACTTACTCCCTCAGTCTAGTCATACTATCCACTTGCAGGATGCAGGCCTCCTTGTCATTCTCTGGCTTTAAATGGAAACAGATGAGGTCAGAACCTTGCACCTGCAGGGCCCAAGCCCTCTGAGACGAGCTTCCTGAAAATGTCAAAAGCTCACACTGTCTTGGTATTCAAGTGCAGAACCAAGAGCCATTTGCTCAGCAACATCACATGCCTTAAAATCCTACCTGTACTACCCTCTCCTTCTTAGCAATGTGCATGCTGTAGAAAGTGAAAAGTTCCGTCTAAAATATTCTTATCTTAGCCGGCATTCGAAGTATGTGTGTTTTTTTGGGTTGGTTGACATTAATTTGGCCCCAGAGGATCATTCATCCTTCTGATCATCTGACTTGTCCACTAGCGCCACCGTGAGGTTACCATTTGGGGTTTTGAGTGAATCTTGTGATGAATTGTGAAAGCTTTGGTGATGCTTTAACTCTTCATTTAGCGCCATCAAAATCGTAATTTTTCTGAGACTTTATACGACCAAAAACTAATGGTATTCCCATCAGCCTCAACTGCACTGTGTTTAGTGTGTATTAGCACGTGAGCATGCTCCCACTGATTGCTAAACATCAGCATGTTAGCATTGGCAGTCTGAGCATGTTAGCATTCTTTTGGCTTTTAACTAAAAGTACAACCTCACTATGCTGCTAGAAAAGCTTTAGGTGCTTGGTCTTGTAATAAAATTGCCAACCCAGACATCACTTTGATTAATTTTGCAAGGTGACGGAAGTGATTCCATTTTTAGGGATGCACCATATGGATTTTTTTTCAGCCAATATGCAAACTGAAAATGACATGCTTCTCATGGCCAATAACGAATAATCTCACGTTTTTGCATCACAGTCTCATAACCTGTAGAGTATGCACACCCTAGGGTGAGAAAGTCTAAGATACAGGGAGCAAAGCTGGATCTCTAAGAAAGAGAAATCTACTGGATGAATGTTGATGGTCTGAGACATGTTTTCACAACCATCTTCATGATTGGTTGTTATGATTAAGGTTGAAAAGAAAATGTATTTTTGCTCTATTTCTGATAACCTAGACCCCAAATAGCTACATTTCACATCATTCCAATAGTCTACTGAATACAAAGCCACCAAGGTAAAAAAGATAGCTTACATAAACCTGAGCCACAAACCACTATAAATAAATCACATTTTTAACACTTTTTTTTCTTCAGGTTGAGAGCTACAGCTCTAGAAAGTAGCTCCAGATGGAATGGATGAATAAAATTGAAATTTTTTAACTTTACTTTAACTTCCATATTGGTTGTTAATTTGACTGGGTTCAATTACTTTGTGATCCGTGACCCCCGCAGACATCATTGTAAAGCCATGTCTATAAATAAATAAATAAATAAGACCAAGCAACTAAGTCCTATATAAAAGGAGATGATTAATGTGACATAATAATGACTTTAAGCATTGTTTAACTTCTCTAAAATGTTAAATCATCCCTAAAATAAGCGTTCCCATTATCTCAACAGAGGCGTTTTTGCCATGCTGACTTGTAATTACACTAAATGATTGTTCTTAATGAAGAAACTAGAAACGTCTCTATTTTTCTGCCAGGTAAAACTTTCAAAGTCGTGTCCATAACCGAAACGTTGGCCAACTTTTCACCTCAGACAGCTTTATAATAGCACTCTCTTTCCACTGAGTAACCCTTCTGCCCTAGAGCAGCAGACATGTTCTGAAAGCCTACGGACAGGAAGGAGAGAAAGGGGGGCAAGGGGAGCAGAAAGGAGCTGGCATAAACAACTTATTTCAGATTTCAACAACAGCAGCGGCAATGTGATTTAATTTCCCCCCCAAGTTATCTCAACCAAATGTTTTTCTAGGCTGAGGCATCAAGGCGTAAAGTACCTGCCGTAAAGGTTAACAGGAACAAAGCCCTTTTTACTCACCCGCCCGCCCCTGCCTCCTCATCCTTCCCCTCAGCCCTCCATGCCCCCTTCATTTTTGCCAGAAAAACAGGAAACTTGTTCAAATGAATCCCTGATTTGAGAGACCCTGACGCACGCAGGCAAATCAATACACACACAAACAAACAGAACACCCGTCGGTGATTTCCATTTGGGTTCTGCAGGGTCGACTCACTGTGGCGTCCTTCTTGTCGTTCCAGCGTGTGATGAAACTATTCTCTTTCTCCATCTGTTGCACCCGGTCTTCATTGACCTGTTGGAAACAGCACAAAAACACATCAATTCAAACTGAGAAACTTTCTGGTCACGTAAGGTCCACTTGAGAGAAACATTAAATCGGCGGATAGAATCATAAAACTGTTTTCCAAGGTAATACTAATCTCAGCAACTACAATATATGGAAGACTAGATTAAACCAGAAAAAAAAGGTATCATACGCAAACTGTAGAATTGGGTCGTTCAGTTAACACTTCTAAAACTAATTTTGAAGAAAGAAGTTGGCTGTGAGTGCTTGACACAGCTCAGCGCCAAGTGAATACTCTTTTCCTTCACAAAGCTCTGTGTGGGAAATTATATTTTTTATTCCAACTTTTTTTTTTTTAACATCATTATCATTTTCAGAGAACAATTTGCTTTGTTAGAGTTATGCGAATGGCAGGGAAGATGGGGGAGGGAGGAGGAAAAAGAAAAAGAAAAAGAAAACTCACAAACTCGCCGTGTGTGTGTTTAGGCCTGATAATGGGCCCCGTCGACATCCAGCACAGAACTGGCGCTTTAATTAGCGAGATGTCTCACTCTTTTTTTTTTTTTTTTTTTATGTCACAGCGTGTGCATTCACCGCTATTGGGCTCGTGATTGGTTGAGCTTAATGGCTATTTGTCATGCGAATGACGGCGTCCCGAACCGATTTGGAGTGAATGCTCCTCCTTTAAAACGTCAGAACAAGAGGGATCCAGGCGTTCTGCTGGGAATTAGCAGTCACTCTGTGCTGCGTATCCCGTAAGCCAGGCAGCTCTCCAAGGGTAACATTGATCCCACACCCCCGCCCATCCAACACATCAGCAAAGTCAAGCCTATTGTGGAGATTTGGCAAAAACAGTTCTGCTCCCCAGATGGTTGAAGTTAGAGAGTGTAAATAAAGTCACGCCTGCAGCTTGGTTTAGATATGCAATATGGTAATATATGAATGCTTTAAATGTTAGAATTCTTTCATCAGTGATTGATTGGAGAGTTCTCCTTAAATCCAGCAGCCGGAGTGCATTAGACTGCTTCTACTACACCTTTCCTACGGTTGATATAAGCAGAAATATCTTAGGGGTGATTTAGCCAACAGATAACACTGTTTATAGAACAATGTGTATATTTTCCTGTTCGGATGGTACAGCGTACATCAGATTGGGCTCGGAGACAGTGCAATTTTTCAACAGAAAGCCCGTGTTAAACACCGAGGGCTGGAGTTTTGGTAGCAGAGTGGTTATAGCGCCTGCTGCATGGTTGCAACCACTGCCTATGTTGCATGTCCGAACCACTCTTTTCTCCCCCTTTGTGCTGTCTGCCTCTTCACTGTTGCTGTCCAAAAAAAAGGCAAAACTTAAACATGTGGGCTGGAGAAGTAGGTGTTTACCTGGCAGGAAAGATGCTAGTGTGTTGCATTAAGGATTTTTGGAGGTGGACCCAATCTGTCAGGAAATGTCAGCTTCTTCTACATTCCTTTTTGACTTTTTTTTCTTACCGTCTTGCTCAGTCCCAAACTTTTAAAAACCTTTTTAAACATCAGTATCATATTGCTGTAGTGCACCTCAAAGAGAGCTGTAACAATAAGAACTTTTGATTTTTTTTTTTTTGTGTTTTTTTTCCTAATTTTCGACCCTCCTGGCGAAAGAGGCTGTATTTCCCAATATTACTTCCAACTGTTCTTGATAGTTCTGGTTATGTCTTGCTTTCTGCTATTTTGTGTAAAGGGTAGTGGGTGTTTTATGTTCACTGTGTGTTTATTGAAAAAAGAAAAGTCAAAAACAAAATAAAACAATACAAAATTTAAAACTGAAAGAAACTTTGTTGAAATATAACACTATTTAAAAAGGCAATCATTTGTTGATTGTCATTGTTCAAAAGGACTGTTTATTGGGACACATTTTTCACAATAAGCAGAAGATTTTAAAATCTCCTATCCCAGGCCTCAGAGGACGGATCACAGGCATCTAGGGTTTGTTTACTTTTTCAGCTGTTTCATCATACAAAACCGGCATCAAAAATAAAAACTCCTCAAGATTATCATAATTTTCACAAACTACATGCCATTGTTTGGTTTAACATTCAAGTGTATCGCACTTAATGCATCTTGAATCACAGGTAAAATTCGTTTATATAACAGCGAGAAAAGACTGCTCCGTCAGAGGGAAAAATCTGATGTCTCTGTTTTTGTTTTTAAAGTTGTATTTCTCTGCTATCACAAATGGCTCCTCACATATAGAACAAACTGGGCGTCATGAGCCTGCTCTCATTTTGCCCTCAAGCTAAAGAAGTCCTGAACAAGGTTGCTTTAGTATTTTTTTGTCCTGGGTGACCTGTTTTTACAACATAATCTCTGTTTTTTCTGGAGATGTGTGCAGTCGGCAAAGACATTGGTTTCCGAATTTCAACGCTGATCTAGGTAACCGAATAGTTTCCTATGACTGGTAACCATGTAGGGTTTTAAAGCAGGCAGGTGGGCTATTTATCTGGGCTTAGATATTCTTTTTTTTTTTTTTTTTTTTTTTTTTTACCTGTATGATATTTTTACAAATTATGTAATAGGTGTTTATGCAGTAAAACTGGATGTTATCTAACTTAGAGGTGGAAGACCCACATCATATAACCGCGCTCAGCTCTGCCCTTCTCATCGTCTCCTGTCAAAATGGCAAAGAAATAAACACATTAAATGTTTCTGACTCACGCTGAAGAGTGTAACATAGTTGCTGATGAGGTCACGGATGACGCTAGTTTCCTGTGGGGTTTGTCCCTGAGTCTGGAACAAGCAGGAGGAGAAGACGGAGGCCAGTTTTTCGCTCAGCATGTGGTTGAGGTTGGAGCACTGCTGAATCCTGAATCACAGAGGGAAGAGTGGTTAGAGGAACCCAAATGTACCCACACACACACACACACACACACACACACACACACACACACACACACACACACACACACACACACACACACACACACACACACACACACACACACACACACACACACACACACAGAGAGAGAGAGAGAATAAACACAAACAGCCCTCTATCTGTCCTGCTCAGTAACTCTCTCATGCCCACACACATACTGTACGCTCAGACACACGCACAGAATTTAGTGAAACGTTAGGCTACGGTCCAAATTCAGCAAAGGGACAATTAAGTCTTCTCCAAACAATCTACATCATTAACATAATGCGGCTAAATCACAAGCATCCACTGCGGGTTTCTGAGGGAACAATGTGTAATGTGAGCATCAGTGAATGAGACATCAAGACTGTCTGCAGCTTTGGCTCCCGCACCTTGTGTGTAATACCGACACTGTGGATTGTACAGTGTTTCTGTATGTGAAACAAAGAAGCACTGTTTCATTCCATACCAGTTGAGCAGGATAAGAGTTCGAGCTGCATCCTGCATTTTCTCTCCTAGAAATGTCTACACATAAAGCCCATTGTTCACAATTTCTAAAAGTCTGAAAAATCCTCAACGTTATGGAGTAATAATAAACAGGGAGTGTTTTCCCAGAAAAGAGGCCCCTATAGCCACATATAGCACCACTTGTGTCCTGTCCTTCAACTGCTAATTGCTGGAGTTTTTTTAATAACGAGCCACTCGATCTGTCTTTACTTACAAAACGGTACAAGCACTATGGGATTGAGTCATCATTTCTAACCCGAGGACACTACTGCTGCAGTGACAAAAACAAACCTCTCCTTTTCAGCTTGATAATATATAATTTAATTTATTAATAATAATAATATTAATACAGTAATATACCCTCCACATACAGCAAGTACAGTATCTCTGACTAAATCCGAGATCTGACAAGGCAGTGTCTTACCTGACTGGTCAGACGGGCAAAAAAATAAATGACACACACGACAAAAAGGGCAGAGTGACTCATTAGCAGAGCAGAAGGGGCAACAGGCTAATCAGCAGGTGACGTATAGCCACCCTAGGGCTGCTCAGGGCAGAGGACCTTTAGAGTCTCCGTACTTGTTACGCCTGTGATCTGTGGAGCTGCGCCTGTTCTACGGACCACGAGTCCAATCAAGAACACGATGAAGACTGTTCAGCGATGGCCATGTATAAATAAAGTGTCCTGCTCCATCTTCATGTCCAATTACGTGCCGTCAAGTTTCTGCAGAAGTGTCCGCTGATCAGTCTGTATCACTCATTACTGTATCATTCATCCAACAGACGGACGGAGGGATCAGATTATTCACAGTTCCTAGTTATATAATGGATGTACTAGTGGTGGAAGAAGAACTCAGAAGCTTCACCTTAGTAATAGTACCAGTACAACAATGTACAAATGCTGCATTACAAGTCCTACATTTAAAATCACACTTAAGTAAACTTAAAGAATTAAAGAAGAAGTATCAAAGTAAAAAATAGTGGTTCTGCAGTAAAAGGCCCCTCTAACTGATATATTTTATATACGACAGCTATTATTAAGCTACTAGTTTAACGAACAGATTTAATTATCACAAGAAAAATCTGAGGGCTTATGATTAAGGGGAGAGACAAGAAGGGACAAAACTAAGTTCTGAAACACAAATCTGTTTAAATAAATGTTGGACTTTTCTCTGAGCTTATTGTGAAACACTGGATATGTTTAAGTTGATCATAAGACTTTTATATAAAATCTTAGATACAAGAAAATATTTTATTCAATATTTTAATATTTTATTCTGAAATTTAGTGGAGTAGACATACAAAGTAGCAGAATACTCAATTAAAACACCTTGTAGGTGAACTACACTGTTGACTCTTTTGGCATCTTCATGACATGTTTTTGAAGTTTTTAACCGCATGCATTTCTCCTCTGGGGTAATAAACTTTTTCCCGACTGCGACCTTGACCATGAAATAGCCTCACTAGCGCAAGCTTTGAATGTGTCTCCAGTATGAAGCGTGTGTGTGTGTGTGTGTGTACGTGTACCTGTACAGATGTTGGAGGAGAGCATCGAGGGTTGACCTGTTTATCTTTGGCAAGCTCTCTATGAAGGTGGAGTACTTCTTAACTCTCTGCCTCTCGTCCTTCTCATCTGAAAAGTACACAAATGAGAACTGCTGTAAACACAGAACTATAAACTGAGACCCGACCATGGGCGCATAAGAGAAATGAGACTCATACTTTTTACATTATTTGTGAAGCAAAATTTGACCCCACATGTCCTGTGTGTGTCTACAGTAGCTATAGATATAGCTTTAACATTAGCATTTGCTTTTCATGTCACTCCAACAGCTCACACACCCAGAGCCGACACCCAGTATGGATAGAGCTCCTTGGTCAGCAGTGCATCCTCTGCTTGGGATAAGAAGCTCTTCAGGGTGTCCGTCACGTCCTGCAGCTGGTGCTCCTTCTCCCTCAGCTTCACGTTACGGGCATCCCGGGTGAACTCGTCCAGCAGCAGGGCCACCCGACCAGGGTCCCCCGGCCTCTGGTAGACCCCCTCCTGACACAAACCTGGTTAGGGAGCGATAGATGGATGATATAAGAAATAAAATATACTGACTGGTACAGCTCACTTACTTTATAACTTTTTTTTTATTTCGTCACATAGTCATTGTCTGATGATGAATACCCTCTGATGTGTAACGTCTGCAACAACAAATGACGGTTCATAGATTTCTATATAACTAAATACAATTATAGGGCAACCTTATGTGTGCTAAGTTGTGGGATTTAACAACGTTACATAAGCACATTTGAATGTAAATTGCAGGTAGAATAAAATTGCCACTGTGAGGTATATTAACCTTTTGTACCACTTTACAGTTTCAGTCAGAGTTAACTTTATGCCAATCTCTCATTACAGTACATTGCATACCACTTATAATGGCTCTGTGTAAGTCCCCTTTTTGCATTTATCATGCATTGATAAAGCAACAGGCACTATGTAATATAGATTTTGTGTTTATATTTTGGATCCTGCAGTAATAGCGGGGCGAACAGTTGGACAACATTTTCTACATTTCTAAAAATACGAGATAATGTCAGAGCATTATGCCAGACAACATTAGAAAGCATGAAATTCTCATCACGGCGCAGCACACTGGATGAATCAGCTCCTCAAGGGGGAAACCATAATAATAGTCATGCAGAACCAATTTTTTAAAACTTTTCTCTGCCGTAAATATAATGTAACTCACCGTACTGAGTGACAAAAGCAATGCAACTGTCGACTATAATAGGGACGCCGTTTTTAGTCAGCTGTTGGTCGCTGAGCGCCTTGCCATCTGTGCCAGAAGCCAGTGTGATGGCAGAGTGCCACAGTGTAAAGTCCATCTTGTTGAAGCCATGGATGTAAACTGTTCTATTAAAGACAAGGGGGGGAAAAGTAATTATTAATGAAGTTCACAGTCATATAATTGCCAGCAACAATATGGTGTTTCATATTTTAGGAGGAAAAGTTGTCCATGTATTTGGAAAGTCATTAAATACACAACCAACAAGATTAAAGGAATCCAAAAGCACTTTGACAGAACACACATTCATAAACATTCACCGGTTTTCCCCCCCGAGGTTTGATCAAAAACACACAAACGAAGGGCAATTAACGGAGTAAACACAAAGTATCTTTGCATTACTCTAAAAGGGAGCCCAAAACTGTTGGCTTGTGTCAGGTGCCGCCTCACCTCATCTCAGTAACTGACGCGGGCAGTCCAGCGAGGATTTAATTACCTCGGATGGTTACAGTAGGTAAAGTGCATTTGGACTAACAAGACAAATGCAAAAATCAAAGCCAACAGCGTTGCATAATGCATAGTGTTGTTGTATCACAATTGTGTTGCCAATTAGCACCTTTTTTTTCAAAGACTGACATACCTTCCGCCCTCCACCATCAGCAGGACTTGGATCTTTTCCTCACCCTCCGTATGTGTGGAGACAGCTGGGGGGAGAAAAAATAGCAACAGGTTGTAGGTAATGCAGGCTCCAAAATATTTAAAGAACACCGCATTCCGCAATGATGTAACATAACGCATTGAGTACAGTTTAGGTCTGACATTTACAGTTGTTCAGTCTTTGTGAAAAGCACGAGCACTTAGAAGCTTCAGCCATGAAACCTGAAAGTTGATGCATTCATTGTCAAAGAAAGGCCTCCCATCTCTTAAGTGTTAATTTACTTTATGCAGCAGTCATGGCAAATAATGCACTGCACAATATGTCTAGACATATCTGACAAGTCTTTTCAAATGTACATAAAGTAGAAAAAACAGTGAAGGAACGGTACAGTGTCGTAAACACTTCCAATGGCAGTCAATAGCACTTCCTCGCTGTAATGGGGAACTTGGATAAAGTTTAAGTGTTACAGACTTACTAAAAGTGGTTTAAAGAGAAGTGGGGCCTACATACTGGTGTCAGTGGTCACAAAGCTTTACATAAACTTAGAGCAAATGCAACCAAATAAGATTACACTGAGGATCTAACATAAAACTAAACAAAAAAAAAAAAAAAGACAGAGTTCCTGCCATTCTTCATTGGTACAATCAATCTTAAAAATAACAGTGCAGGGATACAGAAAAACAGGGCTAAGGGACTGGAAAGCTCTGCCATAATCTCTTCTGTGGGTTCAAACAGCTGCTTGGATCAAGGCAACAATCACACACACACAACAGAAAGACAGTACAAAAAAGATACAAGGCTCTGCAGTTGAGTCCCAAAATCTCCTAGCAACAACATGTGGCACTTTCATCACACTCAAGTTCCCACTGGTTGAGCACAAATAATGGATGTAAATATAAAAGCAACGATCAAAACGAGAAGAACGTGGACTGAGAGCTTAGCTAACTAGCTGCCCTCACAACCCGGCATTACTAAATAATGCTATATTTTGTCACGGTGCACCAAAATGGCAAATACACATTCACTTTGTTACCCAGAGTCTGTATGGTGAAAAAGCTACTGCCAGCTAGCCAGTTAGCTTACCTTAAACTACAATGTGATGTTTTTACGCTTTGTTTTTTGTCAAGACTAAACGAAAAAGATACAAAAGGTGTTAATAAGGTGTTTGTAGGACTTTTCTTTTACCTTCGACACAGTCAAGCTAGCTGTTCACCCCTGTTTCAGGTGCTTTGTGCTAAACTTAGCTAATGACCTGCTAGCTACGCTAAACCTAGTTTTGTTTAACCCAGACCGAAACCAAAGCGTAACAAAAAAAATAAAACGACGTGTTGCAGGTTAAACTAAGACAGCTTCGTATTTTACATACAGAAATGAGAAGCACTTTTCCCACAAAACTGAACTATTTTTTTTTTATATCAAAGAATTTCAATCTCAGAGGCTTCAAAAGAAATGCTATCTGTGGACATGGTTTCTCTGCCTGTACTGTGTATCTTAAATGGTTCATCTCACAATCACATCACACACAAAAAAAGGTAAGAAACAAAAATATGTTCTTTCCATTTCCTCTACCAAAATACCAAATCCCTGCACCTGCTTCTTTTGTAAAAACACTGATTATATCCAGCAACAGGAAATGTTGTGTAATTGTTAACACAAGAAAGAGGATTGGTAATAAAAAATTACATATACAGTGTTACTTTGGCTAACAAGTCCTTTGTTTAGGCCTTTGCATGTTGAGCTACAACAAAACAAAACAATTAATCCCCAAAAGTCTCTCTTGACAAATACAATTTGCTTTTTACTTTCTTTGGCAGATTTTCAAGGGCAAAATATTTCATTTTGATCCAAACAACAAGAAAGGAGAGAACTTCAGAGAAGGATATTGACTTGAGAGGTTTATTAACAGCGTTATCAGGTAAATGCAAAACACTTGTCATCGCCGTTTGAACAAACACACAGCAAAACTCTTTTATCCATCTTACAGCTCAGTGGGACATTTTTTATTACTTAATATGTTTGTGTGATAAGGAACTAAGTCTGCGGCCTTGTTCTCTCCTTTAATTTATACTGGCCGTCCTGTAAGAGATTTCCAATATGTTTTTTTCCCAGGGTGATTTAGGGTGCTGGTAAACATTTTCAGTGGGAGCATTAAGTGTTGTTTATTTTTGACATATTATATGATAACATCGTAATATTACAAGCCCAGAGATGAGACTTTCAGCGGTAGTTCCTCTGCATTGAACCAACTCTCCAATGAACACAACTGGCTGTGTTTATGGTTGGAAAGCAGTTAAGGGATCACATGTTTATTACTGCCATAGCATTTTGAAAAAAAATCTGATGACAATATATTGGACAAACATAAACGTTTGCAAAAGACAAACATTTCTGAATTTACCAAAAGATATGTAATGGACGGGACATTTCCAATGGACAGACTCTGTAGTGTACTCTCTAAAAGACATTTCTTGATATTTAATAGCTAATATACAGTATGTGTTGATACAGCTATATCTGGAATAAGATCTTAGCAACACTGGATTGGTTATATTAACTTTTATGTGTAGCTGTAGGTTACCATAGGTAATATATCAGAATTAGGTATTGGCAATCAGTTAGTGTTAATGGTCAAATGTGTAACCTTACGAGGATGTAGTTGCAGAAACGGAACATAATATTCATAGATATGTTTCCATTAGTGGACAATCACCTGTATATATGAATCATTGCTTTATTGTTACCTTAGAATGAGAGGTATTTATCTACATTGGGAGCAGGTCTTCTTCCATTGAGGCTGCCATGTTGAACCACCATGTTTCTACAGTAGCCCAGAACAGACAAACCAAACACTGGCTTTAGATAGGACCTTTCAGGACCACCGTACTAGATGCCACTAAATCCTGCACACTGGTATTTTAAGTTAACTTCCAAATGTACATGAATCATCACTAACAGTTCTTTCTGAACATGCTAGTTGTGATTGGAATATATCTTAAAATTGAAACGGACCTCAGTGTGGACACATTGTAATTTTACTACTAAATATGCAGGACTGCAGTCTTGTGCTGATGCCTATCTTAATTTTTAGATGAGTGAGCAGAGCAGTGGGATTAACGTTTTTTCCTTCTGTATTTAGGCACAGCCTTAAGAGAAATCCACTGAGAAAATTGCACCAAATGAGTTCAAAGTTAATGTGCTTATCTTGTTTGAAAACCGTTCATTTTAGAAAAGTTCTGGGTGGGAAGGCTGATTTGTGCACTGTGACAGGTTAATGATTATCCAACTGTATCTGTCATTTTCCCCTCATTTTACTTTGGTTTGAGTTATTTGTGCGGCAGACATCTTGACACAAGGCATCACAAAAAGATCAATCCTCTCTCAAGTACACAGCTGAGCCCCCAGGAGGCCATTTTGAGAGGTAGTTCACTCTTGTTCTTCGGGGATTTTTTTTTTTTCATCATGAATTTATTTATTTATAAAGCACTTTTCAAAAACAAAGTGCTTCATGGAGTGAATACTGAACAACGGACAAAGATCGATAAACTAAATTTGAACAATAAGCAAAAGACAGTAAAGATTGCCCTAGTCGTAGGGTTGAGATAAAAAAAAATGAACAACAGACAAGGCAATTAAGGATAAAATGAGTAACAGCTCTATAGTAATTTTTGAGAAAAGAGTCATAACTCTGCCAGCCTTAAGTCAGAAAACCAGAATCACACTTGCAATGAACTCCTGACGCATGTTGGAAGCATGTTGGGATTTTAATTGAAAAGTGTACTTATCAAATCCCTCGCTGCTACACAGGAGCACCTTTCATGTGGTGGTGTCACTGCAGAGAAAATAACAGTTAATCCCATGTCACAGACTGTGATTCCTAAAGGGATCCTTTCAGTGCTCCAGAACCTACCATCCCCTGACAAAACACAGTCCCTCCTGGCGCTAGCGGCTCCCCGGCTGTGACAAATATGGTTTGAGAAAGCCGGGAATAAAAATGAGCACCGCTGCAGTTCTTTACCCCGCCCCAAGGTGAGAAGACGGGCGGCACTTTGCGCAATTTGATCCACGTCGAGGTGTAAATGGATTAAAAAGATCCATTGATCCCCACCCCCCCTTCTTTCTGTTCGCACATCACACTGGTGCAATCGATCGATCTGCCAAAGTATGTGTGAACTTCCACCGTGACTGGCTGCTTCCCTCCACTTTCTATCCTTTAAATAACTGGTGTTTGCCACTAATGTGGAGATATTGGCAAAAATTCATGTTAGTGGGCAGCGGAAAGAATGCTACATGCATGACACCATCATACTGTGAATATTATATAATTTTTATTTCACATGAGTCCGTCCAAAATTATGTTTCCATGCCACAATTTGTGAGCTCAACAGCTCAGGGAAATCTGAATCCTATTTTAGCCGATGCTTGCTTGATGACGCATTACATAATATTAACCTTTACTGACCTCATATTAACATCTTCTCATAAACAAGTCTGTGGCATCTTGTCATTCTCCTCCAGTCCCCTCAAAGGATGATTTCTATAATGGAAGACTAAGCTAGCCAATTAGAGCAGAGATCTGTGTAATGGTGTGAGAAGCTGAAATGTCTTCTGACACTAGTTGCTCGCATGCACCCATGAGGTCCTTAAGTAGTTATAAATGCAAGTGGTGGGAGGGTGTTACGGATTGGTAGCTTTTTTGGAAATTGCTCGGTATATCAAAACGGTGAGAGTGAATTTTAAAAAGCCCAAAAAATCTCAACAAATTCATCACTGAGTTGCCGCAGTTGACCACTAACCCTATCAACCATAAACGGATATGGTCACTCTGGGCTGTGAGGTTTTAAAACCTGATTTATTGAGTATTAAAAAGCTGCACCGAAGCTCTTAAAACCAGGGACGGGTTTGCTTGTGTAAACTGTGGTAATTTGGGAAAGAGCTGAGATAAATGCATTACCCAAAAATGAGTGTTTCTTTTACACATATATTAATGCAAAAGGGTAAATCATGCTCAGCTCAGTGCGGGCACCACACCAGCACTACCAACAGTTTCTCAGCAGAATAAATTCATTTCAATGCTGAGATCATTGCAAAGTACTGCACTGGACCAGATATAGATATTTTCTTCTGAATATTACATTTGAGAAAGTCTAAGTTTGTAGCTTTAATGTTGCTAGGCTAGCAAGTTTCTTCATGTCTGTTTATAGTGTGGTTTTTAAAGAGTTAGTTAGCCATAAAAGCCTATAGGGAGCCCTCACCTACAGGCGTCTCAGATGGCTCGTGTAATGTGTGCGGCTGCCTGAGAGGAAATAAATTCCCGACGAGTGGAGAAACAGTGGAAAGCGTCTCTTGGAACAGAATCGTGTGTCAAGCAGCCAAGAATTACCGCTGTCACAGAATGTCAAGATGAAGAGAAAAGACGCAAACTAACCAGAGAGAAGCATTGCGGCTGCTTCCAAGAGCCTGTGGCATTACACAAATGTGGGACTTATGTTGTGTTTTAATGGAAGTATTCGTCATGTTTCACTTTTACAAGAGAAAAGGCTTCAAAGATGAGGACAATGTTGCCCTTGGGCTGGGAAATTTTCGCAACAGGTTTAGTCTGTTGTAATGTTTATTTAAAAAAATCTGATTTTCCCACAAAAACAGATGCTGAAAGATGGGACTGAAATTTAATTTGCACCACTGACCCCTTGCAAACAAATAAGGCTGGCCTTTGAGGGACGAGCTATTATGTTACCTCTGAGACTCCATCCGATTTAACAAGGAATGTAACTTAATGCCTACGTGCTTGTGGTTAAAGAGCAGGGCGGCAAGACACGGTGTGCTGAAATAGAAAAACAACAATGCAAATACGCTTACTGAGCTCCTGCAGTTGTTTGAGTTGAAGGACTTCCTCCTCTCCCTCCTCGTCTCCTGGGCTGAAGTGCAGGGCAGAGCCTTCCAGCATAAACCAGCCTGTCCTCCAGTGGTACAGGTCATGGCCCTCTTTGTAGAGCAGTCTGCCAATCAGCTCGCTGTCTCTCTGCAACAGTCCCTCGACTTTAGGCGGGACGAAGCACTGCGAGTCACGTGGATAAACAGAGAGAGAGAGAGAGAGAGAGAGAGAGAGAGAGAGAGAGAGAGAGAGAGAGAGAGAGAGAGAGAGAGAGAGAGAGAGAGAGAGAGAGGCTCTCAAATGAAAAAACTTTCACTTTTAAAACTTTTTCCACTGCCTGTGTCACCTCAAAACAAATGAGCGACACGGAAACACAACAGGTACAGACTTCTGCTTGTAGGGATAAACCTTTGCTCAGTTTCTGCTCCCTTGCTGAATTATTTTCTAAGTACATTCCCTTCCCTCCCGCTCGCTCGGCTCTGTCTGGCCATTGTTCTGTGATTCAAATTGAAATACGGAGGTGTGAAAGGCCCATGGTGCAGATGGAGAGACATATGGACTAATGCAGCTATACCTCCCACTATCTGTGACTGGGTTGCCTGGGATTAAAGAGATAAAAAAGGGAATAGGGAACATATTTATGTAGGGTGTTATTACAAGATCCTGTCAGCGTGTGGGGGAAGAGATAGTAAGACCACTTGTCTTATTGAAAGAAGCACAGGAAGCACGGGGCTCACCGAGGACAATGTGTGCGACTGTGTGTGTGTGCACGCTGCAAAGTGAATGAAAAAAAGTACTGGATGGATGCACTGTACTTTTCTGGCACATTTATTCTTTGTAACTTTAAGCGAAAAAACAAACTTATAAAAAGGAAGGCAAAGAAAACAAGTGTGTTTTGTGTGTGTGTGTGTGTGTGTGTGTGTGCGTGCTGTATGCTAAGTGTGTCACCTTTGTTAGCGCCTGGATCCAGTCATGCTGCGTTTCCTGTGTTTCAGCTCCGACAATCAGCGCTCGCTCTGTCTGCAGGTACAGCTCCACGGTAAACACAGTCCTGCCAGAGACACACGACTCGCTATTAGATATCTGGAATGGAAAAATGTCCACACACACACACACACACACACACACACACACACACACACACACACACACACACACACACACACACAACACACACAAAACACACACACACACACACACACACACAAAGCAGGCAAAGAAACAGCCAAATCTGTGTATTTGCACACACGCATGGCTGTGTTATTACGCTTGTAACAGCATGTAGTGGTAGCGCCTTCTAAATGCTGTTTTAATCTGTTATTTTCTTTGGCTTTATTGCTGAAAAATCATTGAATTGTGTCTGATTGGACTTGCGACTTGCTTCCAATCGACCGGATGAGGAGCAGCAAAGGCAGCGGATGCACATGCAGCAGCCGGTAGAACGTTTCAAACTTGGTGGACGCAGACTTTGGGACGAGATCAGCCCACTGTGGATGTTTTTATCTACTATATTTATTTTTCCTTCCAATCTAAATCTAATCATTTGGTCTGTTCTGTGTGTGAAAAGGAATTGCCACTTTAATGTCTTTGTGTGTCCTTGTGTTGTACAGTGATAACTCTAATGTGTTGACGCCTGAGCAGCTCACTAGAGCTGTTGGAGGTCAAGTGCTTGCTAAAAGGGTGCCTCAGAGGTAATAATAAACAAGGGTGAAGCTCTTTCACTTTTCCAGTCTTCAGGTATTGAGCCTTCTGTGGCTTAACGTGACACACAAAGGTTGTGGATCCATCCAGGGGGCTGAGAATACTGAAGTCTTCTACAAGTAAGGCCGTCTTTATTTTCAGAGGAGGGCATTAAGTGCAAGACTCGGTCCACAGAGATGCGCCACAGAGCGACAAAACAACGGCGTTCCTGCCTGTGGCCATCAAACTTCCCTCAGAATGTCAGACACTGATTCAATAGGCTTCTTTCACCTTTGTCAGCAGCTAGAACCCCGTCATTTATTGATCATTTATATCTTCAGCTGTGCAACAGTAATCACTTTGTGCAATAATTATTATGCAATACTCTGGTATTGATACTGCATTTTTACTATTAGCCACACAACTAATAAACAATCTGGTGGCGGGTGGAATTTGTTTTTGGGACAGTATGTAAAACATTATTTATATATATATATAAAAACATATGTACGCTTATATATTGTTGTTATATATTGTAGTATAATGCAGATATTTTTATATGCGTCTTATTTCCTATATTTTAAAATGGGAACAACTGTAACATGACCACAATTGTCAAGTATTTCTGATTATTATATCCTTGCATTTCTCAACACATCCAATCCAGATATGATGTGCTTGCAAATAAATAGAACTTTCTTCTCTCTTTTTGTCTATTCATGTGTAGAGACATTCACCTTTCCCACTGATACAGGGAAGCCTTTGCCTAAACCATGTTATAATGTAGCTCAGATATTCAGATTTAGCCTTGACACTGTGAATGTGCTTTTGTACGATGTGTGTCAGTCAGTCTGTGAGGAAAATTCACTCTCCTGCGTATGTATATGAACAAAAACACCAAATATATAATCCTTCATGCACTCACAAACACACACACACACAAACACACACACTTACTTTCAGGCAAAACCCTTGCTGTCGGAAGCAAAAAGGCAGCTATTAATCTTTGTTGGTCTTTCTCCTACTGTTTCCCTCTCTGTGTCTCTCTCTGTCTCTCTCTCTCTCTCCCTCTCTCTCTCTGTCGCTCTCTCTCTCTGTCGCTCTCTCTCTCAGATAGATACAGATGCAGAGGTTAGAGTATCACTATCTTAATGGTTTGAACGCGCACTGCCAAGCGGTAGCTCCTTTTTCCATCGGACCCTCTAAATGCTACAGCGCTGGGTGTTTAAGGTGGCGTGTCACGGTGGGTCACGGCAGCGCTGAGTCGCTCTCTTCTCACACGTGTCAGGGGAACAGGCGAGACATGGGTGTTTGTGTGCCCTTGCGTGACCTCACCCCCTTCGCCTCCTCCCTCCTCCTCCTCCTCCTTCTTGTCCTCTTTGCCGGCAGGTGTGCAGGGCGCTTGTTAGAGGGGTCCCAGAGGGAGAGCGAGGGAGGGATGGAGGGAGCGGCGGAGGGGTACGTCGATGTGCCGGGCAAATGGTATCATAAAGAAAGGACAGAAGGAGAAGACAGAGGGATAAGAGACGAACACTTACATTATGAGACTCCCACAGGGAGGGAGTGGCTGGGGAGAGGGAAGAGACACATTCTTGTGCTTGTCTTTCAATTTGAAATGTTCTGTGTCTCTCATGTATGAGATGCTTTATATCTTTTGGATACTGATTTCTCTCCTGCTCTTGTTTTCCTTCTTCTGTCCTGTTTTCTTGTTTATTTTATCAAAGGTTGCACACCTGCTCTCTCTCTTTTTATTTATTTATGTGCACGCAAGAGACCAGGTTACTGGGAGAATTCAGGTTAAGGTACTAGAATAACCTGGTTACTGTAAAATTGAGCATGCGACTGGTCAGAGATCAGATTTTTCCCTTACTTAGTACTGTAATATTGAACCAAGCTGGCTTTTTTCTGGTGATGAATATGATTCCTTTTTCTTTTACTCTGTAGAGAGAAGGCACACCGGCTTTCCTATTGTATATATGCACGCTGATCTGATAACTTTATCATACCTCAAAGTGGAAACAAGCCAGACATAATGCCACAACAACAGCAGTAACAATGACACACAATTTAATACATATCCCAAAAGGACATTAGTGTAGCTCAGGAGCCCATCTAGCTACCAAATAAAAAAACAATTAAATACAATGGATCAATTCTTTAATAAAAGACAGATCATTAAGTGATGCACCTAAAAATAAGAGCAGTAAAGTCGGCAATGCACATAAAATGAAACGTTAATTACTGTTCAGCTGTGGAAAGAGACTTGTTTGGGTTTTATCTGATCTTAGTTTCACTCGTAGTCAGACTTTCAGTTAAATTATTTTGAATAGGAGCAGTATTGATCTTTCCTTTCAACCACACTGATAACACGGCAGTACTTGCAATACTCTGATGTCTTTGTCACACACACAGGCGCACACAAAGGCTGATAGAAACGCTGTTAAACGCATAGATGGGAGCAGAATTTCACCGTGTTAACCGGATTTCCCCAGAATCTTCATATACGAGAGTCCTACCTTACCACAGCCTGAAGGTTTAATGCTTTAACTGTTGCACAACGTTCTACGGCCTGTTTATTTTATGTTACTATAGAAAAAGACCAAATCAGCGGTTTCAGTCATTTACAACTGTACAGACTTTCTCTTTAATTCTAATTAATTAATCATTCCAAACATTGTTGACATGAGCAGAGTACAACCTCAGTGGATTTGTAATTGGCTAAGACAAAGGCAAATGTGTTAATTATTGGACATCTGGAATTACAAGATTAAAGAATTGATAAATATTCAACTTTTTCTATTTAATTACAATTCAGCAGTTCATGTGCTTATTGAGCGTGCTGCAGTTAAAAAAAAAGTATTTTTAGTGGTAAAGTAAAAGTTTGACTGAGCTTAACCGCACTCTTCCTTGTGGAGGAGTCTGCAGCACAAGATTCACCTGTAGTTTAAACAATGCATAAAGTTATCTATATGCATTTCTGTAGCCTTTTATTTTCTCCTTAAGGCTTTTGTGTGCTCTGAGAAAACCTTAATTCCCCAGCCCTCACGTATGTAACTCATCTCGCTGGCAAAGTTAGCGACTAAGTCCTTCTAAAAGCCTTTAAAAAACTTGAAGACGGCAAAAAAGAGAGCAACACAGAAAAAGAAATGGTGTAAAAAAATAAAGAGAGAAAAGAGCAGAAAAGGTTTGTTTCCAAGGTTTTCAGCTGAATTTTGAAGGTCAGAATCGACTTAGAAATACTCTTGTCGAAACAGGCGAGATGAGTCAAAAAAGTCCTGAGAATACCTCGACTTATCGCCAGCCAACACACTCCCTTTGCATTAATTCCTTAGGAGTGGGTTTGTAATATTCATACAACTTTAGCAGACGTATGTGTCGGGGGCCGTGCTATAATTCACGGTGTCCTCTGCCACGGTGAAATTACCCAAATGCTGTGTTTAATGGAAGCGACACCTACGGCCTCCTGTAGCGCGGCGATAGGCTGCTGGTGGGAGTGTGTCATCTGCATACGTTAATATTCATGAGCGCCAGACAGTCAAGAGGTGAGGCGTCCCTCGGCATGCTGGGAACGCTGGGAGTTGCAGAAGCGAGAGGGAGTGAGGCAGAGTTTAATCTAGTGAAACGTACAGCCATTATGAGTGCTGGCGACAGAGAAATAATAGCCTTTCTGGGGGCGAAGTCGTGACCTGTAACTGGGTTGTACGCGCTAAGCTAAAATAGCACTGCTACTTTGTTGAGGCCCCGCATACACAATATTATCATTGTGACCGGTCATGACGGTTCATATGTGTCCAGCTCATTTGAAAGGTCACAGTTTTAGTTGTCCAGATGTGTTTCTAATGGCTGTATAAATAATATGTACAAATAAAAGCATTGTTCCCTCTTCATAACATCTGCTGCTGTCATTAAGGACCTGGCTTATGCTTTAATCATAAGCCATTATCAGACGCACAAACACACACACAAACACACTCACACACACACACACACACAAACAGTATGACCCAATGGGAGTGGAGAGAGGACGGAGGCATCTGTTTCTTCGCTGTGTGTTTGTAACACTTCCAGGAGAAATAAAAGAAAAGTTTGTTGTCGGAGCAACTTTCTTTTTCTTTTTTCTTTTTTACTGAATCATAATCTGAGAGAAGCGACAGGGGGAGGTGGCGCGGTAAAGCGAACGGAGGGAATGCAGTTAAAGCCGTTCGCCTGCATTCCCCCGCCAAAGTAAACAGGAAATATAGCACTCATAAAGCCCTGATGGGTTCTGTTAAATTGAATAATGCTCAAATTAAGATTATGCTAATGAGCCATATGACGAAGGAGAGAAACTATGCAGGAGCTTGTGTTTACACGTGTGTTTGTGTGTTTATGCTACATGTGCTACAATTACATTTGCAATAAATACTAATTTAGCCAAACAAAATAAAATAAATCATGTAAAAATTGTGTCCTTAAAGCAGGTTGGAAAAAATATATATAAATTATGATTGCGCGTGGGGGATGCAAATTAAGCCTTCAAAGTAGGTTTGTATGTGTACTGTATGTGTGTTTGTGTGTAGGATGTGTGTAAATGAAAGCCCGATAACCCGGCTTAATTGCTGCAAAGTTTGAATTATCTGTAAATGAACACTTAATGCACAATATTTGGATTCATATTAAATGTTATATATGAAGTCAAACTCTGGTGATTTTCAAGGTTTAGGATCCTTTAAAGTTAAGGTGATGAAAATACTTTCAAAATCAAACAAACATCTATGAAGCTACAATACAAGTTTGGAGATAAAATGTTTTCATCATGTGCTCATGTGTTTTTGTCTGTGTGTGTGTGTGTGTTCATACCCAGCTCCAGTCATTGTCTCCGTGTTGCTGACAGCCAGGCTAACCACCTCGGTGACGTCCACCCTGCCGATGGCTGACGGGCTTCGCTCACTCTCATAGTAACTCAGGAAGCCGCCCTCCAGCGTACACCAACGGCGTGTCATGTCTGAAATATACACATTCCAAAATGTCCCCTTTAATGCTTTTGCTGATCTTGTATCCCCTTTGATAGAGCTAAAAGAGACAACTAACTAAAACAGCATGGTTAAATTTAGGGAAAGATTGTTGGTGGGAGAAGGAATGCAAACATTGGTCTTTGGCAGGAGATTATGACACTATGTTCACCCATTTATTCACTGTAAACCAAATTTCTGTGGCAGCACATGATTGTAATGATACTTCCTTAAACATATGATGTTTTAGGCTGCTTGTGTTTGACGTGACATTTCATTATACTATGACTTACATTTATCTTTTAGCCTCTAAACTGTGAATCTTCTTCATATTAAGCAAGACTGTGTAACTTTACTGAACAGTGTGCCCCATGGCCACAAGTAGCAATTATACCATAATTCACATTTTTCCTCTTGAAGACATCATTACCATGCAACCTAAATAAGAGCAAGTGGAATGGAAACACCAAAAACTTTTTTTTCTTTTTTACTAGGTATTACTTTTAGAAAATAAGTATTGAAATGCTTTGTGACATACTAAAGTGTAGTTTAATTTACAGTAGCAGCCATCTGTAATGCCCCTAAGCACCATGTGTTGAAACCAGTTGCAATGCTTTATCTAACCACCAGGAGGAGAAGTGATTACGGAAGCTGAAACGATAGCACAAATAGCAAAGTAAATTGACTCAGTAACGTTAGTCGTACAGCAGTACCTGCCTAAGGTTTGCTAAAATTAGCTAACATTATCAACAGAAGGCTAATAGTCATACCAGACCAAGTAAGGCTGAGGCAGCAAAAGCTCACAGTGTACTGAGCTGAGCAAACATAGCATTGTATTGCTTATGAATTTAACTTTTTAAATATAAAAAGTTGGAAGTTTTCTTTATTGACTTCACATAGTCCCACAGCTCCATGTAAGAGATGAAAAATATTCAATAGAGGATTAATTTTGTAAACTGATCTGATGCCAACTTAAGACGATTTATAGCTCCTTTACTTATGCACCCAGAACTATCCAATATGTCTGCTTCCTCTATTGGATTACTACTGTAGAGCCATTCAGTTGCATACTGATAAAATGTAACAAATTGCCTATTGTTTGAAGAGTCAGAAAAAGAAAATTAATTAGAGCCTGCAATGTTAGTGATTGGTTTGTGAACAATTAGCACCACTCCAGCCCTATTTAACACAGCTAATGACTCTCTACGAGCTAAGGCAGCACTACCAAGAAATCGTTGAAAAGTTCGGAGATAAGACACTCTTTGCATCCAGCTTTCACACATGGATGGATGTATGGGGATGCGACAGTGTCATAGGCCTCCGCTTTTCTTCTTCTTAAGGGTGCAGTTAACTCAAACTCAAATCCAAAGCCAAACCATGTGGACATAAAGAGATCACACCACCTGAAGGCCAGCATTTTAAGCTGATATCCTTCCAGAATAAACATCCAAGAAACAACGCTGGAGAAAAGAGAACATCCATACTGTAATTAGTAAAACCACAGTCTGAAGACAACTGGCAGACTGGGGCCTTCATTTCCAAATCAACAAAACACTTACAGCTCACTGACAACTTAGTCTGTGTCCACAACAAAGTTTTAACTCCATGACTGCAATCAGATAACTTATGTGAGGAAGTCGGACCTTCATTTTTCCAGCCATTAGAGGCCATCTATTTCAAGCATAGGGGGTTCGTGCACAGAATTACGAGTAAAAGAGACTACGAGTGCCGAACAGATTTCAATCAACAAACATGATCTCAGTGGAAAAGCGGGAAAACACACAACATTGTCTTTTATGATTGTCTGACTGTGCGATTTACATAGCCAATGAGCATGAAGTTCATGAAAACATACCTAATTTTGGATTTTCAAAGTCACTGTGCCATCTGCTTTTTTGTTCTGCAACAAACACACACACACACACACACCATACACACACACACAAACAGCCCCCCCCACCCACCCCCTGTCGCTTGCGACTCCAAAGTTTCCACTGTATTCATCTCATGAATATGCTAATTGTGCATTCCTCTGCCAACTGTGTGTGATGTTTCTGAAGGAACAGATATAGTTCCAATAAAAAAAAGGAAGTGTCTACAACTGGCTGTTAAAAGAAAAAGGATGTGATAAGCATAGGAAAGGAGGATGTCAGTTTTGCTCTATTCACCCTTGCACTGCCTCTCTGCACGCCTCTTTCTGACTTTTTCTTTGTATTTTCTGTCTCAAAAAAACAATTTGGACACGATTCTGCAAACGGCTTTAAGACTGCAAAACGACTCATATCTTGTTGCTTACTGTGGCATTTCAAAAATACTGTTCTTCTGACCCCACTTTGCTTCAAGAAAAAATAATTCCAGCAGCTGAAGAATCATCGTCTCTATCTGAAACCTACCGTGCATGCAGCAGTTCGTATGGGCGTGTGAGTGTGTGTGTGTGGGAGTGAGAGAGAGAGAAAGAGACTGACTCTGGTATTTAAAGTCATTACCAGTCCAATCTATCTGACAGGACGCACTGTTGTCTTGGCGACGAAAAAGATCGTAATGCACTTACTAACTTCCGTTGCAAATGTGTCCCTGGATTGCTAAGGTTCTGCACAAAATGTCATGTCCATCATTTTCCTCCGGAGAGTAGTTAAGTTCTTGTTTTGTGCTACACTTTGCTGGAAATTCGCCTTCCTTCCTTCTGTCCCTCCTCTAAGAGGATAATAAATGAATGGTTTCATGTGTACCATCAGAAACCCTCACGCAATCATCTTCTTAAGAGGTACACTTGATTTCTTAACTGAAGTCAATTGCTATCATAAGCTGCCAGACAGCTGTAAAGGCACTGATTATCTAGATATTTTGCTTTAGAATGGATCCTTTGGTTGCAGAGGTTATTAAAAAGTTTAGATTATGGACGAACTGACGTACTGGCAAGTAGAAACAGTAATTGCCTAATGTTAATGGTTCCTGAACTGGAGCCAAAAGATAAATCTGAGGGGTCAGAAGATGGTTAAGTGGATACAAAAGCAGAAATAAAAATATACTTCTGCCACCCAAAATCCTATTTTTCATCTGTACGAATGGCAAAGTTGTTCAGTTGGTCCACAGCCTTGGCCCAGACTGAAATATTGCAACATCTACAAGAATGATTGGTACAAACTGTGGTACTGCCATTCAAAATCTTAATGATACTTACAACCCCCTGACTTTTCCTCTGATGGCACCAACAATTGTTAGATGTATTACTATGCAATGGGGATTAATAAAAGTATATCTTATCTTATCTTAGCACAGACTTTAAATGATTATTTTATATATATCAGATATTTTGATATTAACAGAGCAGCAATAACTATTTGGTATGTAAATATGTAGTAGATTGAAGGCATCCTTAGTACAGAATGACGTCACACTCCCTCCCCTTCTTTTGATCTGTGAGTATTGCCGCGTGTGCATGTTAGTGAATGTGAGTCTCTCTGTGTGCAACTGTTGGCTTTGAGGATAGTGTCTGAAGTGGCTGTTTTTCTAATCTTTCTTTGTGAATTAAAGATTAATTTCTACCAAACCAGAGTTGGTGATTGTTGGAACAATGGAAAAACAAATACAGTTTTGGTGAGTTTTATTTTGTTTCTGTCTGCTTTGAATGAAGTTACAATGCTGCGATGATGTGCGAGGTATAATTACAGTTATTGTCAATGGAGTCTGGTGGTAAGCAATAATCATATTACGGTTGTTTCTTGCTAAACAAAAGGTCTATATCTGTGATCTTCCCAAAATGTTCAGACACTACTAAATCACTGAGACAGTGGCAAAAGCATTTTAGTGGACATACTTTGACTGGTGCAAAGATTACATAACTCAGTGAATTAAGGGTTTATTTCAACCAAACCAGTTGTGATTGTTGAGGACAGTGTAGAGACTACCAAATGTTTTGGTGAGTTATATTGTTGTTATTGTTTATGTCCAGTTTGAAGTATGTTTTATGATTGTCTGCAAGATAAAAATACTGGTTTTGTCAATTGAGTCTGGTGGGCTGAGAGGCTGTGACATATAGTAGCAATAATGACCTTTTGGTTGACAAGATTACAGCCTATTAACACATGCAACTGGTGATGATGGGTTGCAGTTAGTTAAAAGGAGTCTCGAACCATCAAGGTTGGGAACCACTACCTCAGACCAATAGTTCTTCAACCTAGGGTTAAAAATGACATAAATAGGACATGGATTTTTAAAAAGTCAACTGTTGGAAACCTCTGTTCAAGGGCATGTAAAATCCCAAAGTGTATAGAACTTGAAATATGCAAATTAGGGTTTTGATTGTCCTTTTACATCAGAAATATTAATAGATCTCATTTTGATGTTGGTACATTTGGCATCCGGATCCTGTCTCCTTGAACAGACAATGTCTGACAAAATCTTTTATCTACGCTATAGAAAAAGGGAAAAATGTTTTTAATTTCCTCTCAAGTCCAAGGAGAAAGACATTAAAAATCCCACTGTGAATTCAGGAAGCAAATTGCTACGGGATCCTGGGTCCAGACAGTGTGGACACATGAATGGGCTCACCACTCGACCGACCAGTCTGTGAAGAATTATACTAATAATGGCCAGCAGACTTACAGGAACAGATACTCACATAAGGCCTTAACATGCTGGGGAAACAGACGGTTTGGAAGGGATAGCGATTAAAGGGGGGGCAAAAGGTGTTTAGAGACTACAAATGCTTGAGAAATGTCATTTCAGATACAGCTATCTCGTTTGGGTTGGAATTGAGTGAATATAAGGGATTCAGTAGACTGTGAAGACAGAAGAGGTTATGTTGACAGAAATTAGACATTTTCCTGGAGGCCTGAAAGTGAAAGAATAAATCAAACCAGGCAGAAGGTTGTACCGATATAACTCAAGATATAACACTTGTGGTGTGACTGCCGTGTAAATGTGGAATAGCTGCAATGAGTTTCACTCAGTTAAATGTGACTATTATTCAGCTGTGTTGGAATCTGTGGCAAGTTACTTCTTAATGCAGCAGTGAATGTCTTTGGATGCCTTCAAGATATTCCACCAGGAAACTGACTTCATCAAAGACCTGCACATCACCGAATTGCAAGCATCCTTCTTCCCTTTTTTGTTTGTGGTTCAGCATTTCCTTAGCGGGTGGGATAGCACTAGCTTCTACACAAGCACCAGTGCAATGGAGGGAACAATAGTGCTTGATTTACAATCAAGCAGCTGCGTCCATTGCCAGCTGTTCCCCACACACAGCAATGGCCCTGTGGCCCAGCCGTTCTCCACGGGAGTCCACAACCAGCCGCCAGAGACAACGCTAGCGGAAGCCAACCGTGGTACATGCCTCCACCAGCTAAATTGGGCCAATTAGCTTGTACGCCAAGAGCGCTCCCCACATAGCATTTTCCAGATAAGATGTGGAATGTGGAATCACTCTATTCTGTTTTGGTTTTTTTGCCACCTCCTCTCTTACTTGGGCAATTTGTAAAATTCGCTAAATGCTCTGAGTACGCAAGATGAGCTGGTTGATTAGACTAATCAAGTCATCAATGTGGCAATTAAACTGTCTTATTGTTTATTGACTCAATGGACCAGAATAAAAGTTACAGAATAACATATTTACTCAAAAGTTTTGACTCCGATTGTGTCTCAAGCTTTATTTTTAACTGCACTACTCCAGATTTACCCAATGTCCCCCCTAAACTTTTTATCGACATTGCACAGACACCCATTTCAGTATGCATCGAAAAAGCAGGCCGTGCCCCTTTCCACTAAATCACCCGCTTCCCTCCCTCACTCTCCCACCTCTCCCCCTTCCGCCAATCTTCTGCCTATCTCACCATCAGACTAAAATATCTGTGATGAAGACATCTGCTGGACAGCTTGTCAGGGGGCTGGAAATGGAAATCGAGAAACTGAAGGGATCTGAACGATCTGTCTGTGCCAGAATTACAGCCCACTTCATTACAGGGAGGAATGGACAGATATGGCATAAGATAAAGAAAAAAAAAACACTATCTGCCATGTATTTCCGGCCTAAGCAACAGCAGTACTCACTCATTTAAGCAAGCAGAGGCACAGTAATGAAGATATTCCAAAAAGCATACCAGATTAAGACAAATTGTTTAAATAGGCTTTTTGTGCTCCTCATAATATATAAAACAGAATAACATAAATATGACTGCTTATAAATTCCAATCATTTAACATCCTTTGAAAACTATTTTTTTTACCCATAAAGAAGATTTGGTTCATTATCAAAAAACTCCAGACTCCAGCTTTGTAGATGCAAGTAATTGAATGTTCATATGGGCTCAGATATGTGTCCTCAATAAAACTGTTAACGTAATGCCCTCCCCCCTCCCCCCTCCTCCAACCCTCTCTCTCCAACAGTTAAGCGTTACTATTGCAGGCAAAAACAGAGCGCAGCTGATGAGGAAAAAGACAAAACTAATCAGAAATTAGGGGTGCCATTTCCCTGCTGCCACTCACCATTTCAGACAGTAACTGCCTACTGTCTCTCTTTTCCTCCCAAGACTCTCAGAGGCACAAAGACACACACAGATGCACACAAAGCATGTACACACTCTTTAATTTGAAAGTATCTTGAGTCACTCTTCAGCCCGTTTAAGGGGGAGACTTCATTTACGCTAGAATCAACTGCGTAAACCTGAATGTAGCGTAGCTCGGCAGAACAGCTAATAAAGTGGTGCCATGCTGGAGGATAAAACAGTTCGACCTTGATTTCTGCACAAATAAAACAACAAGGAACATTGTTTTTCTAATCCTAATCTATATTCCCAGCTGCATCATGACTGAACACGTTTGTTTTTCCACTAAATGCTAAGCTGCACAGTATTTTTTTTCATTATGGTGGACTGGCACAATGATCCCCTGTGCCACCTCAGTCAAGGCCATTACCAAAATTGCTTGCCAAATTAATTTATGTCGTACTCTGAATTTAGCTCCCATCAGTGGAAGCATGAAAGCCTATTGGAGTCGTCTCCAGACACAAAAAAAAAAGAGGCAAAGTTTAAGATGCCGTGGCAGAGTGCTTTTATTAAGCCTTGAGCACAACCTATGAATTATTAAGAACTTGGGTGTATCTATAGACCATCAAACCATTAGCCTGGGAGCGAGAGGCATCCTGGAGTACATTCAAAAACACCTCATCCCTCCATGCTCACAAAGTCCTGACAGCGCTTCCTCATGATTGAAGAAGTTGGAACGCATCGAGCGTTCACAACCCCCCTTGAATTTTTCAGCAGCTGGAGCTGCAGTTAAAGCGCCATTAAAGCACAAAAGCCAAACTTGTACGGCTCTGCATAATAGATGAAATAACAAGGTATTTATCGGCCGAAATATTACGAGCACTTATCTGAGGGGAGACAACTGGAAGGGTGCGGCGTCTGGAAGTGGTAGAGTGACTAAAATGGACCTCGACAAAATGGACACCTGTTGCGTTACTCCATTTCAAGCAGGAGCTCACTGAACTGTACAAACCATACATTGTTATACCAATGGGCTTATATAAGAACAGAATAGTGTTCTTTTTCTGCAGTTATTTTAACATAAGGGATCACACTGAAAAGACAAATACTTAAAGCTGCTCTCATTTATATTTTTATGTATAATGGACAAAATAATTACTTGGAATGTAAAAGGGGTCGCTCATACTGATGAACCCACAGATAATTATCACCCAACTCTGGAGTTCACCCCAGCTCTATGGAGCGTTTTAGTGTTTTTCAGCTTATTATTTTGGTTTTACTGCCTGCAACTTTGCTGGTTTTGGTTCACCTTCATCAGCATAATTTCCAGATGCAGGCACCTGTTTTCAGCAAAACAGCTCTGATGAATCAACTGTCTACTAGTTAGCGACTAGCTGGCTAACATAGTAGTCCATAGGTCAAATGACAGTGAATATGACTCGCATTCAGCAGGTAGGCAGTAACATGACTCCAAATTAATAATATTGCTCTGCGTAGGCTGTATGTGTTAATATACAACTGTTTGCTATCACAATCAACATAACAATATACAGTGATAATATGTCACTGTTGTGTTTAAAGCTTGTTCCTGCTACCCCTAAGTGGTGAAATCTAGAACCAGTATTTGGTTTGTCCCCTCTGGAGTGTAAAAATATGGTGGCCTCCATGGAAGGCGACCCGCGGCGTCTGTAAACATATAAGGCTCATTCTAAGGTAACAAAAACATAATTATTCCAATATTCAGTTGATTTAACAGTACTGAAAACATACCTATGCATATTATATTTCATTTCTGCTAATAGAGCCTAGAAAAAGTGTATGTGATAGTACTTTATTGGTTGATTATATGCCAATATGTTTACAGCTTGTTTATGCAGAAAAAAAAAAAATCGATCAATTCAGGTTTAGTACAAGTACTTACCAAGTTAATTGCTGAGGTGTAGGGACATAGCATTGCGAAAAACAAGTCAGACGGGCAAGAAGCCAAAACCACAATAAAGGTTTTGTGGAAACTCAATGGTAAGCCAGTTTCTTGGACGAGACAACAAATGTCAATAGTAAAATTTGCCACCGGTTTATTGGCGACACTTTCAGGTTAATGTCCACAATCTGGTTAATTTAGTCTGATCATCTGACCACTCTTGTTACTTGACCCATCAGACATTGTAGTGGGGTCGCAATGCTCCCAGATGTCAGCAATTGAGTACAATATTACAACAACCAACAGAAACGACGGCCAACAACTCTGAAATTAAGACCCAAATTGCAATCCATTGGAATTATACTATAATTATAATTCTATTACAAATAATGTACAAATAATGAGAATTTCAAATGACACTGGTAGGATTTTTTTCCAGTCCTCACTAAAGGGGCAATTTCCCCGGCCTCAGCCCTGTTCATTAGCCAGCATGTACAACCCACCAATAAGAGCGGAGCGTGTGTGGTGTTATGGAAATGGAGATGGATGTCTTACCCAAGATGTAGGAGATTCAGCTCATCCAAGTGGCAGGTAGCTGCAAGCTGTCATCTCCCACCACCCGGACACCTTCCTCCCCCTTATTTCTCCTCCACCTCCCCCCATTCTCCATCCCACTTCTCCACCTTCCCCAATAACCCCCCCTATCCCCAGGGGCAGCCTCCAAAGCTGGCTCCTTCTCCTAATTACCCATGGGCCCAAGAAACGCTCCAGCTGTTTGGAGAAGTGGGACCATTGCAGAGCAGGAGGTGTAGTGGCAGCTGAAGAGTTTGAGTGTGAAATGGAGCCTGATTAAAAGTTTTAAACTGCCTTGGAAAACAAAAGACGGAGAATTCTGAAGCATTGCAGGGAAGCATCATTCAAGTTGAAGTAGAAAGGACTTCAGAAATTCTTTTATTTCTTTTTATTAAAATTTTTCTAACCTAGCCCTAATTTACCCCGTACTTCTGTGGATCATTCACTGCTAGGTCGTCTAAGAACATACTTCTGTCTGACAAGCATTCCCAGAGGACCAATGCAGAACGTATTTGAAAGACAGATTCATTGATCGTTTTGACTGGACTGTTTGGTGTACGGATTAAACGATTGGCAGTTTGACAGCTGACAGACTGACACTGATTGATCGATCAGCGCTTAACTGGAGTAGACCTCTGACAAACACGCAGTTTAAATTGCTTACAAATGGATTGATGGATTGATTGGCCTTGCCAGGGGTTTGCAAAACGGCATTTACACTCACCATCTCTTCCACGGCGATCCAGTGTCGTCTTGGTGGGGCCGGAGGAGATGTAGAGGAAGCCATCCATGAAGAGGGAAGCGTCAGACAGGGTGGTGTTCTCCGACCACTGCTCCAGTCTTGGGAAATCTACAAGAGGGTGGGAGACACAGTAGATGAGCAAGGAAATGGTTTTCCCAATGAATGCAATGGTGGCAGTGCACTAATCTGATCTTTCTCTTGAACTTCTCTGTCACCATTTCACCTCCACCGGTAATATTTAAGTGCTAATTTTAAATAAAATGTCTCTATCTATCTATCTATCTATCTATCTATCTATCTATCTGTTTTATTAATGAATAACAAAACAGCATATAACTGGCTAAGATAACCATGTATATTAGATTGTAAAGTGCATGGAATAATAGAATTACACATGACTTTTTTGATACAGGCGTTATATATTGGCCATCGTTCGCTCTGCTCTCTAAATATTGCCATCGGCCATTGAACAACCTACATCAGTCGACCAGTAACTGAGAATCGTTACCCATGGTAGTCAATTTTTTTAAATCACCTATGCAGTCCCACAGTGGGACACAGCATTTTGCCCGTATTACTGCAACAGCAACAGATTTTATCTTGATATTATCAGTCAACATTCCAGCTTCCGGGACATGTCAACCATTGTTGTTATTCCATACTGTTGTCGTACAAACAGGTTTGGATTTGGAAAGTGGGAATGTTTTCAGATCCAGATAGCACTAATCCCAGATATGATTCTATCCCTATATCCAACTCTCATTTACGTAAAATCCCTAAAAACCAGAAAACGTGGATTCTTGGCTCAATTATGAGACCCCACTGTTGAAGTGCACCGACTCTCTACCAGCTTCATGGTAACTGTTCTTAAACCTGAGCTCTGACCTCCATGTGGACAGTATTTCCCTGTGGGCATCAATGAAGCTGCACAGGATTATCTATTTTTTCCCACAAGCAGCATAAAACATGATTATACAAACTGTTTATTTAGTCATGACTTTGTCACATGGTTATTCTCTTGCAAAGTCAAAGATAAGATGTTCTTAGAGCATTTCAAAGCGCAAACCTCCATGTTCTTTATCGGTTAAAAATGAGTTTTATGCCCCATCCTCTCTTCATCTTTGTCCATTTAAATTAGAAGCTTTGCTGCCTCATTTCTCCCCTTTTCTTCTAAACTCCCTGTACTCATCCTTTCTTGCTAGCTTTAAGAGCTCCCCACATTCAACCTTATCGTTCTCAAATTCAATTAGCTTCAATTCTGAGGTTCAATTTTCTGCTGGGGCCTTGGCAATATCTTACAGATTTTATCTTACTACCTCCAGCTCTCTCATCAAGCAAGGTAAAATAACTTTAATTGAAACCACTTTTAATTGAGGCGACATTTCCACCCTTTACTGACACCACTGGCGCCTCATCTCAGGGCCAAAGAGAAAAACAATCAGTAAATTCAACAAGGCGGCTTCTTCTGAATGCATGTGTTCTATTTGGGGATTGTGTCAAACTAATTAAGTGTGTTCACACACATTATTAATCTTTGAATTACAGTGAAATACTACGAATACGGTAACATGTTATTCTAAAAAATGAAGTAAAATGTACGTCATATATCACATTTAAGCACCCAAAGGAAATGGAAGCCTAATCTTACTGATGACATGAATGTAATTCCCATTATGAATAATGTTTAAAGCATCTAAGAAATGTGTCAACTATCTGATATTCTGTTCGAGAATTTTGACATATGTGTAATATATATTTTGTGATATAAAATTAAATATACTACACGTCCATTCCTAAATCTAAGTCTAATCCTGTGTCCCTGTGTTGATCATTAATTTATCTCTTGTTGGATGCCGTCAAAAAAAGATTTTTGAGTATTTTTATATCAAAATCCCTCTCTTTACTTTGGCAGGGTTTGGTACTCACCCAAAATCCCATTTGATTGGATACATTTATGTAACCGCCCCCAGAGTTCAAGATGAGTCCTCAAAAATATTTTTATGTTTTTACAGGAAAAGAAAATAGAGGGATTTTGAAGATAAATACTAAAAAAAGAAAAGCTTATTGGTAGCTAGCAGAGCAATATCTTGATGTTGTGATGTGTGTTTGGACTGAAGAAATAACAAAATAATATAATAATATTTTTAAATCCAATCTTTTATAATTGGAAGTTGATTTAACATTTTTTTTAGGGCCTTTACAGACTGAAATGGAGGAAAAGCATAGCTACACTAACATTAAACAGGTTAAAGGTAGAAAGTTGTTCAACCAGTAACAAACACAGCTAGGTGACAGCAAGGTGTAGTAGCTGCATGTGTAGCCACACCCAGATGTGATGTAGGACTGTACTATAGTGCAGCACTACATCACAGCAGTACAGGTCATTTGCCTGTTTTTGCCTGCATGTAGTTACTCTGGTTAGCGTACATTAAAAATAATTTATGTTTTTGGGATGGGATTTTAAAAAAATGTACGGTTAAAATATGTACTGTTTATCTAACATGAACTGAGCTTAATTAAATCACGGCAGTTAATTTGGTTTGGCTTTAAAAGTTCCTCATAGTAACTCAAAGACTGATTTTCTGTACTATGCACCTTATTACTGGAACAAACTGCTCAATTAATTAAAGTCAGAGAAACTCCTCTAAGCTTTAAAATTACTTGTGAATGGTTTAATTAGTGTGTCTGTGTGTGACAACTGCTTTGTGTGACTGCACTGTCATGTTGTGATGTAAATGTAATTTGTTCTCAGGTCTCTCTTTGGTCTCGATCAATGAGACTTCCTGATTAAATGACTAATTGACGATTGACCTCCAACATGGTTATTATAAATAATAAATAAATAAACCATCATCAACCCCTCATCAGTCCAGCTCATAGCAAGTAGCATTCAAATCAAGGTCAAATCTGGCATGATACGACTGTTTTTAAGCACTGTAGCCATTTCTAACAAACCCAATACATTTTTGATGCCATGCCAAGAATGCAGAGCCAATCAGGAGCAGGTGACATAAAGCCCTGGTCAGTTTAGTTAGCAACATCTGTAATTTAGCTTTGAATGTAACACAGAACAGTCTGCCAATAGCAGCATCATAAATACATGGAATCTGAGAATTTAATCAGCAAACTGCAGGGAAGTGAGTCTAACACACACACACACACACACACACACACACACACACACACAATTTCCCAACCACTCAGGTTCAGAGAATGTAAATAAGCCAGTGGCTTGATGCTGTATCAGTTGTAACAAGGCGCTCTCTGTGAGCCTTCGAAATAGTCCCTCTGGGCCCCTAAAGCTGGACTCTGTTAAGATGGGACTGTGATGTCTGTGGGGGCGGCAGTTGAGAAGTCTGGCCTGTGCTGATTGGCTCAGTCCCCAGTGAAGGAAGGTGACATGACAGAGTGCTCAATTAGCCATCTGGTCGCCCACGGCAACGGTCACAAAGTGGTCCCCGACAAGCAGTGGACAGTGGGGTAATCAGAGGCACTCGCGCGCACACAAAGACAGTGAAGCCACACACACAGCAAATGATAACACAAATGGCTGAACACATGCAAGGCAAGCACAGATAACATGTACAAGTCAGATAAAGATTTTTTTTTTTAAAAAGAGGCCAGAAGACTAGATTAAATGTAAAAAGGTACATGATTGTAAAAATTAAACCAATTTATTCATTGCGCTATTTAGCCAGAGGACAGACACACACACACACACACACACACACACACACACACACACACACACACACACACACACACAAACGAAGACTTTTTAGCCAAAAGCACGTCCCTTCGAAATTAAAACCATCCACATAAAGACACTCCACCAGGGAAAATGCCTTAATTAAAAAAAAATAAAAAAAACAAAAATAAAAAAAAATCTCTCAGCAGCTGCTTGTGACCTCCTGACCTCTAACAGTCAAGTGTACAGTTTGCGTGTTGGTTAAAAACATAAACAACATCAACAAGCACAGAAGAAACTGGCAGAGCCTTGCGATGCTGCTAACAACAGGGTAGAACGGAGACCCGAGATGAAACATGGCCTCTGATTTAGTGTTTGTGTGTTTGTGTGTGTGTGAGTGTGTGTCTTGGTGTTCCATCTTTTTATTATCCACACAGAAAGCCTGCTGGATAAATTTTTAATGTGCCGCGAGATTCAGAGATTCGAGGCATCAGGGATGCCAGGGTGGCAACAATAAAACTTCTTTGCCTCCAAATCCATGGTGTGTCATTTAAGAAGAAGCGAAGTGATGTCAACAGTAAGAGGTATTGCTGTTTAGCTTGGTTTTACAGTACAATGGCCTCCTGGGTGGAGTGAAGGGCCGCCATAAAACACAATTTACATGTTTACATTGCTCTGTTTACAGTTCAGGCATTAGCGGATGCTTTTATCCAGAGATTTACAGTGAAAGAGCTGGCAGGGGTTCACTGTCTCGCTGCATGTTGTTTAGAGCAGGAATCAAAATTGCAACTTTAAAGCCGCTATTTGTGGAATTTATATGAGTTATGAATAGTTCTAATGGCTTAAGTTTTTGTTTGTAGAAAAGTAAGACAGTCCAAGGGGATAAAGGCAACACTTTCTTCCAGTGTCTGTAGATAGTATGTGTACACAGCTGCTGTAAAGCTGCACTATTTAAAAGTCCAGTGTTTACCATTCACTCGATCTATTGGCAGGAATAGAATATAATATTCATAGGTATGTTTTCATAAGTGTATAAGCACCTGAAAATAATAATTGTTGTGTTTACGTTATCTTAGAGTGAGCCATTTATATTTCCTCTTCCACTAAGCCTCCAATGCTTCTATAGTAGCTCAGAACAGACAAATCAAACACAGTTGGCTGAATCTGCAATTTCATCGCTAGATGTCACTAATCCTAATCCTTTTATATAAACAATGGGTCAAATGACTATGTTTATGTGAAAGGTGTCACTTTTTGTGACAAAACCACAGAGAAATATCACCCAATTCTGCGGTTACCCCTTTTTACGGTCTTTCAGCTCATTATTTTGCTTTTCAGTTCCACAACTTTTCCCATCAAATTCATTTTGATCCGCAGCAGGGAGCTGCTTTTAGCTTAAAGGATCTGGACTCACTGCACGCCACCTGCCCTGCAGTGCAATTAGCAGCTAGCTAGTGAACACCATTTAGCAGCTAAAGAGCCAGATATTTCCTTCAGGTGTTGGTGGACCAAAACAGGGCTAGAAGGAGAGTTAATATTGGACTTAGATTTGCCAGGTGGACACAGAAACTTCCAATGAATGGTAATGTTGCTCTTTGTCTGCTGGATATATAAATAAGAAACTGTTTGCTGACGTTCACCATGAAAATCTTTTCAAGAGATATTATGTCAATGTTCTGTCTACAGCTTGTTGCACTGCCCCATTTTGACTCATCACTAATACATTCTGTGACACTGGGCGGTGTAAAGATGGCTGAACAGAACCTCTTTGTTAAAAAAATTTTTGTTTCGTGTAATTTGGTCAATGCTACCTGAAATTACAATCCACCAATGAAGGTCGAAATACAACTAAACAACTTTAAGTAACATTTATTTGCAGCCAAAAGGTAAAATTTTAAATATGTCAATTCATCGAAAAAGGGTTAAACGGATCCCGAGTGTGGCAGGTGGAGCTCAGTTGTTAAAGTTACGCACCGGCAACATTTAAGATCCAAATACTAACTTGTCCACCCAGTCACACAGGGACCAGTGGCACCAGAGCAGAGTAACAAGTCCAAGGTCTGAAACTTCTTCTGTGTGTTAATAAACTGTCCTCATTGGCAGAACAGGTCCTCTGTGTGGTCCATTTAAGCCACAGATGTTACAGCAACACTGGCCACACCATCAGGTCTCCATACCTGCTAAATTAGCCAGCAAGATGTGGGAAATTGACACCATTTTTGGATTCATAATGCTCATTTTGGTGATTATGGGGCGAATTTCAAACCAACACTGCCTACTTACAGAGTGTTTCCTTAACCACCGAGGCTGTAAATTAGCATTCAAAAAAAGTGGTACCAGCTAAGATTAAAGTACAGTAACCACAGTATTTGTTCACACTGGCAAGTGACAGGACGGACACTGGTAACAGCTTGGTTAGACATGAGTTGTGCCAAAATAGATTCATGTTCATTTTTTTAAATTTAGCTTTAACAGTGCCAAAAAATGTTTTCCACATCTGAACACCAAATCGAAAATCATTGCCCCTTGCCCAGTGATGAAAACAACACTTGCGGGACCTTATGCTACATACACATTTTTGATGGTGTAATTTGTATTCATGTGGCCTGTGTAGCCTCCTGAGTGTAACATACGGGAATACACTGGACATAAAAAATGATAAAGGAACCTAAAAATATACAAGAAACCACCTCAGTGGAAGCCTTTGACTATAAGGGATAGATCCATCATTGAAGCCGCCCTCATGGGTTCCTAAAATGCGAAGAGAGACCGCCTCGGAGAGCCGCCATTGGCTTTTTTAATGAAATCTGGGATGGGGATATGTAAATCCACATGCTCCTACGGTATCCCAGGGTGGTTTGGGGCGGGCAGGTGTGGGCGGAAGAACATGGTCCATCGAGGCCCACAAGCATGCACTGGCACAGACGCAGAGAGAAGGAGCTAATGAAGTGCCAATGCTCTGCCATCAGTGAATGTCCTAACGCTGGAGTTACAAATGAGCCGCCAAGGAGGGGAAGGGACGGTGGAGAGGTTCTGGGAGAAGCAGGCTGACAGCTTTGTTTTGATACACCGTATCCAGGGGAAATGGAGGGTTCTCCTATTTTTATTTTTACAAACCGAGAGCGTGATTCCCACTGTGAAGAGATGCAGCAGCAGTGTTTTTCTTCACACTAAGAGATACTCCAATTTAGACTTTAGTTGTTACAAGTGAGGATTGTTCGGCGTGTCAGACGAGTGTGTGTTGCCGGCTTATCCCAGTCTCTCACCAGGGGGATAGTGAATTTGGTAAAGAAAGGTGTTTGTTGTCATTTCGCTCAATGTAGTTTCCGGTTTTACAGCACCATGCATGTGGTGAAGTGCACCCTTGTTGTGGTGTTTTATAAAGCTAAAATAAAACGGAGAAACACTAAGTACACAGCCAAAAGTGAAACGCACGCAACGCTGCAAAAAAATGAGACACCTACTAACATTTGTCCTTACGTAACCTCGCACGAGTGCAACCATTGTCTTGTTGTCAACTGTAACCCAACGATGGAGTCTGTAAAACTCTGAAAAACAACTCTGAACTCTGTTTTGTCCTCCATATCGGCTGCTATGTGGCCTCCTTTTATTCTTCCCTCTATCTTCCCTCTGTCAACACCACGCTACACAGTAGGGATGGTGTCATGTGGGTATTGAACTGCTCCCGGTTTCTGCCAGACATAACGCTGCGCACAGCAACTGAAAAAGTTCAATTTTTTGTTCAATCAGAAATTTCACAAGTCTTTCTTTCTGCTAGCTCTGGGGGCTGCATGCAGCAGAAAACAATGCAGACGCCACTTTCCACAGCTTTGTGTGATGTGACAATGTGTCCGGCAGTAGGAAAATGTCAAACAGGGAGTCTGGACAGTGTTTAGTGTGGAGCCTTAATCTTTCCGGCACACAACAATAGTCTATTTCTTCACTGTCGTTTCACAAATTATATTTTTAGATATGTGCTTTTATATTATTTTACAAGCAGCTTTTTCATGATGCTATAAAGGATGGCAGTGTTCCTCAGCCAGGTGATCAGTTAAAAAAAACACTTGGGATCTAAGGAGTGGCACAGTCTGTTCTTGGCGTATTATTTTTAATCCTTGGATAAATATGTACATACTGTCACTTGTACAGCAGTGTTGATGGATAACACGTATATTCAATCATGCTGTAAATTACACATACCATTGGGATCAGTCAATATCATGGCTCATAATAAACTGTAGAAACGTACTTCACGGCTGTGCATTGTGATTCAAAGCAGTAGTTTCTTCAGGGTGGGGTTGAGGAATGGTGAACTAATGTTAAATAATGTTAAGGAAAGATTGCGATTATGTAAAATGGCATACATTACTGCTGCTTCCTGCATTGGTATTAAACATTCATGTTCTGCACAAATATAAAAAAGGAGGGATACTGGGCTGGTGTTTCAGGATCTGAAAATTAAAATCTGTTTGCTGGTGGTCATTTTTCGCACACGGAAAGACACCATCTTTAGTGTGGCATGTGACCCTGGGTTGACATATTTTTAGGAGGCGAGCTGCCTTGTGGCCACTGACAGATTTACAGTGTTCCTTGGCTGCAATGGAGATCTTGCCTCAGGTCAGAGTCAGTGCAGCTCTCTTCAAGTTGTGACTATATGGCAGAGTGGCATTTGGGTTCTTGGTAACCTTGCTGACCTAGGTCCTTCTCGCCTGCAGTAGTCAGTCAGTTTAGTTGGACACCCCTCTTTACAGGAAGACTCTGGTTAGCTCCATATTTGTCTGCCTGGTAATGATGAAGCCCTACAACTTCCAGACACATAATGAGCATATACAGACTGCCTGCATGCTACACATTTCAGGTGGACAATACCACACGTGTGAATGTGAATATGTGTGTGTGGGTTCCTCTATGTGTCTTCTAGCACACCTCCAAGTAATGGCCGTCACCATGGCGACCAGGTGACCCACGCTAGCAATTAGGAGTCCCTAACAGGCTCGGTGCCGGCGAGTGAGCACAGATGCAGCGCATACATTATGTAAAATATAGCACCCGAGAAAGTCTCCCCGCAGCCCCAGCCAACGGCCTCTCTCGCTCTTTTAATCAAACACATTCTCCTCATCAGCCCTGTGCGGAACCACACAAACAAAACACACCCGTCACGAGGAAGCCGCAGAACGCAGCACATCTGTGCCACGCCGCCGATGCCAGGAACATGAGGTGGGTAATACAAAGGAGAGTTGGGTGAAAGTAGGAACGAGAGAGAGAGAGAGAGAGAGAGAGAGAGAGAGAGAGAGAGAGAGAGAGAGAGAGAAAGAGCGAGAGAGAGAAAGAAATTTTTACCTAACATGGTGGTTTCATATTTGTGGGTTTTTCTGCCTTCATTTCCTATTCATGGCAGTCAGGGAAAAAAAACCTCCCACTGTGCTTTTATAAACATGGCGGCGCAGCGGTGAGTGTGAGTTTTAAACATGATTGGCTTGTTAAAGTATAAAGAAAATGGGCTGAATATATCTGGCGCCGACGGTTGTAAAAGTCCAACTCGCACACCTAGTTTAAAGGCCTTTTCACAGATTTATGTGAGCGTGTCAGGTCTATTTTTTTATTTCTATTTTTTTTTTAGGTCTGACTAGGAGAATATATAAGTTATTCTGTCTCATAGCTCACCTCACCTGGGTTGAACATTGGCCATGGAAAAGTTTCCTGTATTTGTCCTTTTGTTATAGAATTAAAGAGTGTGTACAGTCATTGTGAAACAGTACGCACTCACAAACCTTTTCCAAAACCATAAACACAAGAGCCAAACGTTCAAGAAGTCGATTAAACACAACGTTAGCATGATCGGCCAACTAGCTTACCTTTGGTACAGCTTGTTTTTTTACTTTTAGCTTACTTTTACTAACTCTTTAGTAACAAGTAATATAGTAGCAGTATGTTAAAACAAAATAACATTTTAACTACATTGCATAATTACTTCTAATAATGTGCCATGATATTAGGGCTAACTAGCACTCCCCTGAAGAACAGTGCTGCTGCTTTATTTCAATGTCTCACGGAGCTTAATGGTGACGGAGGATGCTAACTTTTTGTTGCATATTAGTGCATATTTAAGACACAATTCGCACAATTCTTATTTTAATATGTCAGCAAATAAAATCAAAAAGCCAACTCACACAGTTAGCATACCTTAACTAGCTAACTACACCTGATAAATCTGGCTCATCACTGGCTAGAGATGAAAGTCTGCTTCTGTTGACTAATGATTGTAAACTGCAGGTAGGAAGGGCAATCCTGACAGGCGTGGTCGAGAGTAATTTAAAGGGGGGCACGCATAGTTGCTTACCAGAGAGTTTGTTCTGGTGCAGGAACTCCATCTGTAGCCTCTGTCCGGCACGTTGGGCCAAGAGATACGGGGTGGAGACGGTCGGATCCCCGGTGGCGCACATAACATCTGCCCCACTGAACACCAGCGCCATGGTCTGCAGCACGTCAGGCGACACCACAGCTGCACACAGCGCCTGTAAACACATAAAAGCACATGAAGAGTGTCTCTCGGAAAGCCTTGGCTCAGGGTCTACTACGGGTCCCATGAGGTCTCAACGCCATTTATAAAGTTCTTCAATCATGTGCAGGATTATACTGTAAGTCAAATAATTGTGATTTTTAGAGGTTGCAAATCCTATTTATGCAAGTCCACCTGTCACTTAACGTTTCTTGGTGCGATAGACTAATAAAAGACTGAATGAGTGCAGTTGCAGCTCACTAAATTTCTAAGTAGCTTTCTATAGCTGGATTAATACCTTTAAAAATTTCACATCCCAGACAAAGAACCTGTGAAAATCCTCAGAAAAGTGAGTATGGTCTCACTTCCTTGAGTAGGAGCAGCAGAGCGACAGAGCTTGGTGTCGCTCTGTGTGTCTATGTGTGCATGGCAGGTTGATAGAGGACAAAGAGTCCATAAAGTGGCGTCAGGAAACCATATAAAGTTTAGAATTGAGTTTTGCCCACTGCTCTCAAAAGAGAAGTTAAAATAAGATCAAACTTTAATACTCCCTGTGGGAATCATTAAATCTCTAATCCCTGAAAAAAGGAATATAGCAAATAAGAACAGGACAAATGGGCCATATTAAATATAATGAAACTAACAATTTTGAAGAAGAGAAATGTGGGAATAGAGGCATGAATAACAATGAGCTGAGCAAATAACAGCAGCAGAGCATACCAAGGCAAAGGGAAACACAAGCATACTGTTTTAAAACAAGTATGTAAGCTACATACAATATGAAACTGATAATAAGACTAAAAATAAAAATCAAGCATCAGTTTGACATTTTTTTGAGAAAAAATACAAAACTTAAACAATAATAAAAAAATGTAATGTTAAGAATGACATGTAGAATGACATAAAATTATATTCCATGTATAGGAACACACACTGGTTTGTGGACTTTGCCTTTAAATGTTTTCAAGCTATGCTATAATTTTAATATGACACAAAGTATGAAGTACAAAATGTATGACTGCCAGGTTAAAAATATATACTACAGTTATAATTTAAATTCATGTTAAAGTGCACATAATCATACAGTAAGTACATAAGTAACTGTACATCACCATCAGACCTCAACAAAGGGGAAAGGTTAGCATCACTTCCGCTCAATTCCAATTTTAAATAAACTACAACCTACACTAACACTATTTTCAACTTAGAGGGTACTGTAAGAGTCATATTAAAAGAATAAAAAGGTACAAATTTGTGCAGCAAAGCCGAGATATCACGACAAAAGATATCCTACAACTGTTTTCACAGGGTGAGTAGAACCCTTTGTGACAAATAAACTCACCTCTTCTGTGTAAAATAGGTGAAGTGGCCATTTAATGATAAAAAGAAAATGGGGACTACACATGATTCTGGGTTTAACATTTTCTGCCAGCTAACCCAGTATCCACAAAAATAATAGTCAAAGAGGAGAAAGCCTGGGAGAGTTGAACGATCAAACAGCTACCAGCACAGCAGGCTGTGATAGGCTGAGACACCTGTCAATCAAAGACATCTCTCTTCTACACAAACTTTAATATCTCCTGAAAGAAAGAAGTTTTGAAACTGCCACAAGGGGATAAGAAGAAAGGAGGCCCTAACTTCTTGTGGACATTTCTGACTCTTTAATTCGTTCTTATATTCCTATATTCCCTGCCTGTGTCCTTTTATATAAGCACTTCAGCCGGAAGACTTTTTTTTTTTAGTAACAACATCCAGTGGTCATAAGAAGAAGTGCTTCCTAAAGGCACCTCTGCACTGGCCTCAACATTCACCCATGGAGGCTGGCACTTAATCCTTAAACAAACTTCTGCTTCTATAAATACATGATGTTAAACTCCTCCTTTAATGGGAGCAGAAACCATACTGTACCTATATATGTTGTGTCTAGCCATGCACGCGCACTCTGTTGAAACGATTCACCTGTTCCATGCAGCGAAAGCCAGCTAAGAGAAGCAAGATAAAAGACTCAGAAGAATACAGTCTGACTGAGGAAAATATTTTCTCTCTCCGTCTGTCTCTTCCTATCAGTCCAGTCAATTGATGTGACACTGTGCACGATGACCCGCAACAAAGTGGATCAACAGAGGAGTCGAGTGGCAAATAGCGGAATTTCAACGAGCAACCTCTCCTTTCATCGGACTTGGACCGAGTCAGTAAGCTGCATCGATCTGCCACAAACAAGCAAGATCTGTCTGAAAGTGTGGCTGCGGTGAGGCTGCGCATATACACACAGGCAAAGTGCACACACAAACAAAGTACCTGTCAATATAACCTGCCCACCCACGCAAAGGACCTGCACAGGGATAAAGATATTTAAGTACGTGTGTGTGTGTGTGTGTGTGTGTGTGTGTGTGTGTGTGTGTGTGTGTGTGTGTGTGTGTGTGTGTGTGTGTTCCAAGCACACATGCATTTCTATCAGTGTGCACAGTTTCTGTATCTTTTTCAACAGAAAACATACAAATATATATATATATATATATATATATATATATAGATGTAAAGATATGATTAGTTTGTTCACTCAGTGGCTTTGTCTTTCACACTCACACACATGCTCACCAGAAGACCGGGTCAGATTAAGGCAAAATAGTCCCATGCAACCTGGCCTTATTCTGTATCGTCTCTGGAAATGACCTTCCGTGTCATAGCAATTACTGCAGCCACCAGAGAGTTTATGTGTGTGTGTGTGTGTGTGTGTGTAATGATATAAGAAGGTCCTTTGACACCCCCCCTTCTCTAGGTCATGTGGCCTGCGGAGACTCTGTGGAGGTCACTGGGATATGAGCTTCTAATGGGGAACATGGGAGTAAGAAACAGAGAGAGCGGGACAGAGAGAGGGCACGAAATGATGAAAAACGGACGCAGAATGAAAACATCCTTAACGGGAATGAGCGTGCACGGTTGAGATTATGTAAGAGACATATTGATAGAGTCAGGTGTAAATCACCTCACTACCTTTTTATTCTCATTTCATTACTGGAACTGACACTTTAAACAGTAATTTACTGCGTGTGTTGAGTGAGTTTCATGACCGCTGGGCCCATAAAACTTGTTAAAATGCCATCGCGTGATTTCAAAATTGCATGAATGTCAATGAGGAAATTATTGTCTTTGTTCCAGAGAAGACTCCCAAAGGAATGGGTTTTATATAGCTTTTATTTTTTTGTATGCACACTTGTGTTACAGTAAGTAAGTGTGACACAGAACTGGAACAACGTGTCCAATGAGATTAGACTCAGTGTCCTTGTTTATGTTAAAAATACTCTTTTTTTGTTTTGTTTTGTTTTGTTTTTTTATAGGTTGCTGGTGATTTATTACTTTATGTTAAGATAAGTGCAACTGCTTTAAAGAGTTTTTATTATTTAAACACATACACAGTATGTTGAATCATAGTGTGTATAATTGTCATATGACACATTGATCCCTATCAAATCTGTTGAGCCCATTTATAAAGCCAGACTAGACAGAGAGAAAGCAAACACAACCACCCACATTTCCCTCTGTCCTTTCTTTCTCACTCTCTTTCTGTCATGTGCACACACACACACACCCTACACACACACACACCCTACACACACACACACACACACACCTCCACTGGCCAAACCCTTTTAGGCAGCCACACTCTCTGTGTCTGTCACATTTCCTCTCTTTCACCACCCTGCAAAAAAACTCCCACTAAAACAGCAAATTCACGCATCCTCAGTGGAGCAAGCACACATGTTCACACGCATGTACACACTCCCACATATACACACAAGCAAAATCCAGCAAAAGCTGCAATAAAACCAACCCAAGCGTTTCTGTTGTGGATCCTAATCCACTTTTCCACTTAGCTAGCTAGTTTATCTCTTCCTTACTTCCCCCCCTCATTCCCTCTTTCTCTCTACATCTCCATCCCTCTATTTCTACTCAAGAAAACAATACAAGGGAGCTGATCTGCGTAAATGCTGACGCAGGTGGAAACTTAGCTGTTTAGAGGCTCAGTGCGTTGTACTTTTAAGACCCTCTCTTTAAGCAGAAGCCAAAAAAACAAAAAAAGCATTTTCGCCAGAGCAATAAACTCTTAACCACAAACTGGCAGAGAAGGCCTTACAGCCAACCTGCTTACACTTGAGATCGATAAGACTTCCCCTTTGGCATTTTTAAACGTATAGTGCAGTTTTACTTATGGTCAAAAGGTCAGGAACATATGGGTTTTTTCAGGTTTAGTGGATTTAGCTAATGGAGTATGCCATGTCCCATGCTTCTTAGATATACAGATGAAACTATTGTAGGAACCACTTATCACTGCATGGTTGGTGAACTTCTGTTAAACTCTGCTCCAACTTTAATAGAAAAATAGGTAAGTAGAAGTAGAAAACATATTCAAGGTCTGAAATGGATTTATTTCTTTTATACACTATGTAGCTAGCAGGATATAACTGCCGAAAACCACCGGATAGTACATCATGCTGGTTGTTTGTCGTTTGGGAAAGCTAGTACATCTAAAGATATGCTGGTTGTTTGTTACTAGCCAATTTTATGCTAACTAAGACAGCTAGCAAGACATAACACTGCTAACCCTTGGGAAAATAGCTAGCAATGGATATTTTAGATATAAACCAACCTTCCGATGGCCCCCATAACAGCAGATATTTTGACATTTCCAGTCAGGTATACACCCTGAATTTTATGCACACATTAAATCAAATGTATTCTAGATATGAAATGCAGCACAACTTCCAGGTAGAGAGTGCAACACTCAAAAGGAAAAAGAACTTCTGGCAACAGTCAACAGACTAATGTAGTCAGTGTGTTTGAGACAACACTTAAAGACACAGTCAATGAAACACTAACCCTAACTTTAATGTTGAGGATAACTTGACATGGCGGTGATGGAGTCAGCAAGGAGCTACTCTACTTGCACCACATCTGCTCGACTTGTTTACAGAGAAAAGCAGTGAAAACCCGGACAGGCGCATACAGTTTACTGTTGTGGTGAAGCAAGCAAACATTTGGTTAGAACAGTGCTCAAAGTGGTTGTAGAATATAAGGCAAAGTATTTTGTCCTACCGAGACAGTTACTGGTCAAGAAGAGATACTCAATGGCCAGTAAAAGACGACAAGAACACCTCAAAGTGTTAATATATGAATACAAATGAACTAAAATTTGAATATGTCACCATGTTACACCAATACTGGCTGAATACCTCGAAACACAGTCTCTATAATATCCATTCTGAGTGTTCTGATTTTTGTCTTCATGAAAGTTGTACCTGGTTAAGCTGCTCCAGGTCATCAAAGCCCTCGAGGACCCTCCGGTATTTCCTCTCCCTGTACTTCCTGCGGATGAACGTGGCGCGCTGCTCCGCCGAAGCCCCGCTGTAGAGCTCCTCCTCCAAGGGAAGATTAGCAGCCCATAAACTGTTAGCGTTCTTGTTCCCCACCTCCAGGAAGAGCTGAGGGTTAAGGAACATGGAGAAGTACAGGTGAGAATTATTTGGAGAGCTATTGGTAGGGATAAGGGGGTATGCGTCAAAACAGCTTCAGTATATTCCAATATAAAATGGCCAAGTAGGAGTAATGTTAATGTGCGACACTGCGTTGGATAATGTACAAAACAACATACAGTACGTACTTCCACTAGCTCATTACTCCAGATACTGCTGTCCAACTTCAAGCTCCTCACTTTGGAGATACTTGGGCCAAGGGAGCGGTGCTGTCCTGGTACACAGGAAGACACAGTCATCAACACGAGTTCACTCACACTCAGAAATTCAAACAACCGCTGGGTTTAATGAACCAGTTAGATATTAGATACATTCAAAAATGTCAGGCTACGCTTCTGGTTCCTGAAAGGTTCACTTGAGAAAAAAAAACAAAAAAAAAACAAGGACTGTAAGGAATATATCTATGCATGGAAATCTCCGCAGTATCTGAACAAACACACATCACATATCAAAGATGGAGTAAACAATAAACAGGCAGCTACAAGACGCAGAAACAGACCATGACTGGAAGCCCTTTCTCTCACTCACAACAGACATATTTAGTCCCCTCAGCACTCCTAATTGGAAATGAAAGCACAGAACGAGGCCCATTAATTGCTAATGAATCATGAGTAATTCATTGTGTTTGTGGGTCGGCATGTTTATTTGGGTTTACGAGAAGCTTCTGGGGTTGCTTATGGCCAAAGACAGAGCATACATGCATAATACATCTGGAAGAAACACGCTGTATGTGTGAATATGAATTATTGTCCTGTGTGTAAAGGAGGATAATTTTAGATTTAGATTTGGCATGATCTCATTACTGTCTTCTATGCTCAAGTAGAGCAGCTGTGAATGAAAATGTGGGGCCATGAGCTGTGAAAAGGCCGTCTTGACACAGATTTAGAGAGCACAGATACCAGAAATCATTAAGTTATTTGTCACCCAAGTTATTAAAAAGAGAAACTAACTATCCTGAGTTGTAGTGCCTTTTAAATCTGGCACCAGGACACATTAACTGACTGGTCTCGTTGCTCCCAGATAGGATTTTGAATCTGATATGCCAGGTCATATCCCATAGTGGTCTGGTTTGATCAAATGGGGAATACATTAAGAACAAAGGACAGTCCCAGTTTTCCTGCCAAAACAGTTGGACAGCTGAACCAATATTCATTCCTCCATGTGTACCCAGGCAGCATTTTACTGCTAATGTTTTCTATTCTATGTCTTTAGAATCAGCACCCATTTCTATAATAACTACAGTTTTCTAATGATTAACTTATAATGTTGTTGCACATGGCAGCTGGCAGTCTGTTAAACAGTTTAAACTGTTGGGATCATTGGGCGATAGAAATATGTGCAGTGTGTGTCGTCAGCATGGCTATGACAATTTACATCATGTAGTGTTCTAATTTAGCTGAGCGGAAGCATGTATGATGAAAAAAAGAGTGGACCAAGTATTGAACCCTGTGGAACACCATTAGGAATATGATGAGAATACAATATTTACAAAATTCTGTCTCCCTTTTAATTAAATAGGTAGGAAAATATATCCTTAATGTTTCAATGTATGTACTATAAGCATTGTGTTATCTAGTGTATCAAATGTGGCACTTAGATTGAGGAGGCATCACTTACATAAGCACATAAGCATGTTGTGAAGGACTTTTACTAGCGCAGATGAACATGTGCAATGTGTGATCTACAACCTACTTAAGAACGTGTGTTGAAATGGGAACTTTCAATAAGCTCTGAGTAACCTAGTTTGATAAAAAAAAAAACATGAAAAGTCTGTCGAGGGAAAGGAAGACTATGCAGTTGTTGCACCCAGGAGGTTGTGCCTGAATGAATTCATCATTTTCTAATACAAGAATTTAGCAAACCCATTTTAACAATGACCTAGGAGCAATTGAGCAAGATGGTTTAAACTGATTCAGTAAAAAAAAAAAATCTTGGGGTTAATAGCAGAATTTTGTTTACAATTCACCAACAATAATATAACCCTACTGTCCATGTTTGTCTGTTCTCAGTGATACTGTACGTGTTTCATGTGGGAAAGCACTATAAAGTGTCACGTGTGGATACATTCATGTGGTCAGACTTGTGTTTATATCTGGTTTGTCCAAAGTGACACTGAAAAGAGAGGAATGATTGCAGTCTTTGAGACCACGAGTCCAGTTTGATAAAAAAAAAAAAAAAGGGCGCCAGATTTCTGTCACTTTTACCTGTGACGGAGGGAAAACATTTCACTCTGGGCACCTGCTGAATTGCTACGGCCACGCTTGGTCCACTGCGTCACACAGCACCACAGGACCATTTTCACTTGTGTAAGGGTAATGAAGCTGAAAAAAGTGTGCATTTGCACATGCCACTGGGTACATGGTGAGATTTTCCCATATAAATAGCCTGTTGTAAATGTCTTTATCTTTCTAATAGAACCAAAACCACACACAAAAGGGCATTCCCATCACAGCAGCTTTCACAAAAAAAAAAAAACTGCCCGACCCGCAGAGGATCTCAGCCCCAATTAAAAACTTTCCAAGTGACAGTTCATGGAGCACTTTTCCAACCCCCTGTACTTGTTGTGTGCCATTTTCCCCTCACTCAATGATGAGTCAGAAGGAAACAAAACAAAGCAATGAGAACTGCATTTGTGGGTTACCATGGCAACTACCAGCGTACATGTCTACAAGTTGCATCCTGGTTTATTGCAATTATATGTGCGGAAAGGGGCATTTCCTCTGGGTGGCTGGGTATCACAGTGGGAGGGTACACAAGGAACAGTGTAGAAAGAGGGACAGCTTCAGTTATTGGGGAAGTAAAGTTACTGAGGAAGGGCTGGGACATGGGCTTATGTCTCCAGTTAACCATCTAAGAGAAACACCACCACCAACAGGAGTGGGAATGAGCTACACAACTCAATATTTTTATATTAACATTGGATCAAATGACTATGATGATGATACATGATCTGTAGTGTGACAGAGGTCTGTTGTAGTGACAAACCAACAGAGAACTATTACCTGACTCTGCAGTTCCCCTTCAGCTCTCAGCCTTTTAAGTGTCTTTTAGCTTACTGTTTTGGTTTCACAAAAGCTCTGATAAACTCATAAACACTCCTGATCCATAAACAGACAAAGTTCAGTGAAAACTGGGAAGTTTTAGCAGCCAACTACTATTTATCAGACTTTGGTGGAGAGCAAAACAGAGCTAAAAGGAAAGTGAATTTTGAATTTACCTTGTTTTTCTGGCTAGACCAAGGACTCAAATTGCATGCTAATGTTGCTATATGTCTGCTCTATGTGTAAATAGGCAATTGTTTGCTAACATTATCTTAAGTAAAAATATAATAACAATAATAAAAGTTAAAACGTTTTTGCTCTGCCCCCAAGTTGCCAAAAAAATCAATTAATGCAGGTTTAAGCCTTACCAGTTTTTAGTTTTTGTCATTTTCACCAGATAATACCAATATTATTTTAGCTGAGTAGCTTAAGTAGCTGATTACACACAGTAATGGTTATATTGTTGCAAGAAGACAGCAAACAAAGTCATCCTTTGACAAGGACAACTATGCTTATCGTAGGGAAAAGAAAAAGAAAGAAAAATGGGAGAAAAAATGAGCAACTGGTTAGGAATCTGTGTCTCTTCATGTAATTTAAAAAAGTTTTTTCCTAACATTTTAATCCAGGTTTTTGTGGAATTGTGTTTTGATGTTTTTACAAGATTCACAATAAACAAAGATCATCTTTTTTTAATAAAATGGAAAATATTGGACCCTAGCTGTCCTTCAAGTCTCCACAAACAAAGACAAAATATTAATAGTCTGTAGCTTCACATCAAAGAGGGAAGCTACAGACTATTAAAATTCATTCTGTCTTGGCACAAAAAGAGGAAAACCAATGTGGGATCATTTTCACCATTAGCCTTCTCATTACTTCTTTCCTCTTTCTCTTGTTCAGCATTTCTCTTTATTGTCCATGACATAAGAGCGCTAATTAAAAGCGCGAGCAGTCATTGGTATTCCAAATGGACCACCACCTAATTTAAGGAGAGCACAGTGTGAGGACAGCTTCCTCGTTGCAGATATTCACCCGCACTCTCCCAGCGTGTCGACAAAATGTAATATTAAACACCCCTGCAAATGAAATCATTTAAGGGTGTTTGAAAAGGGATGTTGGATATCTGATGCGTACCAATTACATGGGCTTTGCAGAGGTGAGGTGAAGAATCGCATTAAAACTTTAAGACTCTTGGAGAAATCTCAGGCCTGGAGAAGATCTGTAGAGGGGAATATGTATAGGAGCATGCAAGAGGAAAGAAGAAAAAAAAATACACACCAACCAGCAATCCCTCTAGATCAAGCATGGCCGCTGCTTCTCTCTAATCATGTTTAGCGGGTCAAGAAGCAGTTTGGGATCCCCCAAGTTCTCGCCCGTGGCTTAATCTTTGTTGTCATTTCATCTGAGCCATCCAGCATTGCCAAATAGATTAGAGAGTCCAGAGGGCAAACACCAACTCCCATAAGTGGCTTATCACCTGAGAACTTATTCCAAAAGAGCCTCTGGGTCAGAGTACATACTCACACAGACACAAACAAACACCAGACCACACGTACAGATTAAGAATTGAGTGCTAACAAGCTTTTCTTACTTTCTGGTCTCTTTTTGTTTCTCTCGCTATGACGTCAGACAGAGAAGAATAAATAATATTAATTAATATGAGCAAGAGAACGGTCTTTTTAACTCGCTTTGGCTTGTGACTTTCCATTAGCCAGACAGTGCTGACTTGTCATCCCCCATCACAGGTTGCAGATGTCTGTGAGTGGTGAGCAGTTCAGTAAAGAATGATGTTCACTACTCAGATCATTTCAGTAAAATGTAGTAGATTTTGTGAAAAGTTGAAAGAAAAAAAAAAACACATCATTTTTGTAAAAATGTCCTATGAAGGTTGTTGTAAAAACCTATGTGATTAATTAAAGGTAAAAAAAGTTCAGACACGTGGTTTTACTGACAAATTGCAATGAGTTACTAGGATAATCTGGAGAGTCTAAATGGTGCACAGCAGGTCCGCTGAACATTCATGTGAAATTTGTTTACAGACCAGCTTCCAATTAAACATATATAAAGAATAAAGTTGTAAGTAAGAAATAATGAATGGATATTTATTTGGGTTTAAATTCCCTTGGAAAGAAACTGCATATAGACCCAGTTAGACACGATAAACTACATCCTAACCAAGATTTTTCCTACAGTCGGTACAAAATTATGTAGTTTTTTTCCAGGAAAAATTCTAAGAAATCATTACCCATAAAATACAGTGTTTTTTCTCTTATACATATATATATCTTAAATGTATCTTGCGACAACTAAGGGGTCCATACTCGCATACTCCATACTGTTTTAAGAACTATCATATACAAGGTGTGTAATGGCACATTATGTAATAACACAATGTAACACCCGCATTTTGTAACAATCTGGCTCTTTTTAATACAAATGTCAATAAATAGCCTGAACCCAATATGTAATAAATGTCCCCACATTTTGTCATAAATTATATTGGCTATTACAAAACGTGGGAGTTGGTGTTTGCTTCGATTCACATAATGATCTGTGTGCGGGCAGACGTGTTTACATGTACTATATATGTATAGTTGTTTATCGGTGTTTGTGTGTGCCTGGATCAAGGACGTGAATGTCTGCATCAGAGAGTTGAAGGAAGCCAAGCGTAAAGTGGTGTACGCGAGTCCCTTACCTGCACACTTCTTACAGATGACCACACCCAGATTGACAGACGCCCACTCCGGCTGCAGGGCGCGACAGTCGGCACAGCTTCTGTTGGCCTCGTTGAACCAGATCTTCTCTGCCACTTCATAGTCGGAGAGTGTCTCAGCGATCGATTCTTGGACTGCTTCAATCCACTCCTCCTTCTCCCGTTCTGACTCGGCCGTGAAGCTGCAACAATTGATTTTTTTTTGCCCCCACCCCAACACATGCCTCACTGTTATTGATTTGATTTGAGAGAGCAATTAAACAGCATAGTATAGCTTGGCAGGGTTACGGGGGTGTGCAGTATTTGCAGTAGTTTTGGGGGGGTTGCTGAGTGTGTATGCCTATGTGTGATTGCAATAGATTTGGTGAAATTGATAGGGGAGTGGGAAGAGGGGGCGACTGGGCAGGTAAATCAATCCGTCTTACCTTGCACCATTAAGATCTATAAAAGTGCTAATGCAGGATATTTTTTCAGGATATTATTTCTAATATCAGATTCAGGAAAGTTGAGAAATGGAGACGGAAAAGGACAATCAACATAGATTAACAGCCTGGATATACATTTAAAACAACACTTATGTTATATAGTGGTATTATAAGTGATGATGCTGCTTCTTCTGCTGACATCAGTGCAGTTAGAGGCTCAAACGTTTTCATACCAATAGAAGTATACTGTATATTTAAAAGTGCTCCCACATGAAGGTACATTTATTTGCATTAATCGTGACTGAGACTATACTTCACCTTCATGTCAGCAATTACACTGTATGGCCAAAATTGTATTGGAATTATTTTCAAATTACGGGAATATTGTATTATTCTATATTATTTTAACAGCAGTGGTGGTAGACTGTTACCTGGACTTTTTGAACTTTGTGTGAGTTTAGTTTTTGTCGGAATTTGGATGGAATTATTTTAAATGGGAGGAGGCATCTTTATGTGTAATGATCTTTTCTTTCTGCACTGCTGTCAGCCTGTCGCAGCCATACCTTCCCTGACTTCAGTCTTTGACATGCACACGTGCTCATGTAAAAAGCCAATGAGAAACCTAGTGATGCATACTGTACATAACCAAAAATGTACTTTTGTCGGGAGAATTCTAGCAGGGGAAACCATGTTTTTCTAATCCCCTTAATTATGGAAACAAAGTTTTTCATGTACAATGCATTTTAGAAACCAGGTTTTTGCAGAAAGCCAATTGTAACCCAGTTACAGTAACTTAGTGCATTCAACACATCGAATGATATTTTAGATGCCAGTTTGGTGCGGAGGAACTTGACTGGCCTGCACATAAACTCCTTTTACCCCATCCAATACCTCTGGGATGAAGTGGAACACTGACTGCGGGCTAAACCTTTATTTCCCAGCATCAGTGCTTGGCGTCACTAGTGCACTTGTGGCTGAATGAGAGCAAAGCCCTGCAGCCTTCCCACAAGAGCAGTGGCTAGAGTTGTCACGAGAACTGATACTTTGGTACCAAGTCGACGCCGAGGTACTTGTTTTTCTGCAGTACAGCAGGTGCCGGCTTTTCAATTCTTCAGGTCCTGACGGGGCAGTATATAGCCCTACAAGCAGCCTCTCCCATTATAAACTGTGGTGGCCCGTCATGTTCTGTTTTGCACCATCGCTTCAGCAAAGAACCTCTCTATCCCGGGAAGTATCCGCCATTGATTAACTAGTGGACAAATCTCCCAGAGAAACACAGAGAGAGAGACGTTCTCTGTCACAGATATATTGTATATTTTCCAAGCACAGACACAGGTAAAGCAAGAGTGAACAGCAGCGAACACATCAGCTGGTACCGATGTCTTTCGGTGACCACGCTGGTTTTAAGGCTACTTCACTCACAACAAGCTTCCTCACACACGGCTCACCTGCTCTCGTTAAAACGGAATCGTGGGTGAAAAAATCCCAATGTGCTTTTTGACTGACTTTATAAAAAGTACTGCTGAAGAAAGTCAACAGAGACACATACACACACACACACACACACACACACACACACACCTCACCTACATGTACCGCTACAACCTGGGAGGTCAGAGCAGCCACATTTTGAACGTTTTTTGAAACTTAGTACCTGACAAGTCAAGTCAATGAGATTTTTTGATGAGGGGAAGAGTTGGAAGGTCAGGAAAAATCCAAAATATATGAAATACATTTGCACACCACACACACATACAGTAAAGGCCTGCACTGTTAAACCTCCCAAATTAGGAGTTTCACCTGTCTCTCAATCCATCTATGTCTTACTCATTAGTTTTCCAGAATGAGATTTTTTTTGGAAAACACACACACACACACACACACACACACACACACACACACACACACACACACACACACACACACACACACACACACACACACAGGAAAGATGGAAATGTCTATTACAGTCTAACAAGCATTTATAAAGATACCTCGCAGGGACAGGCAGCACAGGTTTTTTTAATGGACATGATGTACTCTGAAGAAGTTGCTGAATGTGCCGAGTAACTCAAAATTAGCTGAGAGTCTGATAAGTGTATGCAACAAGCAATCTGTGCACATGTGCGAGGAAGAAGACGGACAGCAAGAACAGCGCATATATAAAACTGAGAGAGCGAAGGAAGGAGGGAGGAGAGACGGTCCTAGCTTGACTGAAAGAAGCACTTAGACAGGAGAAATGGGACCACTGGTCTCCATGGCAACCTGGCGACCGGTGTGAAGTAAGACGGAAGATGAGGTCGGGGGGTGGGGGGGAGGAGAGGACGGGGAGGGGAGGGGAGGGGAAGCTTTCGCCCGGAGCAGAGGATGTGCACCGGGCCAGCCTCGCCCAAGTAACCCAGCAGAGATCGATAGGTTGATTGGGTTCAGCCGTTCTGTGCCCACCGCACTCTGGCCCAGGGCCCGTCTAAAGAGATGACTGCTCACATCGTCTGGTGAACTACAACATGGCCTCCACGACCACAGAGGACCAAAGGGAGGCAGGAGGCAGAGTTTGCGAAATGTTCCCTAAGCTGCAGAGTTTTAGATGCGAAGTGAAGGCCGAAGCCGCAAAATAATGCACAGCTGTGAGGACAACAGGTGGTAGAGGAAAAATAATACATAAAGAATTCAAACAGCTAATGTTATATGAAAGACAACATAAATGTAAGAGGTGGAGCAGGGATGAAATTACTATGTTTTACAAGCTATCAATAATAAAATTGGTGTCTTTGCTACGATTCTAAATTTAGGTATAACTAAGCTGTATGCAAGCGCTGTGTTTCCCCAAAATTACAACTTTCAAGCAATCGCACTTATTGTGGAAATATGTCAATCACCCTCACAACCACAGGCTTCAGGCTTGCATCGTCTCCCTCCCCACCACACAGGGCTCTTAGAGCTTTGATGTTATTCACGCTGCTTCCATGTAATTATCCCGAAAAAGTTATCAAAGCTGAAAGTAAACTAAGAGAGCAATCAGCCGTTTTTAGCCGTCAAACACCTGACAGTTTATGTAACAATTTATGGAGAATAGTTTGACATCTGGGGAAATGCTTATTCGCTTTCTTGCCAAGAGCTAGATGAGAAGATTGAGAAGTCTTTTTGTTAGCTTAAATACAAGAAGGGGAGATGGTAAGCTTAGGGGAAACAGCGAGTGTGGCACTGTCCAAAGGTAAGATCATCTCGTGGCAGGGTGCAGTGACTTCCTGGAACCTTGTCATCACTGTGAGGTTCCCAGGCAACCAGCAGAGACTTGAGGAAGTCACTGCTCCCAGCCAAGAAATAGTTTGGCACACAACTTGAAAAACATTGGTTTTACACTTAGTTGTTTGTACATAAACAAAAGAATGACGTGTTAATTACTGAGCTATAGAGGTTCTGATAGGTTGTTAGCTTTGGACAGAGCCCGACTAGCTGTTTCTTCCCCCGTTTCCAGTCTTTATGATAAGCTAAGATAACTGTCCCCTGGCTAAAGCTTTCCATATTTAACAGACAGACATGAGAGTGCTATCATTGACTTATCTAACGCTTGGTAGGAAAGCAAATAAGCGTATTTCCCAAAAGGTCAAACTATTCTATTAAAAAAGCACATCTAACATTTCATTTCAATTGGTCTGCATGACCTTCATGGTCTGGAGTTGGAAATACTGCTCTTTACAGTCAGCTTCAGGGTTCCCCATCCACCCAAGGACCTAGTAACAGTCCCCTCTCATGAAAATGTATTTTGTATAAAATGTGAAATGACAATTAAATTGGGGAATCCAATTTCCATGTGCAGTGGCTTGAAAGACTTTTTTCAAAATTCTCAGTTAAATTGAGCATTAGATTTAAGTTTACTCCCACTGGTGTCCTTTATCTTATTTGCTGTTTAAGGTATTTCTCCTCTGCTACCCTACATGCTACATGTAAGTGAGCAAATCTAATAGTTCTTCATGAATGATGAATACGGCTCCTTTTGCATGCATGCATAATGGACATAACGGTAAGGGAGTCAAATATAAAATGGTTTATATTATTAAATATAAGTTATTTTTAAAAATAAGACTTCATCAGTCCAAGCTGAGGAGCATTGATATTTATTTCAAAACATGACAACCAGTCATTCCGATTACATTTATTACCGGTGAATGCCAGTCACTGACACCTCTAAATAACTTTTGTCCTCACAGTTAAAGCCAAAAAAGATTAAACTGAAATGAGTTATCCCGATCCAAAGTTAGAAGAGAAATTTCTTTAATCATTACACCCAAAGGATTAAAGGTGGATGTTAAGAAAAGATTAAAACAAAATTAGGAAAAAGTGGGGGAAGGCATGAGAGAGCAAGAGTGATCTTCTAAAGCCGTCGAAGTGTCCAACACTTCAAGAGGCAGAATGATGACAACATTGTGATCAACATTTTCTCAAGCAACTGCCTGATTGATGGATCGTAAGAGACTCAATGAGGTAGTGTGAAACAGTTTGAGGAGTCTAAACAATCCTGAGACAACATCCGACTTCAGATTCAATCAATCATAAGTCAGAACTGCGATTATGTTAACACAGTTGCGCAAAAGTTACATTTATTTTCATTTAATTTCAGCATTTTCAGCATCGCCATCGGGTCATATTTGCAGTATCTCTGTAAATGTAGATAAAAATACAGCTTTTGAACATGATTCCAATGTAAGTGAACGGAGACAAAATTCTAAGTTAAATTAAATTTGGTCCTAAAAAGGCTGTAAATACTTAAGATTTGTTTAAGACAGAAAAAAGCAGCCAGTATTTTTCCATGTACATCTGGCAATATGAGTAGTGTTTTAACAGTCACAGTAGTTATAGAGTTTTTTTTACTGCTGCCACACTGATACAATGGAGTTGTATGCACCAAACAAAAACAAAACCAGACAAACATGGATTTTCTTCAATATGCCCTTGAGCTAGGCATTTATCTGCAGCTTTACTTTAGTAGGTGCTTTCTGATCTGAAGAGCACAAAGTTTTTCTTCTCTCCAAAGTTGAGTGTCTTTGTCTGGTAACATCTCCTCTCCGCCTCATTGTCATTCTCTCTACTCATAAAAAGTCTGCAACTGCATCTACCACAGCGGGCTGAACGCTCTGTCCATTTAACGGCAGCAAAACAATGAAAAAGCCAAAGTGAGTCTCCACAGCTTAAAGTGATTAGATGAGTTTCTCACTAATCCCCACCTTGAGCAGGTAGGAGAACGCTCCCAGGGCTACCAATCGATTTGATCCAAACACACACACACACACACACACACACACACACACACACACAAAAAAACCCTTTCAGCAATCACCTCATCAAAACAATTCGGGAGACCTGAGCTCATTTTAATTCCACCTCTTTTTTGTTTCACACAAAATGGCAATTACGTCCAGCGTAATAACGAAGCTGCCAAACGATGGGACCATTAAGGGAGCTGACACAAACAGATCGATCGGACATACAACAGACAGGTAGAGGAATGAGGGGGGAAAAAATCTTTACACAAGGCAACGGGCAAAAAGGGAAGGGGTAAAAAAAAGAAGAGAAAGTAGCGAACAAGCGCGCACAAAACAAACAAGCCGTGCTTTGTCCGGGCAGCTGTGACGGTTGTATTCTAAATGGGCCATTACAGCACAAACAAGCAGTGCGCTCATTGATTGTAGGCCCTCAGGGATTGAAGTCACCTGAAAGGCTTTGTGCCCTACAGAGGCAGAGATACCTGCGCGAAGCTCTCAGGGGAGATTTCAATAAAAAAACAATCCCAATCTATACGTAGTGATTTTTGTACAGGACCCTGTTCTCATGTAGCGTGTTTATTGCAATGACCAATAAGTCTGCCATGTGGTGGTGGGGGCCGGTTTGTGAAAGAGAACTGACAGGAGAACACAGAGTGCCACTAAAGTGCAGTCAAAAGAAACTTATGAGGAGATTCTCTGTCTCTCATTAGAGCAGAGTCTTAACTTTGTGACAACGCCTGCTCATTAGTTTCACGACTTACATCTCTAACAAAAACAAACTACATTTTGTTTTGTAAACAATAAAAGTGTATACATTTGTTTCAAATGACTGAATCATTTAAAAATAACAAATGGTATCAGAAACTTTTATTTTTGTTTGTGATATTAAAGTGTATCTAAACCCCTCAATTTTACAGTCACTAGAAGCACATTCATGTCGTTTGTTAAAGTTTCTGCACGGTGCCTGTGTTGTAGCTAAGTTAGGGGCTGTGTGGTAGCTACGTTAGCGGCTCAGGGAGGCTAACAGTCCAATATGTGACATCTATTTCATGTCTGTCCTGCAAAAGGGATCCCTCCTCTGTTGCTCTTCATAAGTTTTTTCCCCCTTTTTTTTCCCTATTTTCCCTGTTGCATCAGATACTAACCAATTAGCAGATTGAACGTGAGAAAAAAGACTGAATTGAGGGGAAAACAAGTTTACCAACTCATCCACAGATCCAAACCTGAGCAAACAAAGGTTTGGAGAGTCCCTCAGTCAGGACAAACTTAATATGACATAATCCACCAAACCAAACAGATTAGCCGAAAAGGTTAACCAACATCTATAATCATAACATTAGGTGTTAGTTTGCAGTATGAACTAATAATAAGTAATAAGTAATAATAATAATGAGTAATTTCTTTTTTTGTCCTTTGTGACAGCAACATAAAGAAACACATAATGTGCGGTGGCCTTCTGTCAGTAACCAGAATGTGGTTTCCCCCCCTTAGAAGGTGCCTGTAGCAGGATGACAGTGACCACAACTGTCCAATGAATGACAGTCAGTCTTTTTAAAAGTCAGTGTGAACAGGGTAATGGAGCAGAACTAACAGGACTGGATCAAAACCACCAAACAATAGGTGGGAAAAGGATCTCAGCAAAGATTCTCAACATTCATGTCATCTCATTCATCAATTTGTTCTTTATTGCTCACTTGACTCACTTTGGTCTTTTTAAATGGCACTCAAGCTTATTTTAACTTCATGATACATAATGGTTTTATATTTGCACATCTTTCTGAAAAGATAGAAAAAAAAGGAGGCAGATAAGTTTGATGAGTTTTGTTATTTTAAAGCCTTAAAAACATTCAGGTTTGAATTAATCCTCTGAGTGAAAGCCAGGGTTATAAAAAAATACTTACATGTATAAGAGCAGATTAACTAAAATGCTTGCCCTTGTCTTTTGGTTTTAGTAATTTGTGACTATAAATGGTTTATGAGATGTGATTACTGAGATTAAAATACAGTGTAGCAAGGGGATTAGTGTATGTGAAGGGCATTTCCCAAACTATGTTTAAAATGAGATGATAATGCAGGGAGATTTTTTTAAAGACAGGAATACGAATAGGTCTTGACACACAACCTCCAGGTGAGGTTTTAAACAAATGTGGAGGTGGGCTGCAGTGTCAACCTGTTGAATACATCGTTTTGAGGCACCTGTATTCAAGGAAATATTCCTCCACTGACATCCGCCTTTCAGATGATGAAAACAGCATTGAGAAACAGAGTATCTGTTAAGGTAAGAGCCCTGAGATCAAACAGAAAAGAGCGCACTTTTCTCTCTCACACGAAGAAATAAAAAGACACATGAATAGCTCTTTGTTGTGGTAGAAGATGGGCAAGAGACTCGGGAAAAGAGATATGCATACATGTACACAATCACATGCGTGCAAGTGCGAGTCCAGACGTACCAGAAGTTTTTGAAGGGTGTGTTGATATCAAAGCACCTGCGGTCCGCGTCTCTAATATTGGCAGCAGTCAGTTCCACTTCAGCTACAGCGAGACCTGATTTAAAGTCCTGAAAAAAACACAAACAGAGAGATGGAGCCACTTTAAAAAACACCCACAATTAATGGCCTTGTTTTTTTTTGTTTTGTTTTTTTTTTTTTACTGGAGAGAGATGAGAAGATCAATACCACTCTCATGTCTATGCGTTAAGTATGGAGTCAATTAGCCTAGTCTAGCCTAGCTTAAATACTGGAAGCAAGAGGAAACCGCAAGCCTTGCCGCTGTTCACCAAGAAATATTTTCAGCATTTAACACCCTTTTAGAATTTGTTTTCCTTCAAAAAAAAAAGGTGCCAGTTAAGGTGGTTTGATCGCGTTAGGATGCCCACTGAACCCCTCCCTGTGGAGGTATTCCAGGTAACTAGAAGGACACCCGTGGGCCAGACCCAGAACTGGGATCATGTATTCCAACAGCTCCCATGAGGAGCTCTGGGAAATAGATAGGAAGGAATACCTTTCCTGCTAATGCACCACCCCGACAAGGACCTGCAAGAGGCGGAAAATAGAAGCACGGATGGACAGCTAAGAAACATGTCAACTGAGCATTAGTCATTGTCTTGAATCACGTTCCCACTTTTATAGCCAGAAAATGTGTCCTGCAAATGTTCAAAATAAACACAGAAACTATTCAATTCTCAACTCAAATGTATTCCCAAATGGCCCCAAATGTTAGGGTCCTTTACTAGACACCACGACAAAGCCGTTTTTGGCCAAATTAGAGGCTCTCTCTAATAACATGGGATCAACAGGTCGCCTCATTAAAGTCACAACTTGTTTCCCACATGGGGTTTGAATGTCATTTGGTCTAATGAAAACTAACAAACACTAAAAAAAAGATCCACAATAACTACAGGGACATTTTCAGTCTCAGCTGCCTGGCATCTTGTGGGCTGTTTTTTTTTTGGAAATGGCACTGGACATAGAGTTAGACGTGTGAGAGGCCGGCTGAAAATAACTTGTGACAGACCAATAACGCACCAAACAGTCATTGGTTTTTTTTCTCCTTCTCACCAATGACGTACAAAACCAAGTGTGTGTGAGACGTGAGAGTTAAAGCAAGACAGAAAGAGAGGCTATAGGGTGTGTTGTTGTATGGAGTGTGCATGTGTGTGTATACCTGTGTGAAACGGCAAAGCTCTGCGAAAGGCAAAGGTGCATCTGGGGAATCAAACCAACCCAAGCTTTCAGCCTCAGTGTTTTCTGAGGCCCATTTCAGAAATAGGGGTTAGATACAGAGGCACAGTTTTCATAAGCTCCACTATAACTCTGCATCGCACCCTCCCTTCTCCGCTTCACCCTCAACACTCACAGCAGTTTAGACCGTTTTCTATAGCCTTGAGCTCTGAGCTGAGACAGAAGAAACAGACAGGAAGACAAAAGAAGTGCATCAACACCCACACACACATAGGCACAACATCAAAATAGAGCACAAAAACACACACAGGCATCCAAAATTACAATAGAAAAAGAAAAAAAATATACACTCTTTACTCCATCACTGAGGCACATAGACAAAGCCAAAAAATATGAGTCAAAAGATGGGGGAGAGAAAAACAGCGAGAACACAAAGGAAAGGGGAAGGAGGGAGAAAGCATAAGTGAAAGAAGGTCTTGGTAATCCTTGCAGGGAGTGGGTGAGACGGGTGAGGGGTCAGTTGAGCAGTTGACAGAAAGAAAAGTGAGTGTGTGTAGAAAGAGCCAGAACAAAAGCAGGACCTGCGCCAATACTCCTCAACAGCGGATCACAAAACACCGCCTTAGCGAGGAGCGCTAAACGCTGCCACGCTGTGCCAGCTATAAAGCATGTGTGTTTTCTGTGCTAGCTGTTCTTCACCAGCAAAACAATTTACACTAATTACACCAAACAAAGAGAGGAAAATGAATCGACACCATCTTTGTTGATTAGGCGCTTTTTGGGAATACACGGCCTAGCAGAGCAAAGACGAGTGCGTGTGTGTGTTTATGCATGTGGGGGAGAGCGCTGCCACGTCTCTTGCAGAAGTCTTCAACTAATTAGCTGCAAACTTCTCGGTGTAGCCAAATTTTGCAGATTGCAACCCAAGGAGGAAGTCACTTAAATATTTGCACGCTGCAGGATTTCCAACCTGATCTTTCAGTGCTGTGTGTGGGTTGGTTCAATTGGGGCTAATGTTGTCAAAATCTTCATTTGACCATCATTAGCCCCAATTAGACTACTTCAAACAAATTTAGAGGACTGCGGCGGAAGATCCAAGCAATTATTCTCCTTCCCGAACAGTTCCGCACAATGATACTGAACAAGTGGAGTAGTAACACAGCGGCAGCGTGGAGATCAGATCCTATGAAGCATTTTGCGTAATTAAGACACTCTGAGGTTGGAAGAGGACGACTTAAGAGACAGACAGAGAGTGAGACAAGTGAGTCCACTGTACGGCCGGGTCCTAATTGAGCTAAAAGTTTTGATGTGAGGGTTCTGAAGCAGCCGAAACTTGCCGCTCCACCCTATCAATTATAACTACGTACGGTCATTGCTCTTTTAAAGTCTGCATGTTTCTGAGGTTTGAAGATGCGTGACGTGGTAATGAGAGCTGCGGGCATGGAACCAACCTCATCCGAAGCCCATTCCCGCAAACCATTCGGCTCATCCAAGGATCTGAAGGCAGCGAGCGGGTGCGATTTAAAAACAGAAGGAGGAAGTGGTTTACATGTATTATTGTATCCTGTTTCACACTGGACTGATATATGGAGACGGACGTGTCGTATGTGCACATACACGCCTTTCTGAATGTATGCGCATGTGAGTGTGCGTGTCTGTGCAGAGAGGGCAAAGCAGTCACCTATACCTAATGACCCTCATCCCTCTCAGGCAGCCAATTAGAGCACTGGGTGTTAGCGGCCGTCCAGCCCTCGCCACTCGTTACCTACCCAATATGTGCCGTGGCCTCCTGCCCTCTCCAATTAATTCACCAAGGATGGAGGGAAGGAGGGATGGGAAGAGGAAGGAAAGGCAGTAAAAATAACTCACCCAATTACAACAGCCAAGGGGTAGGTGGCAATAATGGTGCTCAAGGGGGCGGGGGGGAATAGGCCCCGGGCGATTGCTATTACGCATGCGTGATTTTATGCACTTTTTTGCTCACATACCACGTTACATAAAGCATTTCAAGAGAACTTCATCAACTCAAATCACGAAAACACACCAGATTCCTGCTAAGTGTGAGAGAAAATGGAATTTCTCTTGCACCTAAAATGAATAACCTTTACCTGGTAAGTGCTGAGTAAAGCCCACTCTGAATATTCAAGCTATGCATCCAATTATAATTTCTTTCAAAGCTTTCCAACCTCTTATTGTGTGAGTCAGTCGCTCCGCAGCACCGAGCAGCTCTAAAAAGAAGCCAGACAAGCAAAGGCGGCCTCTACTTCTATCTCCAATTCCATGTCCACTCAACAGCTTAAGATGCTCTAAAAGCATGCAGGCAAAGACTGCGTCTCGCAGAGGTAGGTGGGTTTAAAAGAGCACACACACTCAATGGAGACAAAAGACTGAAAGATTATTTTAAACATCAAGGAGTGAGACCGAGAAGCCATGAACGGCAAGGAGCTACAATCGATGATAGAGGATAAAAAGACAAATAATTCCACTGAATATGTGGAGAAACAGAAAGAGGCAAGTGATGAATGCACTTGTACTAAACCTGAACAAGAAGCATCTAGTCAATATTTCAAGTAAGAACATCATGTATTTAAGTGAGGAGAGATTTTGAAGTGCAACCAGCAGCGAGTAAAAGTCACTCAGTTGGTCTGTCAGTCATTTGGTCGACAATATTTCATAAAACTTTAGTGTTCATGTGGATCACGTCTATAAAGACTTTATAAGTCTGACTTGTGCTTCAGTGTGAATTTAGCTCAGCCGGTGAAGAGCAGGTTTGGCAAAAGTAAAAGGTCCAGAGGTTGAGTTTCTAATCCCAAATGAGTCAATTTAGTGCCAACCTAGCTGGATCTGGCATGAATCATATGCTTGTTCAGATCAAACTTTGTAAATCTGATTTAATATTTAAAGATGCACACGTCAATATTTTTTTTAGCCATGCTAGCAACGTGCCTTTTCGGGTGGCAGTGCTGTTCAGCCTGTCAACCACAGTCCAGACTGAAATATCTCAAAAACCTTGGGATGGACTGATTCCGGAATTTTGTACAGACCTTGATGGTCACCAGAAGATAAATCCTACTGACTTTGGTGACACCATTCTGGCTCCAATGGTATCCAGTATATTTTGTTAATGTGCAAACAATTGGTGATAATTAGCAAATGTTAGCATGCTACGCGTTAAACTAGGCTAAAAAGAACGTTAATCTCGTGTTAAAAAAATTGACGCGGTTAAAATGGGTTTGCGTTAACGCCGTTAATAGCGCGTTTAACTGACAGCACTAGTGTAGTGTAATGTGAAATGTGAAAAGGCTCCAGTTTTTAGCAAAAAAAAAAGGCATGCCAAACTCCCTATATGCCTCGTACCAAATGGCGGACAAAAGGTATAGACTTTGTAGCTAGCCTTTAGCAGCTAAAAAGAAAAATTTTTTCCTCAAGAGTTGTTTGAGACCCAAATAGAGCTAAAGGAAGAGTTAATATTGACCAATATTGAGCATTCATAGGTGAACAGACCCATCAAATGAATGCTAATGTCGCTCTGTGTCTGCCGGATGTGTAAATAAGCAACTGTCAACACATTCACCATATGAACTTGTTGTGCTGCATCCAGTTAGCCATAAATAAATATAATGCAGGTGTAACTTGCACTCAACACAATACAGTAGAGCATTTAAAATGTGCTGATTATCTTTCAGCTGCATCAGGTATGCCAAAAGAAACAAAACTCATTACAAGACGAGGGCCTTGGTGAAACGAGACGTGCTCCTGTGTCACAAATTCTACAAAACGGCCTTGCTGTCTTGGGATGATGTTAATTGTTACAAAGCAGATCTAAAGAGGTGCAAATGAGAAAGAGATTTAATTAAAGTAGAGATTAATTAAATCCTCACTCTTGCTGTTATTGTATACTCAGAGTACCTTTCCCACCAGAGTAGGGCTCTACTGTATGTGTAACTTTTGCTAAGTAGTAGTAAAAGATATGTGGGAGGCATTTTTGTTTCAACCAAGATTTCACTGGCAATACTGGGTTCCACTAAGCTAGCGGGAACCTAAATGACATACAAGATGGCAGCAAGAAATATGATAATCCAACAGTCAATCAATCATTCAGCTACCGGAGTGAACACAAACCAGAGAGGACTTGTGATGTATGAGATGATGAGACACGAAACAAGTTACCCTGGTTGTACCAATCTGCCTACAGTATGCAGCCCGTGGCAGGGAGATCATTCTCGGAGTGAAAACTTGTTTACGTGACACACTTTGCACACCGTCTGACTTTCTTTACCTTGGTGTTTAAATGACCTTAAACACAGCTTCATCACAGGGCTTTACGGTCTGTGAGAAATGGGGTAGGGTGGTAGAGGAGGAGCTGGGAGGATGATGTTTCCAATAGCTCGTTCATCATGTTAGATTAAATACTCCACTCCACTGAACTTGAACAGGGCAACGGTCTACTTCCCTCCCTGCGCTCTCGCTCTCCATCACGCTCTCCTTTCTCTTACAAACCACCAACGCTCGTTTCTCACTCATGCGCCCTCTGCACCGAAGTGCCCCCGCCCCTCCATCCCTTTCACTTCATCTTTGTACTTCTATCTCCTTTGTGTCTGTCTCTTATTCCCTTGTCTTTCATTTGCAGTCTCCCTTCCCTCTCTGCAAAACGCACTTACGCTGCTGCCGCATTTATGTCGGGGATTTAGCTTGTAAGCTGAAATAATACAATTAATTTGTTCTCTGTCTGATTCCCCCCCCCACCCCCTCCCACCCTCTCCCCGTTTCTCCTGCTGTCTCAGATCAAGGAAGTGGAAATGTGCTGACATGGAGTGATACCCAAAAGAGAATTCTAACAAAGATGTTTGTTCACGCTAATGAAGAAAATAATGAAAGGCAAACAACAAAACTAAAAGAGCGAGCGAAACAAAATGAGAGCCAAGGAGGGATGGAAATGAGCTGAATGCGGGTAGCATTATCAAATACGCACACAAATACGTGCGAGGCACTTTAAGGAATAGTGTCACCAAGTATGAGGTATCTTTCCATCTCAGATAGGATATCTTGCAGACGGGACAGGAGTGGGCAGAGAACAGAGTCTTGTGAACGTGAGCAGGGACTATCAGGGCTTAATTGGACTCACATCAAGAAAGACTCAGGAGAAGCTATGACTAAGAGAAAACTTATCTCTTTCTTTATTCTGCAGTTAAGAGGAGATGTAAGTTATCAGAAAGAGCTGTAAGAATAACACCAAGTAGGCTACTTAAAGGAGTTCACTGACTTTATGGGCCTGTTGGTAATGCGAGGGTAAAACACTACAAGGAAGCCGGTAATATTTTAGCAGTGTGTAAAAAGGGAACTTAACAAATTTTACTTAGTTTCCTAGTCATGGGTACTACTCGTGCTGTGAAAACAAGTCAGACAAATTTACATTTTGCCATGTGTTCCATTCCTGTAAACAGGGGGGAACAGCTACCCTGGCTCCTTCCAAAGTTAAAAACAGAGATGTGGCTGTGTGGACTGATATCAGACTGATATCGGACTCTGTGCTGAAGCTAGCAAGAGTGGATTACGATGCAGAACTTTCCGGCAAAACAAAAAGGTGGAGGTGTCTGTTTTTATACGAACAGTGGCTGGTCAAATAATGTATCAGTGATTCAGCCTCACTGCTCTCCTGATCTAGAATCCTTTCCGATCAGCTGCAAACCTGTCTACCTGTGAGTTTTGTTTTATTAATTCTGTGCAGGACACAACCAGCCACAACTTTACTTTGTGTGTGCAAGCACGCATCATATATATAGGTACCTTCTGAACTTGACCCGTGCCAGTGCCTAAAAGTCTGGATACTCCGTCCTCTGCTGCTTCGATCCGACTATGCAAGTCTCTCAAAAGATTTATGGAAGCGCAAGAGTAAATCACTAGAGTAGCCACTGAAAGTGGAAATTCATCAGAAGCTGCAAAAACAAGAACAGTCTAGTATCCAGAGAATAAATATGACACTGAGCAGTTTGAGGGATTATAAAGTACACATGAAGTCAGGAGTAATGGGAATTAAGCCACATAAAGTTTAAAAGGCAGGTGCAGCACTGTCGATATTTGCTGGAAGAGAAGTTCAGGATTTATAGAGAAACTGCCACAGTACTGAGGTTAAGACCAGACTAACCTTTTTTATACTGCATGTGGAAAGTTTTATTTTTCCTCTTAGCCCTTGCCATCTAAGGCAGGGGCTGGTCGCTTATATTTAAAGGAGATTTCAGCCCACAAATGTGCTATTGTACAAATAGCACAGAATATCAATCAGAACTTAAAATGCCTTGCTTAATAAAATAAGAAACCATGATTAATAGTCCAAACAGCTACTGCATAAATATTCACTTTAACCAAAGGGTATATTTAGACAAATAAAATGTTTGTGAATACTTGATTAGTTTCTTGAATCAGTGGTTAAGTGCAGATTTAACAAGAGGGGAAAACGGGCTAAAATATAATTAAATATTAAAAGAACTTGCAGACATAACATTAAGTATTGCAGACCTATTCTGCAATACTTACAATGCAAAAGTGTCACTCAAATTAAATTAGTGTAAAACAAAATGACACTCCCACAAAACAATAAGATGAATCGCATTACTGCATATGTTAGTTACAAACCTTCACTGTATACATCTCTCATCAAAACTGCCGTCACTGTGTCTGTTATGTGAGGACTGATGTTATGACGCGGACTGTGTGAAATTAAAGGAATATGCTCAAACCCTCACATCATTCTCTCAATTGAGAAAAATACACATACACGTGCATTCACAAAACAGCAAACCCAGGCTTCCACGATTATTAAAGCAAATCAAACTTAAATGAAAGAAATCTAATAATCTTAGATGTTTACCACTAATTGGACAAAATGAACCAAAAGGTGGCGCCAGAAGAAAGGCAGTGCTGCTGGCGAAAGGAAGAGATGTTTTGGAGTTGCATTATGGGAAGTGTAGGATTCAGGGTTTTTGCAGATTGACAAAAGGTGCTTCCAGAGGAGAGACACTGTTGTTATCTGAATCACAAGGATTTTGTCCTCTGGTGGACTTGTTCAGAGATTAGTGCGCACAGATTCTCAAAATGAAAAAGGAACAAGTTCCCGTTATGGTTCATGTTTGCCCTATAGGACACACCAGAGCAGTAATAATCTGGCATCCATTTGCCCGCAAAAGGGCAAATGGATGAACCAAAAGGGGCACTTGGCACATCAGAGGATCACTTGTGGTCACTTGGGCTGACCAGAGGAGCATTTGGTGCTTACTGTGTGACATTTGGGCAACAATGATGCTTGGAAGTGACTCTTCAGAACACCAAAAATTCTGGCTGGACAAAGGGCAATTTGGCACAAGAGCAAAGAAAAAAGGGCAGGGGCAATTGTTGCCACTTATAGTGCTGCTGGCTGACTAGCCTGGGATTGCAGTACTTTTAAGGTTGATGAGAGGAGCAGGGGACATGCGCCAGGGCCCTAAACCTTCGACAGTATGCAAAGCCCAGCATTCATCAGCTGGTAAGTGGTAATATAAGGATTGGGAACATCCACCACAAAAGCAGAATGTCAACCCAAAAGGTAAGATCCTAGAGACGGGTACTATATCATTACCTGTCTTTGTTGAGGGACACGCACACATTTTTGACCCTGCCTCCCAAGTGGGTTAATCCGGCCGTGGAAAGGAAACGATTGTCCCAATTCTATCTGCTAATAAAGTTTTGTTTCCACAAACTATATATTCTTTCTTTCTCCACATCTTTTCCAGTTTGCTCTGCACTGATCATAGTTGCACTTGCATGTCTGGTCAACAAAGTTGCATAAGTAAGTTGGCTACACTCAGTCATTCCCGTGCTTGTACCCACCAAAAATGGAGCGCAATAAATATCAGTGAACCCTGGGGCATTTTCAGACATTATATTTACTTTTTTTGCATTAGACATTCATGAACATCTCTATATCTTTCATGAACATCTCCATCTCTGCCTCATCTGCTTCAAAATAGGCTGTGATTATTATCTTCCCTTTTCAAACAGGAAGCTGTCATCCTGTAGAGAAGAAGTCCCGGCGGTGTTGGAAGTACCTGTTCTGTTTTGCAGAGCCTGACTTTACTCCCCGCCAGGGACACAAGCACTCTGCCTTTGTAACCGCGAAGCTCCAGCAAGCCTCGCTTGTTTGTGGAGGAGAGGTGGGGGAGGCTGTTGGAGCGCTTCTGGGAGCCGCAGGCGGGGGGGCGCGTGGCCGTCTGAAGAGTTTCCATCCACTCCTGGCGCTCCCCTGTGGACATGTGCACGAGTGAGAGACGGAAAGAGACAAAAAGAGAAGTAGATGCATGTGGATACAAGTGTGTGAAGGAGTAAAAGCGAGAGAGAACGACATCAAGAAGAGAATCAGACATAGAGAGACTGGGGCATCTTAAAGGCTTTGAATCATATTGTTAATTCATCATTTTTGCATCCCCTTCAGTGGGTTACACTGGACTGTTGGCTGCTAAACTCCATTTCATACTGATACAGAAATGTTCAGTCTTAAAGAAAAGTAATTGAAACGCAGGATGAGCTACGACTGGTGAAAATTAACTTAGCCCCTGGAAAAAAAGAATATCCTGCAAAGCTTAAAAGTGCAAAGTCTAGCACTAGAGATATAGATAGCTGCTACTCTGAGCTTTGCAAGCCTCGAGCGAGATGTAGCCGGGGTAATTTGAGTCAAACACACCACCTAATTAAAATATATAATTAAAAAATATGCTTTTAATGAGACGCAGCCATAGTTCTGTGAATCCACTCATTTATCTCAACCTGGAAAATGACAAAGTCACAGAAAGGTGTGAATACATTTCACAGATGGGTTTATTTCACCTGTAAAGGACTAGCACTTTGATTTGTTGAAAAAAAAAAAAAAGTTAGAAAGTTCTTGTGGTTAGAACAACTTCACTGAGCCCTATCAAGCTTTATGTTCTTACACGGCACATACAGTTTACAGTGATAATGGTGGCAGACTTACCTTCGAAATTCTTATTAATTATTGAAACAATGGATCCTAGATTTAAGACAGACACACAAAAGCAGGATTTTCATTTCTAGCCACTGACTGAATTGATTGTGCAAGCTAAAATCACAGCTGTTGCCACTTAAAGTAAGAACTCTTTAAAAAGGGGGTCTTAAATATGCATTTGGTTGCTACATGATATCATGCTAACAGATGACTGATGGTCCACGTAAAAGGAGAAACATTTATCAATCACAAGGTAACCACGCCTAAAAGTATACCCTGCTTTATCAACTGTTTTACTCTAAATTGCACCATTCTTTACGAAAATTAACTTCATGATGTATGGAAGAAGACTTGAAACCAGCATTTGACATCATAAACTCATTAAGAAACAATTTACTGAGCTAATAAATCAAGTGAGAAGTCGGGTAATTTCTCGGCTATAGTTTTATATTGCAGCCAATGCAGCCGCCCCCTGCTGGCCATTACATAGAACACAGGTTTAAGGCCATCTGCGTTGGCTTCACTTCACAAACCCGGAAGCTCCGTTAATTATATATATTGTCAATGCTCTTGGCCTTGGTTTTTACTTTACTGAAGGTAGTAACCTAGTTAGCTGGACATGCTAACATTAAAAGCAGAACAAATACACTGTTTAATCCATTCCTTACACTTCTGTGTTTCTGTGTTTTGTGGTTTTTGAAAGGCTAAAATAAAAAAAGACACCACCATTTAAAGCAATACTGCTAACAGTATTGCTACTACAGCCACATGCATATGGAGAAATTCAAAGATTACAGGCCTGCAGTACCTTGCTAAAATATGACTGGACAATCTCTGTTTGGGGGGAGCGTCCTATAACTGGGACTTCAAAAACAATTTGTCCTTGAACAGGACACTGAATCTCTAATTTATTGAATATCACCCTGGATTACAGCACAGCTAAATGGCTCAAGTGTAGCATGGTGTATCTTGTTCCATCCCAAGTTTACATTCAAACGACGTACACTCAAAAGGCCTCTCAGATATCTTTCCTCTACAACTTTTCAAACCGACATAAAAGAAGACATGAAACCGGCTCTGTAAAGCCCATTCCCCTACCACCCAAGACACTGTGCTATCAAAGCCAGCAAAGTGGAAACACAAGAGATACTAGAGGATTGTAAACACACACACACACACAGACAGACACACAGACACACACACACACACACACACACACACACACACAGACACACAGACACACACCACTAGTCCAAAGCAGCACCCACTGTGGTAACTGTTCAATACAAGACAGAAAAAGGAATCAAAACTGTTCTGTAAACTGATGAAACTAAGCTATCAGTCGGGATGGACCTGCAGATTTGCCAAAAGGCAACAAGGCTTCCTTTTTTTTCTGACAAAGAGAAACCATAAAGGAAGAAAGTTTTTGAAAAGTAAATGCACTTCAAATCAAAAACCTGTGTGGCTATCAACTCATCATCCAAAAACAATACTCTGACAGAATGACAGACACTTTTCTGAAGTGACAAAGTGATGCTCAGTGAACGTCAGCGTGGTCGGAGAGGAAATGTATTTTTGGATACCCGTGAATCTGAGCACAGGATGGAGGATCGCATGAATGTTCCCCCCAAACAGAGGACTTGATGTGTGTACTTCCAAGCAGTTCTTGTGTGTTTTATTAAAAATGTTCAGGGTACAGAGGAGAAGCCTTTACACTTGGTGTGATCACTTCTTAGTTTCATTCTGTTATACAGTATTATTCCTATTATGAGCCAGGTCTTTGCCAAAAGAAGAAAGACCACCGACACAAATCATGTCACCAAAATCAATTGTACCATTAACTGTGTAGGCTTAAAGGCGCACGAGGAAGTGTTTGTGGGTGGTTAACAAATTCTTGAAGCATGCCAATTTAAGAATAGAGAGAATAATTGTTTTGTGATTCTTTATCGATCTCAACAAAGTCTTTCCGCTTTCTTCCCACCGCTAATCTAAAAGGACAAAAAGACCTGGAGCTGGTAGGGAAGCAGAGTCTTGCTTAAAGCACCTCAGAGGGATGCAACCAAGACCTCCATGTACTGGACATCTCATTACCTAGACGACTAATACACATGGTACACATATTTACACAGTTAATAGCCTATAGCAGTTAATATTAAGTCCTATTTTGCACATTTCCTTCAAAAAAGAACGTCAACATCGTACTGCTTATCAATAGGTCAATGAATGGTTTAGCTGCAGATGCTCGTAGTGGTGGTTACCAATTTTCTACAAAACCATCGCCTACAACCCTGGAAATATATCAAGGAAAAGAAGCCTGAACCAACAGTACTTAGAGGCAAAAAATCTGGCTTCATAAAGCGGTCGTGGCAGGTGGGAAACTTTTCAAAGTTTAAAAAAGATGCAAAGTTTGTTCAACACAAATGGATTGTCATGGCACTTTTTTAGGTCTTCATGGGTCAACTTTGGTTACAGGCAACTAAGATCTTAGGTGTGTCAAAATGTCAATATGTGTCATATAAAGTTTTTCTTGCACTTCACTAGAGCTGCAGTGATTAGTTAATGAATTGATCAACAAAACATTTTCTAGTTATTACATGGAAGTAAACTGAATGTCTTCGGGTTTTAGACAATTTGATCAAACAACAAAAACTACTGACAACTTCATCTTCGACTTTGAGAAATTAAAACATTTTTACAGACCAACCGATCGATCAAGAAAATAGTCTGCCAATTAGTTGCACCCCTTACTTCACAAAGTGCAGTTCCCAGTCTTTCTGACTGCTGGTGGCTCATTGTGCTGCTTTTAGTGTTATCGCTCTATTTGGGTTTGTTTGGGTTGACCGCGTTTTGGATCTAGTCTAATTATCCTTGGATCTTTTTTAAATTAATTTATGCAATGGGTATGAAAAGGTTTTCAATGGGCTATTTCAGGGGGAACATTTTGTACTTTATCAGAAGCTATCATTTGTCATGATTACACAAATAATCCTAAATTAGGATGTTTTTCATTTTTAATATGATTTTTACTTTGTGCATGTGTGCTATTTATATTACTTTTAGACAAAAACTGCTCTGTCTTTTTCCACGTTCTAGTCTGACAGAGCTAACTGTGGGCTTGCATTACCTTTGGAGTGACCTGCTGGTCTCTCCCTCTGTAGAGGGAAAGAGAGAGGGGGTGGGCAGAGGGAGCGTTCTCAGTGTCATGTCAATCATTTTGTGGCCACTGTCAACCTGATATTGTCCTCAACTGACCTTATTTAGCTTCTTGACTGTGACCTTCTGACCCCCTGCAGCTTCTACTGACATGTGCCCGTCTTTGACCTTGCATGCAAGCCTCTCTACTTCTGAGGAAAAGTTTCTCCTCTGAGCATCCTTTCCCAGCACACACTTACCCCCTCTAAGTTCCCAAATACTGTATCCGCTGCCTGGTCCTAAACTCAGCAATGGTCAGGCTACTCCCCAGATTCTTATGAATTTACAAAGAGGTGATATCAATAATGAATACCCTTCTCAATTATTGACTGCTCTTTACATCACCATGCTTTACTGTTCCGTTCCCACCCTGCTTTCTGAGTTCCATTACCTGTCCCGCGCTCTCTTATTTGCCTGTTCATTTATTCAGGGCCGTTCCTCACTCCCTCCACTCTCCTCTTCAGACCAAGCTGTCAATCTGAGCGAGGAAAGGAGGTGGGAGGATTGAGAGAAACAGTGGCATGCCTATACGCCTGTGTGTCAGCATATGTGCCTCTGCCTTGTCCGCCTGAATGTGTCTTGCATATGATATATGTTTTTGTTTGTTTGTGCACACAGTCTCGCACATGAACCTCCGGCGTGCTTGCCAAAATTATTTTCGCTCTGTGTGCAAACATGGCCTCACCTCTGCAGGCATATAAAAAGAACGCACAGCTACTCTCCTCCACTAAAACCCGACAGCCACATCTACCTTTGCCGCTTGTTAAGGACTGTATGTATAGCCACGTATTTGAAAGACTATTCCACTTTGCACGGGGAGAGACGAGGAGAGAGGCAGATAATCCTCACTGAAAGTGGATGAGATGAGAGCCAGGTCCACTCAGCGCTCGACGGAGATCTTAGAAGCCGCCCACGCAGTCTCCATCAACGGGAATAAAATCAGAAAAAAGGAAGAAGAAAAAATACAGCGACCAGAGGGATTGTGGTCATTTGCTTTGTTTTTCTCTCATTTCAAATTGTCTCACCAGCACATACATGCACAACACGGACTTAAACATTTACCACAGGCATACTGGTATCTGCATATGTCA